TATTTACAAAGCCATGGGAGTTGGTTTTAATACTGCCTATGAAGTTGGTTGGAGTTGTCGCCATGCCTGGAAGCAAGTTAACATTGTGGTAAGTAGGATCTGGAGATTTGAGTACTACAAGGAGGCATAAATGTATGGATGCCCTGCTGATGGTAATTGTTTTGCAGGAAACTGAAGAGGTTCTTTCCCTACTGAACTAGCCATCCTACTGTAGCTGCTTTTGCTGTTTTACAGCAGAGTTCTGACTAGTGTCTTCAGTTTCTTGAAGCTATTAAATGATCCTTTGCTGAACCATTCGCGTTTTTGAAGAGTGAATGCCGTGCTGTGAATCAGCAGCAGGGCAAGCCATATGTTAGCCTGATCTTGTAAAGTGCTGGGCAGCCTGAGCACCCTGGTGAGGCTTAGCTTCTCTTACTCTTGGGTTCATGTTTCCAAGCTATTTAATATTCAAACCTAAGCCTGTAGGACTTTAGCATTTACTAGATTGCTAGAGAGCTCTATTTTGTAGGAAGATGACATGCACATATAGACAGAGCTGCATAAAACTGTTGTATCAAGACCCAGTTCTTTCTGTGCTGTGCCTGGTTTTGAAGGTAAGTGAGTTCCCTGGTTCTGAAAAGATGAGAAGGCTGCAACTGCTTTGTGGACCTCCTCCTTCAACCACCTATCTGTTGGGTTTTTTTCTCCTTTATGAGGCACTAAGCTTTCCAGATGTAAAACAAATTTCATTATGTGTCATTCTGCACGTACAGGGTGGATGGATAAATATCTTTACCAGTCTCTTGATTGTTTACATGAAGAAGCCTTTGGCAGTTCTGTGTGCTTGTTACTTGCAGAGTTTTAAAAATGCCAGCTTTAGCTAGAGTAGGAAAGTAGCTTTGCAGAAAGCTTCATTATATTGGGATTGGAATTGAAATGCTGGAATAGCTCTCTGTCTTTAGGAGTTAATTTGTAGCTCAACTTAATCCTTCACATGCCCTCAAATCTGGAGTCTGTTAGATGACTGTCTATAGAAATGTCTTCTGACTTCATCGTATTAGCCCTTAGAGCTTATTTTGGAAAAATATAAAAAGAGACCCTAAAAAGGGATAGACTGCATCACTTGTAAATGGTTAATGGCACGGAGATTTTATTACAAACAGGTTACAGGAAGGTCATACTCTCTTCTGATGATATGAACAGCTTGGTGAATAAAGGTGATAATGAAGAAGGTGGAATCAACCCAGAAAAATCACATGCCTTTGCTCTGGCACTAGATTAAAAATAACAGTTGGATGTTTTTTTGCTGACTTATTTAGAAGCAGGGTGAGATACTGAAATAACTTGAGAATTAAACAATGGTTTTTAGCCTGTTGTTTTTTTCATTTCTGGTAGGTTAATGCTAGATTCAAGACACCGCTTCCATTGCCTTATTTATGTGAACTGGTGTTAGTGAACTTCATTCAAATCTTTTCCTAGGGCTAGCATGCCTTGGCATGCCAGCCAAAGTTAAAAAAGGAGAAGTCAGCACATCTGTAATCATAACTGATTGCTTGATACCTATTTGCATACAGACGTTTCTTCTTTCCTTCTAGTATACTTTTGTACATTAATGATGTTTTCCCTGCTAGGTAAAATAATCTAATGAAGATGAGTGTATTTCTGAGGTCCGGTACGGATAAATTTTGCCTTCATTTAGAATACTTGGATTTCTGTTTAGGATTTTATTGGGTTTCTGCCTGATATATCCATCATCTCATCAATAGCTCTCCCACTCCAGAAATGCTTGATGAATTCTGAAATGTCAAAGTAATGTGGAAGAGATGTGACCAGGCAGTCAGGGTTGTATAGTAGCTTTTCTTTTGCTCTGGTATACTGAATTTCAGTCACTCAGGATAAAAGCAGTAAATGTTGCTATATTCCATGGGAAAATGTTTTGGAAATAGATTAAAACCTGCTAAAATAATTTGCCTGGATATAGTGGATCTGTCATTGAAGCAATGCAAATAACTTTTAAGTCTTGAGGCTGATTAGTATTGAGGGAGGTGGGAGGAGAAGACTGGTTAGGAAGAAATGGGAGGAGGATTAAACCAAACTTTCCCAGATTAGTGTGCTTAGCAATGCAGTATTACCACTAGGTCAGCAGAGCACTTTGCCTGCTTCCTGTTCCTTGAGCAATGTGGCTGTTTTTCAGTTTGCTAGCTTAACTTGATTTGTTTACAGCTGTTTGGGGGGGGGTGGTGGTGGTGGTGGTGGTGGTATGTGTGTTTGATTGGGGTTTTTTGGCTTTTTTTTCCTAGTGATATAGTGAATGATTTTGTACCTCTGATGGGAACAAAGTCTGGCAGAGGTTGGGAGGGAGGATGAAGGACCCGGGATTAACTCTTCCACAAAATCAGGGATTGAGTAACAAGTTTGTGGTGTTCTGACACAAAGAACAGGGCCTGTAAATGAAAAGCGTGACCTGCTGGCATCAGTGGGGTATCGGTGATGTGAGGAACTATTGTCCCAAAATCCTGAAGTAAATTTTATGTCAGGCCCTTCCATCAACTTGTTCTGTACCTGGAGTAGCATGCCATGAATGTCTGCTTGGGGTCTACATGTGGCTGTTGTCACCTGATCATATACTTGATATGATGTTGTGAATTTACACCCCTTTGAGACCTTCAGGGTTTACGTGTTCCCCCATTATCCTGTCACATACTGGAGACTGCTCCTAAGGAGTGGTGATCACTGGAAGATTCTTCTTCCACATACCTCTTTGCGTTGCCCGTCCTCAAACTGTCCCACATAGATGGGTAATGATGGTCTTTGTTCCTCTTTGGATATTGGGTAAGGAAATTGAGGATCTGGTAGTCTTTAAAGAACAAACTGATAGAAGCTTTGAGGATGGCTGACAGAAAGGAATAGGATGCCTTTGGTGTCAGCCCATTATTCTGGAGCTTCTTCTAGCGTTAGCAAGTTTGTCAGAAGCATTTCTTTTCCAAATTCAGAACAGACCACAAAGTTGCAGACTTTGCAGGAGTAAGTGAGGAAAAAAAGAGGCAAGTTTCTGACACTCAGTTTATTTCAAAAGATTTCTCTGACCCTGACCTAAGTGTACAACTGACAGATGGCATCACAGTTGCTGTGTGAGGACTTAGTCATCTTGCAGTTCTTACTCAGCTCTATCTTTGAGGTTGTCTTTATGAAAAAGATCCTAGGTCTGAGAACCTCTGCTTCTTTTTGAAATCTTAAACTCATTTTTGGACTCCTCCCACATGCATACAAACAAACAAACCCTTTTAATGTCATCAGTCCACATAGAAGGAGTCTCATCCTTCCTGTCATCAAGTCATTGCTTGCCACTTTGAAGGTGGCACAGTCTCTGGGGTGTTCTTACAGCCTGGGGGCAGATAGTTAAGGCTCATTCCTATCCTTGCCTGAGCCATTAACAAGGTTTCTTAATTTATTATAAAGTGTGACATCCTTTTTTCATTGACTGGCTTGGGAAATACTTAAATGCCAAGTGTTTTGTGTAAAGCTTTTTCATATTAAAAACTACACAGTCTGCATAACCAACCTGCAAATCTTACATGAATCCTTGGTGTTGTTGTATGAAAGTGTAATGCTTATTACTAATTGGTTTGAGACAAGAAACAAGAATAATCCATCACTGAGTTGAAAGTAGTCATGGGGTGCACATGATTTGAGTTTGGGCTCGGATTAACTCAGTTCTGAGTGCTTGTTTATACCTTGGAAGGCCTCTGCTCTCCCATCTCCAGCCACCTGTGAGTAATATCACCATAGTGTTTTAAGTTGTTCAGAATTAGCTCACCAATCTTTTTCTGCCACGTGTTCACATACAGATGCTGTTACCTAGGCTGGGGCTACATCTCTTTGTTCCTTCGGAGTACTTGGGAATACTTAAGACTCTGGTTAAGTGTTTGGGCCTTGCTGTCCATCTTAACCCTCCTTCCTTGCCTGCCAAGGTGGCACGGAAGCATCAGACTGTAGTGTGCTATGTCAATAAAGGGTGTTTCAGAATCTCTGGCCCAGATAGGTAACTGTGCCATGCCCTGTGTGCATAGGACGATGAGAACAAACACAAACTCTGTCCCAGTTTTAATGGTTTTCTGTACCAGCCCCAGCATAAATGGTGCTATTAAAGCAGTTCAGAGATTGCTCTGAATTACAAACTCTCTATTGCCTTCTGTATTTGGAGAGGAATAGGTTATTTTGTTTAAAATGAAATTAAATGAGAAGTGATTAGTTCTCTGCATTACTGAGGAAGAGAAGGATCTGACAGGGATTAAGACAGATCCCAGTTCCTTACTTCCCTTTTTCCTTTTATTGCGGTTTTAAGTCAGTTAACAAATCAGGAACAGAGGAGTTGATACAGTATTGGTAGGAATGCATTGAGTAGAGATTGACAAAGCCAAATGCTTGTCTGTTTTTTTTTTACAGCTGTCAAGCAAAATTGTACAATCTGCCTACAAGTCTTGCTTTGCATAAGCACATTTTAAGGATGTGTGTACTTTGATTGGCCAGTTTAACCATGAGAATACAGAATCATGAGCTGTTTTGTACTCCTGTATCAATTTAAAGCACTGTGATTACATCAGCTTATTCCCTGAGCATGAATGTATTATATAAAGGCACATCTACTATTTCTCTTTATTGCTGTAGATTTTGTGGAAAGATGATTAACCATTATGAAATAATCTTATGCTGGTATGACAGTTTACGTATTTGAGGTTGTTCTAGCTTTGTTATTTTAGGGGATGGGGGGCAGAATCCAAACCCAAACTAAACCCCGAAATCCCACCTCTATTCAAAGTAGTTAGACAAACTGTGTGTTGATTAGGTCTGAAGTGTACCTGTTATTACTGCTTGTCTGTGCAGGTATTTTGGGGCTGGTTGTTTACATACAACCGAATGTTTGTGTAAGTGGTTGCAGATTCAGTCAAGAAGCTGGCAACAAAGTAGTAAGAGCTAAAGACCTTTCATTATTTCTATTAACATGTCTCTTTTGTTTATAGAACGAAATGTGTCTTGCCACACAGCAGCTTTCGAAGCAGCTCCTTGCCTATGAAAAGCAGGTATGTTCGATATATGCCTTTGATTTCTTTTCAGCCTCAGCACTTTCGAAGAAGTCTGTGTAAATAGTGTGGTTTCCAGAAGTGCTTAGGGCATTGGCTTTACTTGGGTTCATGTGAAGGCTCTTGTAAAATTCCCCAGCATGCTCAAGGGAGGTAGGTCACTTCTGAGAATTTAAAAAAAAAAAAAAAAAAAAAACTCAAAACACTAAAACCAAAACCAAACCAAACCAAAAAAAAAAAAAGTGCATGATAAGAATTAATAAATTTTTGAAGATGCAAGCCAGTTTTTTCCTATTGTATGACTATGACTTGAAAATTAGTATACTAAGCATTAATTACATGTTGTCCAAAATCCATTAATTTAAAACAAGAGGAGCAGGATAAAAGAGTATGTGTTAATGAGTTACTGTTTTTCCTCTTAATTTTATTGTTTATTTTATTTTGTAGGAGTATTCGTCACCTTCGTAGTAAAACACATGTTGCATTTTATACTCGCCTTTATTGATTTACAGACCAAATTTATGTTTCTGTTTTCAGCATTTTGCCTTGGGTAAAGGAGATGAAGAAGTGATATCCACCCTTCATTACTTTTCAAAAGTTGTTGATGAGGTAACTTGAACTGTCAATATTCTCTTTTTACAATATAGAATATCAGTGGATTTTCTTTTGATCTTTGTCCTTTTGATTCTGAGCCTTTCCACTGAAGGCTAGATTGTGCCTGGGTTTTATAGAATCATTTAAACTAGGGAGGAAAAGAAGCATAATATCACCGTTCCATAATGGTTAGAGCTGTTTCCGTGGCTTTGTCCCACATGCTGTCCTCAGAACAAAGCTGAACGTCCTAAACAGGGGAATTGGAAAAAAAGACTGAAACAGGACATTTCATCTAGACTGGGACCATTTTTAATTTTATTCCATTTAAAAATTACATTTTTAAGCTTTAAAGGTTTCAGTTTGAGCTAAAACCTGCCAGGGATGGCTACAGGGCAGCTGTGAATTAGTAAAGTTGCAGTTTAGTTGTTGTGAGATCACACAGAATCCAGAGATGTCTGGAGCAGGCTGAAGAAATGTCTGCTGGAGGCAGGTTAGTTACTACAGCTGTGTGTGCTGAACACTGCTAGTCTCTGTAGGTTGTTGCTGACCTGCCCATATAACATTTCAATATAATCTTAGTATCTAGGTCCTTATTGCTTAAGTATCATTTGTCACGTCACTCTGTTGTGAGCAGGGCTGTGCCATCAGAAAAGTGTTGTTCTTCTTGTTAGTCTACTTTCAACTTTTGTTCAGAAGGCAAAAGGCTGTATTGAGGTCTACTTTGGGGGAGAGGAGAGAAGTTAGGAGGGTTGTGGGGTAAAAAATGTTAAAATTTTTAAAGCCCGTGGATAACACTAAAAGTATAGTGAGAGGAATCCCAAATGTTAATTTTCCTTTAGGCTTCTCCCACTTTATGTCTGCTTTCAGGGGATACTTCAAAGGAGCATTTATCATTACAAATTCTGTACTTTTCTATGTAAACTATGAATAAATCAAAACAAGAACTTTCTCCTTCCCAGGTACAAGAGAACCATCCCATTTGGGAGCAGAAAGCTGAGAGCCACTCTGTTCAGTTCTGTCAGTCACGTTTTCCCTCACAAGAGCTTGCTCCATTCCTCAGCTTCCTTTTCTGTGTGTTAGCTACCACCCGCTGGACCTCTTTCTCAGTTGTCTGTTCTACTGATGTTGAATTGTCTTGATTTAGCTTTGGACTGCCTAGTGGGAAACACTGATTTCATCCTCACCTGCGTAACCCTGCCTAGAGGCCTCCAGGGTACCGTGAGCAAGTGGGCAGAACCTCATGGCAACGTGTGGTGTGTTCCTAGGCTGTAGTATCGGGTGCTCAAGCAGTGTGATTGATAGTTGTCCTACCTGAACCCATCTAATGTTCTTAGCATGCCACTGCTGACCCAGGAGCCTTGCCTTCGTCCTAAGCAGTGTCACATGAGTGCTTCGAAATATGTCTCAATGTGCTGAATTTTAGAGAAACGCTTGCAAAAACAGGAACAGGAAACTGTTCTGAATGCAAAATATTTGAATGGGACCTTTCATTGTGTGTGCTCCCTGTTGTGATTGTGTCTTGGGTAGCCCTCAAATGGAAAGAGAGTCTAGTCATGGCAGTGGGACTGTAACCCTGTGGTGTAGAGTCTAACAAAAACTGGTTAATAAAAGCTAATTACAGACTAAATCTTGTTGGGTTAAGCATTGATGTTAATTGTCAAGTGGACTGCCCTAATGCAGTATATGAGAGCTGAAAAGTTGCTGAATCCTTGGAAAACACCAGACAGGAATCAGGGATTTAGGGTACAATCCCCATCTGTCTTGAGTATCTTGAAAAATTTGTTTTAAGCACTGAGGTAGGTAATATCCTTTTTTTTTTGTCTGATGGGCACAAATGGAAGGTATGCTTAATCAACAGCTGTAGAGTGCTACTATCTTTTTTTTTTTTTTTTTTTTTACACTGTGTCTTAGGGCATTCCTCTGTTCTGTTTCAGCTCAATATTCTTCATTCTGAACTGGCAAAGCAGCTTGCAGATACAATGGTTCTCCCAATAATACAGTTTCGGGAAAAGGATCTCACAGGTAAATTTTATTTTAAGTTTTAATTTTCCTCATGTGTTCCTTCTTGCTTATTTCATAATAAACTGAGACATAATGCCATATAGTAATTTTTTCTTTGATGATTCACAGGAAGGTTTTTTGTGCAGTTTTGGGTTTTTTTTGCTACAGAATTTCACTGACAGGTGTATGCTTTTACTCAGACATAAATAGCGCATGTTGACCTTACAATGTTTTATGCACCGTATGGTGCAAGTTTGAAAATGAGCAGCTTTGTTCTTTGTTGGGTCACTCTGCTTTTACACTAGTGTAATTTTACTGAAGTCACTGATGTTATAATGGCCTAAAGAAGGAAAATTTAGCAGTGAATCTGGCTTGCAAACAGCATTTATCCCACTTCAGAAGTTTGGATTATTTGAAAAGCACAAGCAAAAATGCTTTTTTTAACTTCAGAGTAGAGTATATTTCCTCTCTTTTAACAAATCTGTCCACTTTAAATCCTTGCCATCCAAGGGTAGTTCCAAGTAACCTGATTGCACAACCTTGGAAATTCATTACTTAAACAGCAGAGCAATAATGCAAACATTTGATGTGAGTTTTAATGGAAGAGGTTCATATTCAAGGTCAAGGACACAAACCTACTCATGCAACAGAAACATGAGTTTTTACTGCAGCATTTTAATTTAAAAAAAAAAAAGCCCACTTCTCAGCTCACTAAGGTCAGTCCTATTTACGTACTTTTTAAAGACATCATTTTGGTGGGAGACAAAATAACTACAGCAAAGTAGTGACTAGTTAAAGTTCCTTGTATCATGTCTTCACAATTTCAAATGAAATGCTATCGATTGATGTCTTGTTTATAATATAATGCCAAATACAAAGCAGTATTTGATGGTAAGATCTTGATTCTATAATCACTTTCCTACCCCTTTAATGTGTCTTCACTTACTCAGTGATTCTGCTTCCATCTTTATGGATTCTGCCCCCTGGTTCATAAAAGAAGACGTAAAAAGAAAGTGCAAGTGAAGCCTGCAACCAAAGCCTCAGCTGCTTCATGACAAAAAAATGAAAGTTTCTTCAGCTTACCTGGATATCAAAATCTTTTTTGTTCCATCCATCCATCACAACCTCCATTTTTCTCTGACACAGTCCTGTAGAACAGCATTTTTAGTAGAGGCCTGGCCATGTTGAAATTTCATCATAGGAGTAAACAAGGAGGGTTGATCTTGTTATGTGTATGTATCGAATACTGTAGAAACAAGTTGGTCACACCTGGGAAGAATTTTTGTCTTTCTGCTTAGAGTCACAAGGAAGTGTTCTGGGGAGAAAAAGGTGGCATGAAGCCGATTAATGTGTAGGTTGTTACACATAACCAGAGACCATGAAGACATTGTACAATTTCCCCTTATTCTTTTCAGTTGCATAATGTCTGTTCTTGTGAGTGTGCTTTCTCTGCAGCTTTTTGAGATGGGGTTTGCCAGTTGCAGCATACATTGGTATGGACACTGAGAGTAGCTTGTGCCCAACACTTGTGAAAGTTGAGTTGCCTGTTTCTCTTCCTTCAACCTGTACCTGAAATTCATGGCCAGTGTTTGTCATGTAAGCACTGTAGCCAGCAGTCAGCTGTGTTTGACACATATTTCTTTTCACAGAGCAACTTAGCAAAAAATGTTCCATGCTGATGAAGATTCATGTACAGGAAAGGCACTTAGTTCGTATGTCTCTGGAACTGAGATTTTTCAGTATCACATAAGCATCGTCAGGAAGTTCTTCAGAACTGCTGATCTTTTATGATAGTGTTGGGCCTTTTGTGATAATAAGCATACTGAAGTGGTGCTTCTTTCGGTAAATGACACTGGCAGATAAGGAATCTTTTTCATAGTGATAACTCGCTCAATCAAGTAAACTCACTTGACTCTTAATTTGCTATCTGCCTATTCATTGCTCTGGCAGCTGATCTGGTTTATCATTTTCAAGACAGGCACAACTTATGAATCTCTGCTTTGAAAGGATTGGAGTGACTTAGGCATTAGATATGCCATAAATGGTCTCCACTGAACAACTGTTTACAGCTGTTTTTACTTTGAATATTTGATTTCTCTTTTCCAGAAGTAAGCACGTTGAAGGATCTTTTTGGCCTTGCTAGCAATGGTATGTTTCCCTGTTTTCGTTGTTTCTAATGGTATGCACCTATTACATCATAGAAGACATTTTTAATCTATACAGACACACATCACATTTCTAAAAAAAATAATATTCCTTGTCTACAGAACATGACGTGTCCATGGCAAAGTATAGCAGGTTACCGAAAAGGAAAGAAAATGAAAAGGTAATCAACGTGAGAGGGAAGAGGAAGAGTTTTCATCAGCTGTTCTGTCTGCATCATTGTTCACTTACAAACTTTGGAGAGTTCATCAGTTAAATTCACAGTAGCTTAAGAGTACTTGTGATTTTGTTTCCAAGCAGACACAAAGCTTTTAAACATCAATCCAGCAAAGTTATACCTGTTTTCTCCAAGTTAGGCAAGTGATCAAGTGTTGTGCTGAACTAGAGCCCTTCAGATCCAGGGGAGCTCTTCAGACAGAGGCAATCCAAATGGCTATAAATAGATTTCTATAAGCCTACTGTTGTACAGCCAATGTGATGATGCTGTATCACTGGGCACAATTCATTGTGAACTGACATGAAGCCTTGTGTCTGCTGTTTATAAAGCATTCCATTTTTTCGCATCTACCTCCCTGCTAAATTCCTCTGTATGGATTGTCATTCCACTTATAGTACACATAACTCTGTTGGTGGGATTGTTTTACATTTCTTCTTCTTTTCCCACTGGACCACTATTCCAAAATGCATCTTTGTACACCAAAAAGGGTGTGATTTGCCCTATTTTAAGAGTGTATCAGTTCTACAGGATGGTCCTTTAAAGGAGATGCGTTACAGAACAGCGTGTGATATAGCATATTGTGAATTGTTCATCTCTGAATTCTGCACTTGCAGGCTGATGTTGTCATCTCAGCTGCAAATAAATTTCTTGCCCTGAGAACAGATCCAGAATTTTACTTGTGGTAGTTACATAGTTTATAGTCAGAGGGCCTCCCCAAATGCTTAAATATCTTGCCAGAGAAGGGCTTGAAGTACTTGCTTCTGGTTTTGGATTTGCTTTCTTAATTTCTCTTCCTTCATTTTAATGTGGAGAAGTTCTGTAATGAGAATTGTTAAAAGACAACCGGAAAATAATCAGTAAATATATCCATATGCACAGTAACAGTTTGTCAGCCTCTTTATCAATTTTATTCAGCTTAAGGCAGAAGTGGCAAAAGAAGTGGCAAATGCAAGAAGAAAGCAGCACCTTTCGTCTCTGCAATATTACTGTGCCCTGAATGCTCTGCAGTACAGGAAGAGAGTGGCAATGGTGGAACCTATGCTGGGATATACACGAGGACAGGTATGAACAGTAAAGCCTCTATATTACTTAGACATGTCCCTGGGAAAAGTGAAAAAAACATTGTAGGTCCAGATTTTTTTTTTTTTTGAGAACTGACAAATGATAACGGTGAGGGAGGGGCATGGGGGACTTCTATTCAGCTTGATTCTAACAACTGACTTTGTGGTAGGTAGCTGAATGTTTAGATATTCAGGAAAGACACCAATTAAAGAAAATCCAATACATTTATATGCAAAATCAGCCCGGGGTTATTTTTTTCACAGCTGAGCTATGAGTGCACCAGCATTTACTTCCACTGTTTACTCTGTCTGCACAAACTCTCCTATGTAGCAGTTCCCTTCCTGGCACATAATGTTCAGCATACTGATGAGGAGTGTACACCGTAGGGAACAGAGCATGCACTGGAGAACAGGAAGGACAGAACAGTAGAGTGAATTGAACGTAAGGCTGGAAAATCCTCTTTCTAATCTTTACTCTGCCAGCAATTTGATAGAGCATTTCTTAAGCCTGTAAAATGCGGTAGTAATGCTGATAATCTGGCTCTCCAGGATGTCAGGAGGATCAACAAACTAGTATTTTCAGAGCGCTTGATTCTCTTTACCACCCATTTTAAGGGTCTGTTGTGCTTCGACACTGATGAAAGAAAACAGTGGGAAAATGAGAATTGGGCTGTGAAAACAGAAAAAAAATGGGTGCAGTGCTCTGTTTGAGACTGTAGTGTAGATCATAATCTCCATTGTCCTGTGTCTGTTGCAGATCATATGCCTCATAAAATAGGTAACAAATGAAAACCGAGTCGCTTTCCCTACCACAGGCCTTCACACTGCTTCTCTGCTGCAATTATACTAAGTGAAAGAACTGCATTGGTTTCCTTTACTGGTAGCCAAACAGAATTTTATTTTACCTCACAAAACTGCCATACCTTAGTGCTTTATATGGGAAAGTCTTAGGTTTTCATGGGAATGACTGAGTAGCCAGAAGGCAGTTGATATTGATGCTTAAATATTGTAAACCGGCCTTCAGTCCAAGTATATATTTTCTTTATTAATTACTCAAAACATTTGTCTCATATTTCACATTTCCAACAAATGAGCAGGCCATAAGGAATTCTGGAAGAAGCAGTGGCTAATACAGGGTTTATTTAACTGAAAACTGACATCAACATCTAAGCTAGGCCTGTCTGTCTATCAGTTGAATTTAGAGCTCTTCCCTCCTGGAGTAGGCTTCTGAAATAAGATAGGTGAATCATTCTTTAAGAAAGCCTGCTTTCTCTCCTCTGTCTGTAAAGGGAGTCTGTGGTCAGGAGCATGGTTGCACAAATCAGAGTTACAAGTAAAAGGAATTCCATGTCCCAAGGTTAGGGAAAAAGAGTGGAATCACAAGTAAAATTGGATGAAATAGCTAATAAATTGCTTAACAGCCAAGAATCTGCTTTTACATCTCTTTCGGGAGTAGTTCACTAATATTTTTTTTTTTTTTTTTTTAACATTAGTTAATTGCACACATGTGCTGGCCATACTCATGTTTCACACGGTTGGCAGGAGGTCCTACCCATGACTGTGTGCCCCACAGCTGGTAATCCAAGGCCAAATATACACTGAGTGCTTTGCTGCCATTGCATTCCTGCTGAACCATACTGGCTAAGTGAATTCCTTTTCTGTCACTAAATGTGCACTTCGGCCTCGGTAGCTTTTTTTTAGCTCCTTCAGTAGAACAAAATCCACGGTGAGTCCGTAGTTGATACATCTGATTGCCCTGGAGGCTTCTGCTAGCACAGCTACCCTTCATCACTTTCCTGACTGACTGCCATAGCAGCCTTAACATTTCCAGGTTGAAGTTGGTAGTCCAGGTTGGACTGCTCAATCTAATGGACAATTTATGTCCCATTCCTTTTGAGATGATGGTGTTGCACGCAGTGGCTTGTAACACCACTAGACCCGATTCTGCACAGTGCTAGTATGGGAGAAGCCTACCTGTTCCCTCACTTCAGTCATGCAGCGAGTTAATTGGAAACATACCTGTCAGCAGCCAGTAACTTATGTGTGTGTAAAAGGGTGTGTGAGTGGGTGGAAATTTGCAGAACTGAGAAATAACAAAGGCAGGCAACACAGCTGTTTTAACCATGTATTTGATCATCAGCCCTAAAACACCAGTCACAACGGGGCCGCTGTTAACACAGTCCCTACAATCTGTTATTTGTCTGCACAAGCCAAGATAACTTTCAGCATCTGTTTTTTTTCTGTATTTTTCAGATCAACTTTTTTAAGAAAGGAGCGGAGATGTTTTCCAAAAGAATGGACAGATTCTTGTCATCTGTTTCAGACATGGTTCAAAGGTAATGCAATACTTGTGTTTCCTTTTGTCATTCCATTGAATTCTGAGCAATAGCACTCTAACCTTCAGCATGTAAAAGAGTGCCTCTTCTTTCTTACGAGATTCCTTCCATGCTTGCATTGCATTGTTGGGCGTATTTTGTTAAAGCAGCAGGTGGAAAAGAGGTATGTTTGTACATGTAAAGGAAATTGATGTCAGTGCACTGCAGAAAGTATTTTTACTGTATAGTCAGGAACTATATCCTGTAAAGTGTTCACATGCTTTCTTCCATCTCTGTGTCTCTTCGTGGACACAAAAGCATGGAGTTTAGGCTTGAAATGGGTTAACAGAACTAATATAATAAAGATAAAGTACATCCTGAATTTGATGTATTTATACCTGCTGGGTCTCCTGTAATAATACTGTAACAATAATCCATTAACCTCAAATAAGGATTTGGGGCCTGTAATGTTTGAAGTTGTAGCTATACAAGGCAAACAAAACTCCTCACCTTAGAGAACATGCTCATTGCATCCAGTATCAGCTGTATCAGTCCACTGAGTTCAACCTGCTTTGGCTAAGTCCTTATTTCAATAAACTGCCCCACTTTTGTACTCCTAAATTTGTGATACTTCTTCCTTATACCCTCCCCCCTACCCTGTGCTCTACTTGTAGTGAAGATTGACGTTTTCTTTATAATTAAGTCCCTGTAAATGTAAACTTTACGTTTAAAATCCAATCATGTTAGAGAGAACATCAATCATTTATTTTAAATCAGCTGGAACACTAGACAGAGTCCTTCACTTTATTGCTTCATACCTTTCATATTGGCCTATAGCCAAATCATTACTTACTCTGACTCTGGTGGCATTTTAAATAATGCATACTTGTTAATTTGAGAGCAGTGTTATAAGTAATTTCCCTGTACAGTAGATCCTTTCACTAAATGATTTTTCCTGTACCTTTATACCTATTTATATATCTTTTCACACTCCTGAAATAAATCTTTCTGCAATCTACACAGCATTTGTACAGACTGGAGGACAGATTTCAGCCTCCCTTGAAATAGTGCCCTTTATTTAGTAAGGCTATAGCATCTTGCTTGTGTCTTACAGGCACAGTGAGGGTCCTGACACTGGATCCTCACTGTAGAATAAGCTTGTGTTTTCCAAAGTCTGATGGATCTGAATTCTGAATACTACACAGTATTAAATGGAAACAAAAATAAGCTGCTCCATTGTTTTCCTGAGTTTGTTTTTTTGTGTTTTAAGTCGGTCACAGAGCAAAGCTTGAAAGTACAACTCAAATGTCACTAGTACAGGAGTGTGACGTCTTTGGAAAAAACAAGAGAGGAGCTTGCAAAATTCTGAATGACACTGCGCAGCTTCGCAATTACTGACACAGGACATAGTTTCATGACTTAAGATTATACAGCCACTGAAAATCATGCTGCCCACTCCTTTCCTTCTTTACTGCTGGGGATCACAAGGCTTCAGTGAGTCAGATCTGCTTGCTAATCAAGCTAAAAGCTTTTTATTTGTCAGATTTGTGTTCTTGGAACAACAAGCTGATGAGACCCATTGTGCAGCTACAGAATTTTGGCAGTGATACAGTCTTGCATCTATTTAAGCAATTGTGAAACTGAGTCTTCATATTTAAAAGTATTTAATTTAAACAGTGAATATTGCTAACAGTGTAAAAACACGTAAGAGAAGACGGATCACTAAAATATTCTCTGTAAACAGTTGGTCTAATTGCCACAAATGCACATAACTTCAGAATTGTCAGCTCTTCTCTCCTTTCTACCTTGGAGAGAGGAGAAAGGTGCTTTAGGAAGAGGAATCCGGTCTTGGGAACCACGAAGGCGCCAGGGCAGTTTTGTCGGAAGCAATTTGTGGTGCAACAAAACTGGTCAAAGGATTCATTGAAGTAGCACTTATGTAAAAACTGACAGCACTGTTCCATTTTATTTCAAAATGGAATTTAAATAATTCTTATTCTGACATTTAATGATAATGTTGAAAGGCACTAGCTTGCAAAAATACGGTCTGATTTATTTCAGATCTGATGGTATTACTCAGCCTTTATAACTCAGCCTCTCACATGACTTGGCTAGGTGGTAAGACACACACAGCTGGTCTCATTGTGGGAGCTTAGGAAGTTTTAGCTTTCTAAAGATGTGGAAAAGCTGGAAATAAGTTAACGCGAAACAGACTAACACTGTGATGCAAGAGTGACTCTTCATCTGGCCAGACAGATACTGCTTAGTGCGGCCTTAAATGCAGCACTGTGTCTCTAGATTACTTCAACAGTTACAGATCACCAACTTCTACAAAAGGCTGGGGAGAGCAGGGGAAGAATCATAGGTACTTGCCTTGTACTTTTCCACTTTTTGCCACTGTCAGAGACAGGACAGTGGACTACCTAGATCTCTGGCCCTGCTGTGTACAGCCTGTGTTACATGCTCTTGTTCTTCAAAAGGTCTAACCACTTGGGGAGGAAGTAGGGAGGAAACTGCTTGTTGCATGGGTGCAGGTATTAATGACTTTCTGAGGTATGCAATGACAAGTATTCTTATGTTCCCACCCCATGAGTTTTCCTAGTAGCCTGGATACAATCGATAACTCCTCATGTTTGGAAAAGTTGATGAAGAAAGCAGATAGTTGGTAGTATTGTTTCTCTGACAGTCAAAGAACAGCTGCTGCAGTGTGGACCTCAGGAGGTCATCTAGTCCGCTCTCCTGCTGAGAGCAGGGTCAGTTAGAGCAGAGTGCTCCACACTGTGTCCAGTCAAATTTTGAGCGTCTCTCTCTGTCCGTCTCTCGCACATGGGACACACAGGATCTGGTTACAGCTTGTATCCGTTGTCTCTCAGCCTATCACTGCACACCTTCAAGAAGGGTGTAGCTCCATCTTCTGTATCCTCTCCCATCAGGTAGTTGAGCTAACAGTAAGACCCACCCCGCTTAGCCTTCCTTTCATGAGGCTGAAAAACAACTCTTGCAGCTTCTTCTCATGTCACATATTCTGGCCCCCAGCCACCTTGGTGGCTCTTCACTTAAGTTTGTGTCTTCCATGTGCTGGGGCACCAAATCTAGACACAGTACTGTTGTTGGAGTTGCACGGGTGCTGAACAGACGGGAATAATTACTTCCTTTTACCTGCTGGCTCTACTCTTACTCATACAGCCCAGGATGTGACCGTCCTTTTTTGGCCACAAGAACATGGTGCTGGCTCATGTTCAACGTGTACTCTAGGACCCCCCAGGTCCTTGGCTGAAAGTTACTTTCTATCCAGGTGTCTCCCATCATTTAGAGTTGCAGAGGGTTATTCCATCCCATGCAGGACTTTTTATTTGTCTTTGCCGAACTTCATGAGGCTCCTGCAGCATGTCAAGGTCCTTCTGAACAGCAGCCATCCACTTTACCATATCTGTCAATCAGTCTTCCCAATACAGTGTCATCTGCTCCTGTGGGTTCACCAGCTTTTATTAAAGACTGTAAACCTGCAAACCTCAGTATTAACCCATGAGGAACACCGCTAATAGCTAGGTACCAGTTGGACTTTGTCTCACTGATTACAACCCTTTGAACTCGGTAGTCCAGCCGTGTTTTCTACCCATCTTGTAGTAGACTTCTCCAGTTTGTATTCCATCAGTTTGGCTATAAGGATACTAGGGGAGACTGTGTGAAAGCTCTTGCTGAAGTGAAACAGCAGCCACCGCTCTTCTCCTGTCCACCAAGTCGGTCGCTGTATCACAGAAGGCAATTGGAATGGTTGGGCATGATTTGCCCTTGGTAATTGTGTATTGGCTGTTCCCATCTGCCTTCTTGTCCTTCATGTATTTGAAAATACCTGGAGAATTTGCTCTGTAACTTTCCTAGGCGCTTGGATATGTCTGACTGGCTTGTAGTCCCCCAGATTGTTTTTCTTGCCTGTCTCAAAGGCAGATGTGACACTTACCTTTTTTTCATTCTGTCAGTAGGAACCTTCCCTGGCTACAAGGAAACAAAAATTAAAGCTAAAATGAGACTTGAGCTCTAGATTTTGTTATTGTATTGTTCTGAATTCATGGAAAACTTGCTGTTGAAAATCCGTGAGCAGTTAATAGGTGGTCTCATGGCAGCAATTCCTGCACGTTACACAGTTACAGGAATTAGACAAAGTTCTGTGAAAGCCAAGAGATACTGTCGTAAAGCCTACTTTGAACTGTGCTGCTATACTAGGGCAATATCTATATATGGTCAGCAGTGTAAATTCATACAAGCATTGCTTTTAGAAGCTATCTCTCAAAAAAATAAACTTAACTCTTCACTTTCAACACTTAAGCATTTCTCGTGCTCATTTCAGTCTTAGAAAGCAGTCTCATCGTTCCGATTGTTAGCTCTGTAATGTTTGGGGGGAAAAAAAAGATAGCTACGTTTAGTACAAATTGCAGAAAAGAAAGCATAGCTACTGTATGAGACGTATTGAGAGTAACGTCTTCAAGCTGGGCTTTCAAAATAAAGAGCGAGGGGAAATCCTGACTGTGCTTTAGCTGCCAACCTGCCAAATATAGCCATATTTTCCTTAAACCATTGTTAATACCTGCAGAGCATATGCATCTTGTCTCTTTAGGCTCAGATGACATTTTCTGGGAGTAGTTCCCTATTGTATGCTTCTTCCTCCCATTCGTTCCTATCTGCACTGATTTATCTCATCCTTAGAGAAAGCCTTGGACGTGTAGTCTTACATTACATTTCCTATAAAGTCTATTCTAAAAATAAACCTTATTTTTGCACTACTCTCCGACATAATGAAGTGGTTAAGCCACTATCCATCATATCTGAGATGTCATGGCAGGCTGGTGAAGTTCCTGCTGACTGGAAATATATGAACTATGAAAATATAACCCTCATTTTTAACAAGGGAAAAAAGGAAGACCTGGGGAACTACAGGCTAGTCGGTCTCACCTCTGTGCCTGGCAAGATCATAGAGTGGATCTTCCTGGAAACTGCTTGGGCACGTGGAAAATCAAGAGGTGATTGATGACAGCCAAGGTGGCTGCACCGAGGGCAAATCGTGCCTGACAAATTTGGTGGCCTTCTGTGATAGGGTTACAGCGTTGGTGGAGGAGGCGAGAGCAACTGATGTCATTTACCTGGACTTGTGCAAAGCTTTTGACGCTGTCCTGCACAACATCCTTGTCTTGAAATTGGAGAGGCACGGATCTGATGAATGGGCCACTCAGTGGATAAGGAATCGGCCGGATGGTCGCACTCGGTAGATGGCTCCGTGTCCAAGTGGAGAGCAGTGACACATGGCGTCCCTCAGGGGTCCGTGTTGACACCGGTGCTGTTTAACATTTTTGTCAGCAACACGGGCAGTGAGTGCCCCCTGGGCAAGTTTGGTGACACCACCAAGGTGTGTGGTGCAGTCAGTACGCTGGAGAGAAGGGGTGCCACCCAGGCGTGAGAGGTGGGTGCATACGAACCTCAGGAAGTTCAACAAGGCCACGTGCGAGGTCCTGCCCATGGGTCAGGACAATCCCAAGCACAAATACAGGCTGGGCGAGGAGTGGGTTGAGAGCAGCCTGAAGGCAAAGGACTTGGTGGGGGTGGTGGTTGATGGAAAGCGGACTACGAGCTGTCAATGTGTGCTCACAGCCCAGAAAGCCAACTGTACCCTGGGCTGCAAGAGAAGTGTGACCAGCAGGTTTAGTGAGGGGATTTTCCCCCTCTACTCTGCTCTTGGGAGACCTCACCTGGAGTCCGTCCAGCTCTGGGGCCCTCAATGTAGGAAAGGCATGGACCTGCTCGAGCGGGGGCAGAGGAGGCCACGAAGATGCTGGGGGGGCTGGAGCAGCTCCCCGGGGAGGCCGGGCTGAGAGAGTTGGGGGGGGTTCAGCCTGGAGAAGGCTCCAAGGAGACCTTATAGCAGCCTGCCAGTGCTTACTTAAAGCAGGCCTACAGGAAAGCTGCGGAGGGACTCTTTGTCAGGGGGTGTAGTGGTATGGGGAGAGGTAGCAGTTTTAAACTGAAAGAGGGAAGATTTAGATTAGATACTAGGAAGGAATTGTTCCCTGTGCGGGGGGTGAGGCGCTGGCCCAGGGTGCCCAGAGCAGCTGTGGGTGCCCCCTCCCTGGAAGGGTTCAAGGCCAGGTTGGACGGGGCTGGGAGCCCCCTGGGCTGGGGGAAGGGGGCCCTGCCCGGGGCAGGGGGGTTGGAACTAGATGATCTTTAGATGATCTTTAAGGTCCCTTCCAACCCAAAATCATTCTGTGATAATCTCAGCTGGTATTTTTGTTCATTTTGGTTTACAGATGTTAGCTGTATCCTGGTATAAAGTGACTAATGATCTCTTTGGGTCTCTTGTGTTGTTTTTTCTAGCATACAGGGAGAGCTGGATGGTGAAACTGAAAAAATGAGGGTATCCCAGCAAGACTTAATTGCAGTTAATGAATCAGTTTACACCCCAGATTCTGATGTAACTTCACCTGCTATCAATAGAAATCTCATCCAGAAGGCTGGCTACCTTAATCTTAGAAAGTAAGAAGACTGTTGCTACCTGCTGGTTCTTTTTGTTGCTGACCAGCTGCTACATCTTTATTTTTTTTTTAGGTCATAAAGACTCCACAGGTAATGATGATTGAGACTCCTGAATCACTGTGGTAGCTGTGTTCTTCAGCTCTTAAGTATCTCAATCATCTTTGGAAATGTGTTTTAAAAGCTTAAAGCAAAATAGCACCATTTGAGACAGTTTTCCTGAAAACAGAAGTTTACTTTTGGTTGAAAGCACCTACAGGGATGATTCCGTGCATTCAAGTGACTAAAAATTAGACACTGATGATGGGTCTGAGTTCAGATTGTTCCCACTTCTTAGGGCTAGTGAAAACATATTGTCTACAAAAATAAACAGCAATATTTTGCAGTTAATACATGTTTTCATAAACACTCTCCTTTACATAAATAAAAGCATTCTGGACAATGCAAGTGGATAACTTTGACTGTGTACCATACACAGAGTTAGCTCTGCAGATTTTCCAGATAAAATCTTCCATCAGTTTCTGCAGAAGCTATATATATTGGTGGCATATAAATATCAGGTTTTTTTCTATTTGACTAGTAATTTTTTTTTTTTTTTTTTTTTTTTTTTTTGGTGAGTGGACATTTATTAATTTCTCATAGCATTCTAGGAGCTGAATTACAATATAATAGGACTCCATAGCTAGGAAGAAGATGGACTCTGAGATACTACTCACATAAGACACTTTTTTTTAAATGATGAGTCTTTGTGCTGAAATTGCTCATGCTGCTCTTAAGCTTGAAAATCCTTTTTTTTTTTTTTTAATCAGCTTAATAGTATTGTCAGTTACTCAATGCCAATAATTCTTACATTCCTTAACTAGGAGATACTGCAGAGAATGTTTTTAACTTGGGATGTTTGGAATTAGTTTAATTCTTCAGCTTTCATTAAGGATTAGGCTCTGCTAGGAGTAGGTGCTGCTTTTACTTCTTAACAGAGACTCACCATAAAAAAATTCCAGGGTTGAACATAAAGTTTAGATTAGCATCAGGATATGTTTGCGATTTCATGTATGTTTGAAGTAATTTCTAAATAGTAATGAGTCTTTATCACTGCATCTTCTCATCAGTAAAACAGGTCTGGTGACTACAACTTGGGAAAGACTGTATTTCTTCACTCAAGGTGGCAACTTGATGTGTCAGCCAAGGGGAGCAGTAGCTGGAGGATTGATTCAGGACCTGGACAACTGCTCTGTTATGGCTGTAGACTGCGAAGACAGAAGATACTGCTTTCAGATCACTACTCCTACAGGCAAAGCGTATGAGACGGGTTTTATTTGAGGACAGCCAGTCACACCTACCCATTCAGATGCCGTGCCATGTAAAACATGCTTGCTGTAACAGTAAGCCTTGCTGGGTTTCCAGAAGGGTGTTTCCAAATTAAAAGCATGTTCCTTCCCATCCTCCCCCACAACTCCCTGAGCAGCAGGGGCGGTATCTTTTAGCTGCAGCTCATTCGTGATTTTTGTTCCTTTGACTGTTAGTAGATGCAAAGCTCAGGGACATGATTATAAAACCTGGAGTCAGACAGTCCTGATGTCCACCGTTAGCACTGATACACTGTGTTTATATTTTAGGGGTATCACCCTTCAAGCAGAAAGCAAGAAAGAATACGAGGAGGTAAAAAGGTTTTCTTAATGCTCTTTTTCTTGTGTACAAGTGAGCTTGAAGAGTTCAATTGCCTTTTTCCCTTCCAGTGGATATGTGCCATCAACAACATCTCCAGACAGATCTATCTCACCGACAATCCAGAGGTGGGAGCTCATTTCCATCTTTCAGTCCGTTCCTTCCACCTTGCTCTCCCATCGTTCTTTACGTGGCAACGTGAACCGTGGGTAAAAGAGCTTTTTCGGTCTTGTGTCCATAGGCAGCTGCAATCAAGTTAAATCAGACAGCCCTACAAGCAGTGACTCCCATTACCAGCTTTGGGAAAAAACATGAAGTTCACCACCCCAGGTAACATCCTCACCTGCACGGACTAGAGACTGGGTGCCCAGTTGCGCTTTTTACAGGGCGGCAGTCGCCTGGGGGAAGGTCGAAGCCCTGGCTAGGCCCTGGCTTTACAAGCCTGTGTGTTCCAGCAAATTCCTCTACTTCTGATGTCCCCTACTGAAAGCCCCAAGAGATGCCGAGTGTTGAGGGCGGTGCATATTGCTCCACGTCACTGCTTTGAAGCTCCTTGCGGTTGCCATTAGGATTTTGCTGTTTCTTCAGAAACAAACACAATGCTTTACTTGTAAGTGCTTTGCCGTAAGGGAATGACTTGTAACGTGGATAATAGAGCAGCCCTCAAAATATACTGAAGCAGGAATATTTTTGCATATTACCTCAAGCAGTGCCTGTCAGTCTTGTCACGGGAATACACTTTACACTGCTGTCAGAACAATTACTGCTGTTCTCTTGTGCTCATTCGGGTCAATCAGTGAAGCAGCCCTCCTTCAAAAATTGTCAGTAATGTTCTAAGATATGTTTATATTCAGAATACATGTTTTATGTATCGTTTCTTTGTGTCCACGTGATTCTAGCATCTTACCCAGTGGGAATTCTTCAAACTTCATCATCACAGTTGGCTTTCCAGCCAAGTGCTGGACTGAAATCCTGCTTTCAGCCGCAGCGTGATAAATAAAATAGGGCAAGTTTGTGTCACACTGACTTCAACATGAAGAGACTTCTCTGCAAGTTTTGTCAGAAAATTGTGAATTCCTACTCAGATATTTACTTCTAGAAATTCAAACGTTTTCCAGATCTTCTGCCTCTCAGGCCGATGCCTTTGCTATGATTTATGGTTCCCTTTATGATGATCGCTGGCAGATTCCAAAGATTCCCTATAGCCATGGGGAATGTCAGGCAATTTCTTTCTAATTTTATTCACAGTACAGCTGTTCCACTTTGATTACAGAACTATAAATAGACGAGTATTGTCATTTCTTTCACTGGGCAAAGGAAATGGCAATTTCATTGACAGCTAATCTCCCAAGTCTACCATATGTAGTGATGTGTACCATTACAACTTCTGTAGCTGTGGGAAACTTAGCATTTCATTTTCTCTGAGAAAAGGTGCGGTAAGAAATCTGACCCAGTGTGTAACACTTCTTAGCTATCACGTCGCAACAAGCCTGTGGGTAAGGAAGATCTGAAAAAGATGTCAGGGCTGCCACTGGCGCCTGTAGAGACAAGTCCAGGTCGCTGCTGGAACTGGTGATGGGGTTGTAAATACGGCCACGAGAGGGCAGGGAGGCCAACAGCAACCTGTTGCTGAGTCTGCCCACACTCAGTTTACGTGCATTCAGGTTTAATATACCAGCATTTACTTTTTTCCTAAATAATTTTAGGTACAAAAAAAAAAAAAAAAAAAAAAAAAAAGATTTTATTAGAGTCCTCAGTAACAGATAAATAGGAAAATACTCTTATGTTTACGTATAGTGGTTCAATCCCGCTTTGGATTTCTGAATAATCTTGTCTGCCTTCCAGAGCAAAGATAGGGTGTCATTGATTGACTGAGAGTTTTTCTTTTCCGTTTTCACTTTAGCCAGAATGTAAAGAATATGGAAAATGATAAACTGATTCCCAGTGAATCAACTGTCATTCAAGACTCCGCACAACTCATTGCTCCTGGAACACCAATTCAATTTGATATCGTACTGCCTGCCACAGAATTCCTGGACCAGAACAGAGGTGGCAGGTATGGCCAGAGACAGTGATCGGTGGCTTTTAACAGAGTGATTTCAGGGGAGAAAACTCAGTATTGCAGCATGTGTGTGTGGTGAGCAGAATCTGTAACCAAGAGTCTTTATTCTTATTTGATAGGCGTGCAAACCCATTTGGGGAATTGGAAGACGGCAGCAAAGATGAGGAGGAAGGTCAGTGCTTCATTTTCTGTGATAAAATTATTCATAATTTTAGGCCTAATTCTGCTGTCAGGTATCCTGTGTCTCTTAATGAAAGCACTTCACGCAGTGGAGCAGCAGTAACAGATCCGTAGCGCGGCTGAAGGTAGCTGCCTTTCAGAAGCCAGTGGTTTAGACATCACTACTTGTCAAAACAACTTTTTCCTTGACAGTCCAAGCTGTATTCCGGGTTAGGTTTCTTTCAAATGTTTAAAGGCAAAAAGATTTGGTTTGCTTGGTTTTTGTCTTTTATTCATTTTTTTCTTTTTTTTTTTTTTTTTTTTTAAAAGTAGCTGTTGACTTCTTTAGAAGGAGTTTGACGGGATTGTGTTACAATTCTGCTCAACTTCGAGGCTGCTTAGTAGCCAGTTCTTACCCGTGTGGACTCCGAAATCCGGAATCTAAATCTGACAGAGGCCCAGCACATGGCAGGCAGCAGCAACACGTCTCTTGCGGCAGAGGGAGAGTTTCTTACCGATATCCCCTCTCCCCCACCCCGGTGACGTGCCAGTGAGAGAGCAGTTCTGCCCTGCCTCTGCCAGCACACGCGGGGCTCGGCCCCCCGGTTGGTTGTTCTCTACAGGCGCCGTCTGGAAGCGGCGGGCCCCTCTCAGCAAACCACTGGCGGGGCCCAGAGCAGAACCCCCTGACCTGCACGCCCCCCCCCCCCCCCCGGCTCGCAAGCGGCGTCCCTGGGCGGGCGCGGTGGGAGGGCTGCGAGCCGCGCGTTAAGCGCCGCTGGCGCCGGTGCTCGGCAGGCTGGGTGCGGGGCAGGCACCTCCGGAGGGGCACGATCAGCGGGGCCCGTCCCGCTTTACCTCGCTCGCCACCAACCACGAAGGGAGCCTGACCAGACGGCGGCTTTGCCCCGTAATGGCTGCTTAGTTGTAAAGAGGAGTCGGATGGTGCTAGTGAGCCAGGAAGGATTTAATGAAAAACTCACTGGAACCGGTTCCATGGAAGGTCGGGAGGATATAGAAGAGAGTGAGGAATGTGCGAGGTTTACAGATAAGAGTTAATTTGATGGAAGCCAAGGCTTGTGCACAGTCGTAAATTTATCCCAGTTTATGTGCACCTGGTAGCATGACCGGCAACTGAATTCTACTAAGTAATTAAATAAAGTATAAAGGCCCAGTTGTACTTTTAAAGCTTCCAAGCAACTGTGATTTTTTTTTTTTTTTTTTCTTTGCCCCCCCCCCTTACTCACCGCCAGTTCAAGCACTGTTTAAAACTGGGTCAGAGCACTGCCTGGCTCATAGCGGGAAGTCACCACCCGCGGCGGTCACCACCCACGCATTTCATGCTGGACTTCCAAAGTGAATAAAAGTTTCATCGGTAACTTCAGCTACTGGCAGATTGAAGTAGCCCAGTGAAGGAAGTCATGCCTTTTATCTTACAGACTCACTCTTGCAGCAGATGTTCGTAGTCCGGTTTTTAGGATCTATGGCCGTTCAGTCAGATGACACCAGTGAGGTGATTTACGAAGCCATGAGACAAGTGTTGGCTGCTCGTGCCATCCACAACATATTCCGGATGACTGAGTCCCATCTCATGGTCACCAGCAAGAACCTGAGGTGCTGTAAAACCTTCGGCTTGTCAGCATTCCGGTCTCTTCATGCAGCTTGTGATTCGTGAAGCATTTTTGCTTTTGTCTTTTCAAGAAATGCACCCTTTGAGGGAGCAAGATCCCAAGATTCACTTTACGCAGTAGAAATGTCTCGTTTATTACTCTGTAGTATCTAGAAATCACCCTCCTGAGTAAGTTGTGAGGACATCCTTCCAAAATCTAGGGGATGCAGTGGGGCGATAAGGCCCCGCAAAGATGTACAAAAAGATGCAAGAAGGTGCCGTGGAAGATTCTCTTTCCTTACACGTAGTAACGGCAGGAGAACGATGGCCATCCTCTTGTCAGCACCGTCCCTGTAGAATATGTCAGTACAAACCACTCACGTCAGCTGGCGTGCGTGTATGTCCACGGGCGTATTAGCGTAGCGGCCCGGGGCTCGGGGGGCTCGGGGGGCTCGCCGAATCAGTGCGTGGGGAAGGTGCCGTGACCCGCGCGTGTCAGGCGCCCGGCGGTCAGGATCTAGAGTTGAACTTTGCCACCAACCCACATGAAAGCACAGACAAAGCATTTGCTTCCTCACATATGTCTCCTCGTCTGTGAAACTGCCGTAGTGACTGCCTTACTGCTGTAAAGCACCTTGAAATGACTAAGAATCGCTCTAAAATAACTTTTTTTTTTTTTTTTTTTCCCCCTACACATAATGGCAGGTTAATAGATCCTCAAACGCAAGTTACACGAACAAGTGTAAGTAACCTGTGTTTTTGGTTTGGTTTTTAACCACAGCGTTGAATACTCAGTCCCGTGAACTCGAGCTCTTGACCAAGCTAACCAAATGTTGGTTAAAAAAAAATAAATTATTACGCTTTTCCAGTTTGAACTTGCCACTGTGACGCAGTTTGCTGCTCATCAGGATAACAGGCGCCTGATTGGCTTTGTGGTCCATCTCAGTGAGGCTCCGGGAGAAGAATCCAGGAGCGCATATATTTTTGAGAGCAACACAGAAGGGGAAAAGGTTTGTGTAACGTTTAACAAAATACTTTATTCAGACAGCAGTTCTTAGGCTTCCCGGCTTACGCATCTGGGAAACGGTGCGGCGGAAAGAAGCGCAGCTCAACTGCTTGCCAAGAAAATACGCCGGGCTGTGGTAGCTTCTGTCTAAAAAGGAGCAGGCGTACAGCCACTGCAGCAGCACGGAGGGAAGGGAGTGGTTGCCCACCCGGGCACTAAGAGCCAGGGGAACGTGGGTGTGTCTTAACACCCAAGCGTTAAGAAGAAGTGGGTGTCAGCTGTGCTGAGCCGCCTCGCACGGCCCCGGAGCTTTCCACAGCCGCGGCAGCGCCTGCGGGTGCTCGCTGCGTCTGACAGCCACAGGCCATCCGGAGCGAGGGGTGTGCTGGGGAGTTGTCGTAGTGAGGAGCAGTAACGCTCCTGCGCGGGCTGGGAAAGATCCCCCGGGTTTGGAAATAAAGGTTGGTGAATAAAACTGAGTGGAGTACAAAGATTCAGCAGCCTCAGTGGGCTTGGTAGCAGAACCGAAGGTAGTTTCATTTTTACGTGGTTAGCATAGTGAATTGGTACCCCACATCTGCTTTCAGATCTGTGTTTAAGTTTACGTGGACACTTCTGGGTTTCAGTCCCCATCAAGGAACAAAAAAAAACCAAACTAAAAGTGAACTTTACATATATTTCTTTCTTTCAGATTTGCTACGCCATTAGCTTGGGAAAAGAAATCATTGAGGCACAGAAGGTGAGTTTGTTCCGTTCCCCATGTCTGTGTTGTGATACATCTCATCCTGCGTTGGGTTGCGCTGTCCAGGTACCTCTGGTACGTGTGAGAGGAAGGAACAGCTCTTCCTCCTCACGGCAAGAGTTCTGTGATATTAACGCAGCCCCTGTTAAATAAACTCGGGTTGATATTGCAGCAGCTTGATACCATTCGCCACCCTAAATCCGATCTGGAACTATACAAACCCCATTGTTCGTGTTTGAAAGGAAGCTGTGAGTGAGGTTTTCAAAAAAACCCCAAACTCTTTGGGATGAAGCATAAGTCACACCCGTTGCTGTTTCGCTTCTGTAAACTCACATTCCTTCCTCCCTTAGGAATGGCAACGTTACCTGGCCCCTCGCAGACAAGTTTTATCTATATACAGATGTGATACTGGGACAGCAATTAATATTTGCTGTGCATCAATATTTGCTGTATATTTCTGCCGCTAAGATTTCAGAACAAGTTGGGGGAATGTTCATCACAGGCAGCAAGCACAGGTATAATAAATAATTTACTTAGACAGTTGATTCATTTTTCAGCCATTATACCAACACCGGATACCAACAGCAAAATAAAGGCTCAGATGCAGTGACTTTTTTTTGCTTACAGACCAAAGAGGTAGTTTTACTGACCCAAAGGGGATTTTTTTATGTTTCAAACCTTAAGACTAAAGGTTGTCGTTTGAAAAAAAAAAAAGAAAGTTGCAAAACCTTAACGAGGAGCGCTGGGAAAACCGCGTGCCCCTCAAGGCCGCTGCAGCCCGCTGCACTCTGCTTTGTTTCCGCCCAGGACCCAGCAGCGTTAGCGCGGCTCATGCGGTCGGTGCCCTTAACGAACGACGGGAAGTTCGTGCTGCTCGCCGAAACGTCACAAGAGGGCGGAGCCAGCCACGAGGAAGGGGAGGAGTCAGAAGCATAAACCCCGCCCCCGCCCCCCCGTGTCGTTTCCTGCGGGCCTGCGTGCGTGGCAGCAGGAAAAGCCGGGAGTTTCCCTGCCAGAATCTCTTCAAGTTTTCGGTCGTCCGCGCACACGCGAGCCCGCTTCTGCCTTGGTGACGGAGTGGGGGGGGCGTCACGTCCCCGCAGCGGCCTGGCCGCTGGGTTTGCGAGGGGGCGGCAGCGGCCTGCGGGGGTGCTGCTCCCCTCCGGGGGGGCTGCTCCCCTCCGGGGGTGCTGCCCCTCCCCGGGGGTGCTGCCCCTCCCCGGGGGGGCTGCTCCTCTCCGGGGGGGCTGCTCCCCTCCGGGGGGGCTGCTGCTCTCCGGGGGGGCTCCCGGCTGAGCCCGGTGCTGCCGGGGGGGGGGGGGGGGGGGGGGGGCGCAGCCCGGCAGCCGCGAAGGGTTAACGGCGCGGCTTCAGCTTTGCGGGGGGAGCAGCTGCCCGGCCCCGGGGAGTTGTCCAGAGCCGGGGGCCCTCGGCTCCTCTAACCAGGAGCAGGCCGCAAATCCCCTACCGCAGGCGATTTTCCTAGTTTGCATGATGATGTGCACCTGGATGAAGGTTAAAAAATGCACTATTTCCTTTATTTTCAGATGAAGTTATTTTTAGTCTAGTGTAAGTGTAACAGGATCTATCTTTTGTGCTAGCTTATTTACAAAATGATTTGTTAAACACTAAATTTTTCCTATTAATATAATCTATTTTTATATTGCATCTAGAATAAGCTTACAAAACCAATCCAAGTGCCTACTCTTACCTTCCCGGGGACCGCGCTCACACATTCTGTCATTAAATAATGGGCATGATGTACCTCCCTGATGTATTATCGTGAATCCCACTGCTGTGCAAACAGCAGAAGCAGTCGAGGGCTGGGGCGTGTTAATCGCGTGCAGTTTTTCTGTGGGTAGGTTTCTTAAAAGTTAAGTTGCCAGAGATAATAGCTGTAGGACGTGTAAGTACTTTCATAGTAAGAATTCTTTGTATTTTTAACATGGTGACACGCAACACTCGAGCCCACCAGCGGTCTTGGGTTTTAAGGAACCGAGCAATAAAACCCCAGCTTGGGAGTCTACAGTGTATTGACTAGTCTCATAGTACCCTCCTGAACTTAGAAGCTGAATAGATTTGGCTAAGACGTTTAGATTTTTTTCCCCCTCCAGTTTAACCTCAAAACATGAGAAACTATTTTTGTTTGTTCTTGCAAAATACAAACAGTAGTTGGGGGGGCGGGGTGAGGAGTGGTAGAATCTATGGAATAGTTTGTATTAATCGAGTTAAGGGAACTGGAGCAAACGGCTGAAATTCCTTGAACTTAAGTTTAACTCTTCTCACTCACTAGGAAACTAGACTCCAGTTTGCAAGTGCTTGACTGAATAAATTCAAATTTAGCTAGCTGTTGAATGTTTAATTTAAAAGAGCCATGGAAGAAAACTGTTAGTAACTGACACACAAACTTCTTCATAAATAAAATCTGAAGCTATCTGATTAAGACCTGTTGAACTGATGTTACTGAAGACACGAATGAGGAGGTTCTCAAAATTGCGTTTATTAACACAGTTATGTACAGAACGTTCTCTCCTCACAAACCAAAGAGACTGAGGTAACAAAACACCCTTTTGTACAATGAGTCAGGAAACATTAAGTGTTACATTTGGTCCGTTGTACCTGAGAAGCTGAAGACAGCTGTTGTTGATGGCCATCAGATGAAAACTCCACTCCTGACCGCGGACCACACCAGGACCTCCAGCACCGCCGGCAGTTCATTTCCCGCGGAGCAGACACACCAGCCCGGTGCTGCTGGGCCCATCCCTCCTCCCCAGTCGGCGCAATCGCCCTTCACCCTGGTTGTTTGGTGGCACCTCTGCTCTGCCCTCGCCCCCCCCGACCACCACCCCGCCGCAGGGGGAAGGGGCAGGGCAGCTCCCCCAGGCTCCCGGCCTGAGGGGGCACCGCGCCCCAGCAGGAGGGGCTGCAGGACCCCTGGAAATGCTGCTGCTGCTGCTGCTGCTGCTGCCACCCGTAGGTGCAACAGCCTCGTCGCAAGACGAGCCAGGAGGGCGGGGGTGGCAGCTGCCCGCTCGGGGGGGAGATGGGCCTGGAGCCTGTTCTGCCCCTGCCCTGAAGGAAAAAAAAAAAAAACCACCACCACTAGGGATCTGTTCTGCGTCCCTGCAGCAAACTCAGCCTCCCTTTCCTTTTATCACCTCTGGGAATTTCGAGGGAGCGCATTCTGTTTAGCTTGGAACTGAAACAAAAAAATATTTTCTGTTTTAGTTCCATTGTCTCCTCTCCAGGCAACCAGTTTGGGGCCATTTTGTTCCTGTAATTGGAACGGGAGGGCAAAAGCAATGAGAAGAGCAGTAGCACCACAGCAAGAATTTTGTACCTCTTCCAGATCCCTGCGGGGGGAAAAAGGATTTACTGTGACTCTCACTGACACGGAGGGGTGTGACATCCAAAGTCAGGACCCACCTTGTATTTCAGATGAGGAAAGCTTGCTGCACGTATATGCTGCTACATGACAAAAAGAAAGAAATCTAAACTACAATCCCGTATTAGCAAGAATAGCTCTATTATCACTGTACATATTTGTGTCTATTTATATATTTTTGCCACATATAGTATACATTCAGGTCTCCCAGATTAAACAGGGTTCTATAAAAAATAGGCTTATGTCTTTCCTTTAGAATTTCCATCGCCAGAACCACACGAATTTGTTAGTCACCATCCATTAAGAAAACGCACAGTTCAATTTATCTTCAACTGCAAAGTATTACCTATTTGAGCCAGCGTCTTTCCAAAAAAAAAAAAATAGCAGAAGGGAAAATACAAGTCCAGATTTTATTCCAGGGCAGGTAATGCCTTGACTGTACATAGCTACCTAGCAATGCCATCGTGGGGGACACAAACACCATCGACACGTGGTTCTGCAGTTGCGGTGGAAGGAGGCAATGTAGTGCCTGGCCACTCCAGGCCAAGAACTTAACGTGCCTTCAGATGAGACAGGAATATGGAAATGTGGACACTTCAATTGCAACAGGATGGAAACTAGCAGCAGCAGCAAGGATGCTGATCTCAGCGGCGCTACCAAGGGTGCAGCGTGGGCACAGTTTGGTCAAAAAAAAGTGTACACAAATTGCCAAAAAAAAAAAAAAAAAAAAAACCACCAAACCAAAACCCTGTATCAAAATAAAAAGGCAAAAATAACAAATCGAGTAATGCAGCATTCTTTAGGGCAGTCTCTGCAAGTTACGGTGAATTAAAATAAAAACTTTATAATGAGCACTGCTGATTTAAACAGTCCACAAGGCTTCCATGACGTGTTTTCAGACCTAATGAAAGGACTTTCATAGTCATCCGGTCTTTCCAGTTGCAACAAAGCATTTGTCCTGGCTTTCTGAAGGTTGAAGTGACTGGCGGGAAAGGGTGGATCACAAATACACCAGGAATGGTCTTAACCAGTGACCCAGGGGTGGGTGGAACAATCTGAACCATTAAAACATTACCTTTTCTGTAATTAGGTGAAAGAAGCTGGCAAGTACGGTCTAAAAATACAGTTAAAGAGTGTTAAACCCCCTCCCCCCCCCAAAAAAGTAATTCTCAGATGGACAGCCTAAGTAGTTTATTCTAGCTAGTAAGACCTAGAAGTGTTTTACGTTCTGGGAGATTAAAACACAACTGTATCTTTTAATGGAAGTGGTGTTTACGTTTAAGCTAAGCCTAGCTACTTAAGTTAGGAATCTGAGTAACTCTCGCACAGTCTAGACCCTCTACTTGCAGGCATTACAGATGTTTTATTTATACAGAGTTCTCACAGTGTTCAGCAGCTTCTGAAGCCTGCAGTGCAATTCTTGTTAATAATCAGGCATGTCAGACTGTATGAACAACACGGACAGTACAAGAGACCTACAAAGGTGAGGAAATACAGCATTGAGGCTGAAACTTGCAATTAGGCACAACATATTAATGAACTGTAAGATCACTTAATAGTTACAGACACCCATTACACAGTGTCTGGTCATAAAAGGAAGAGCTGATTGTGGTTCTGTCTTGGCTCTGGATTTCCTTACTTCTGTGGACGCAAGTCAGACCTTCGGTATGAAATGAGAAGGAATTGATTACGTTAACTTCTCTGGTTTTCCCATTCTCTGATACGGGGGGAAAAAACAGCAGGGGAAAAATAAATGTCTGACAGGATCCTAAGTTCCCACAGTGCAATTACTGCCTATAGTAATAATAAGGGTTCGTGGAATAAAACATTAATGACGATTTCCATTTTGTGGGATAGCTTTAACATACACTGTTACACTTACAATGTAACCTGTGGCTGCATTAAATACAACAGAACTGCATAAAACCAGCTCTGAATTATTTCTCAGACAAGAGATAAACACAATGCCTTGAGTCAATTTTTTTTTTCTGGTTGAAAAGATGCACCGGTTCAAACCTTACGGCCTGTGAGTTTGCTTTTGGTTGTTTGGTTTGGGTTTTGGCTTTTTTTTGTTTTTTTGCTTTGTTTTTAAATGCTATGTTAGAGATGCAAGAATGCATCTAAAAATCAGTAAGATTTTTTTTTCCTGCACATCTCTGCTTCAAAATAACTACCTCCCAGGGCCACACTTTACATCATTATTTTGAATGTAAAGAAAGAGCTGTAAATAATTTAAACTCCTGAGAAATAGGAGTGTCTACAAGAAATATAGGCAAACACAGACCTAGCCTCACTGGCGGCTCAGATACTACTGTACATTTTTTCTTGGGTTTAACAGAGCAAGTAAATCAAATCGAGAGCTTTTACCCCCTACAGAGTGTTACTGATAACAAGAACATGAATTATATGAGTAAGTAATCATCACCCATACCAGGCACATCATTTCACAACAGGATCTGCAGGCGTAGAGTTGGAAAGATCTCCATTGCTTGCTTTAACAGATTCTTCTACAAAAAATAAAAAATAAAGACATGCATCACGTTCAACATTTGATATAAGGCTGTAAAAACGAAGTCTTAGCATATATCTCATGCTTATGTCCCAGCACACTTGGTGCAGTTTGCCATGGTCAGCGTATGCAGACTGACCTTGCAGCACAAAGGTCCTGGCCCTGTGAAGGAATGTGTATTTGGGCTGAAAGGTTTCTTCAGTCAGTAGAACTTGCACAGACACTGAAAGCGGGCGCGCATGTATGTGTAGAGTCCAAATGCAAGTACTACCGTAGAAGGCAAAGATATTACTGTGTTCAAAACTTTTCACCCCGATATGCATTTCAAGCTTTTCTTGCCACAAAACACATTTTTTCAGGGAACCGAACATGTATCACAACAGTGAGCATTTGACCTAAACTATAAGTAACGGATGTCCTACAAAATGCTCTCCTTCAGAAGCCAGGGTAGTACGTCTGTCCCTACTCACCACAGTGCTCACACAGTTGTATTTCTGGTGGGTTTTTTTGCTGTTTGTTTTATTTGAGTTGCAGACTCAAACTTCACTGAATACAATGAAATGCAAATTAATGCTAAATAAGCCTTCCTTCTTTGCAAACACTTTGCCTAGTGCAGAAGAAATGTAATCTCACAGGTCGCTTGTGCCTTTGTCAGAACTACGCTGGAAAATTATTTATCAACTCCATTTTTAATATACTGCTACACGAGTTTCCAGGTAACTTGTGACTGAACTGCACTTCTGTATCTTAACCCTTGGGAACATTCTCTTTTCTTTGAAAAAGCTTTCCCAGGCTCATGAGAATCTTCCAGAATTCACGAGAGAGAATATATAAGGCATGAGTATAAACTGCAAAATACCCACGTTACCTAGTCAAGAGACCATAACCACACATTAAGATCTTACCCCTTTAATATAATTCAGTGTAGACCAAAATACATCATAAACACCTGAAGGCCACCTGTAATATCTGCATCATCTGCCTACATAAGTTGAAAAACAGCTGGTAAACAACAGGTAACAAACACCAGCTTATTTCACAGCAGCTAAGGTTGTGCAGAAAAGGCTGTCATTGTCAAAACGGGGAATGGAGAGGGCAAGTATGACACAGAAGTTACTGAGCTTACTATCACTGCAAGTAAGCAATTCTCCCTGTCCCAGATTTTTTGGCATCGGGTAGGCTTTTTGTGGCGTTGGGTTTGGGTTTGTTTTTTTTTTTTTTTTTGTTGTTGTCCCCCACCCCCGAAGCTCAGCTTTGGAATGGGTGCATTTTCAGAAGGCCTCCGTGAGCTGTTCTTGACTCCCCAGTCACATTTGACCCCATAAAACTTTCTGGAATACTGCATCAGCCCACTAGCAACCAAGCAGCCATGGAAAAAGAAGAAAAGCACTTTCCCTACTAAGGCGCACGCTTTCATGAGCCAAAATGTTCTATTCTACATCTAGCATTTACTCACCTTCTTTTTCTTTCCTTTCCTGGTTTTCTTCTGCTGCGGTTTTATCTGCTCTGAAAAAAATTCTTGCACTACTTAGTGAGAAATAAAGGAGTTCAAATTCCTAAAGGACAAGACACAAAAGAGGAATGTCAGAGTATCACAAGAATTCATTTGTAGACAGCTATAAATGGGATTTTTCAGAAGCATCTAAGGCAACCAGATTTCAGTATCTAAATCTCTTAAATGCTTTTGAAAATCTTCCTCCATTCATACCTTGTTCACATGCATTTTACAAAGCAAATGTCAGCCAAAAGCTCTAAAGGGTAATTTAAGCAAAGCAGCATCGGTGCAATAAATCTGTCACTAATCTACTGAGGCTGAAAATGAGGCTTGTAGCAGCAGTGAGAATTTGGAGCAGCTTGCCCATGGAAAATCATGCAAGCCAGGAATTGAAATGACCACGAGCTTGATCAGTTTCTGAACAAGGTTCAGTGATGTATTGCTGTTTTTTTTTGTTTTTTTTTTTTTTTTTTAACACCAGAGGACCAAATGCAGTGCACAAGCGTGGGAGTCATGAGGACACAGAGGGCTTTATCTATTTCAACAACAAATGTGCTTTTACAGAATGTAATCATGGGCTATTTATAAATATCCAACTACAGATTTGTCCCATAGCCTCTTCAAATCAAGAGCAGAGAGAAAGCATTTATACCACTGACGAAAGCTGAACTGCTATGCTTCAGAATTCAAATATCTTTCCTCTATAACTTGGCAGCTTGGAAGCAACTCTGAAGGTTAACAGTGTTATTATGCAAAATCCTTGCTACAAGAAATTGAACCAAAAAGTTAGTGGCTCCTCTTTAAGCATTTGGGTTTTAGTTGCATTAGACTTCAAATTCCACGGGACAAAGATTCCTAATCAAACAGGTCAAGTTCTCGACTCACTCAAGCACAACATCCCCTTTGGATCATACACCTCAAGTCTTTATATTCCTTTTGCGTTGTTGCTGTAGACAGGGGGCTCTGGTTTTTGCTCCTGCCAGGCTCCATCAGCAAACAGATATCTGAATTTTGATGGTTAAGTGCAGAACTCTATACAGAACAGGTAACTCGACCCATGCTATACCTGTAAACAAACTTCCAGTCGCTTGTGGGTAAGGTTCATAGTTTGCAGCAGCTTTTCATCTTGATTAGTGGACTGCACATTCTGTTGCTTAGCTACTGCTCTGATTTCCTTCACGTACTTCTCTCTAACAGACTGGAACCAGTGCAGAGAATCAAACTCTTGGTACTGATCCAAAAGCTTCAGAATGTAAGCCACACCTATAGGCATTAACAAATCATGTACCAAAGTCAACATGTAATCTGTAAAACATTTTGTAAGTGTCTTTAATGGATCAGCCTAAATTAATAATTCCTACATGACTAAAATTTAAATCTCAATTAATTTACAATTAAATCTAACAGGAAAAAAAAATCATAATAAAGAACACGCCTCAATTTTTGAAAACCTTGTAGCTGATCCAAAGACTTGCACACCTTCCCATCTGCTGAGATCTGCAAGCCTTGAAAGAAATTAGGAAGCACCCACTAACAACAAAACTGTTTGCTCCCATACTCAGGTATTCCGTGCTTAGGAGACCCTGAACAAAACAACAGCCCTCAAATCCATTGTGCTGAAGCCAAAACAAGCCAAATTTAAATTATGAAATTTTTAATTATGGAAACACGCAAAATATAAACAAAGTTTTTCTTGCAAATACCCGTTAAGTTGGCTTACCTGAAAGCTAGTCAGTGTGCTGACACTTACCCATTGCAAACCCATCATCAGTGAAAGCTGCTCCACTTTTGTTCTTCTTATTCAATTTCTCCTTGCAACTAATGGAATGCTCTACAAAATTGAGGGTCTGAAAAAGTGAAAAGTTGTTTTGGAACCATCAAGAGACTCGCAAATTTTAAAAGGTGTTCGCATGCATGCTGTTAGCTATGAATATAATTCCATGCCAAAAACTATGCTAATTGTGGCTCCCATCATTAGGCATTTCTGTATGATAACTTGTCCTTTTTATGGATTTTTGGGGAAGAAAGCAAGTTAAGCTTTGGAAAACACTTGCATCTACGTAACTAAAAAAAAAAAAAAAACAAAGGCACATTTTCATCTTTGCTGTTCTTGTCAGACTTTTTACTTTACACTCTCTTGCTGATCACTAGAGGTAAACATGTAGACAAGTAAAGGATAATTAAAATAGTGTAGGTTCCTGGGAAGCTTAAAGATACTAGCGTTTTAAAGCTACAGTGTGTTATTTCACTCTATTTAGAAAACTGAAAAAACCACATCAATAGTGTTCCATTTACAACGATGCTGAATGACAGATCCAGGTAGCAAAACTGAGCGATGGGTCTGTATCCGATGACTACTTGAGATGTGGAAATGTGTCTACATTAACAATTTCTTGAAAACCTACGACACACTTTCAGATTTAACTACACTGAAATACTTTTTAAAAACTGAAATTGATGGTATATTCCTGAAACTGTATTTATCAGGAAAAAACCTCTACAAATGGGAAGGAAAAAGAACAAAATTATGTGTCATGAGGCTTTACTCTCCCTCACTTGTAACACCACGACGTACCTGTGCTCTCACAGTCTTAAATTTATGCCTCAGCAGCACTCCAAAATTAGTTTCTAAAAGGGGTTGTTAAACATGAATCTGTTTAGACCATTCAGGCCTTCAAATTGAACTGCTTCCCAACGTCCAGAATGCTGCACTCGAGTGTTCATCACCTCAATTCAACTGGATTCTTTCTAAATTAAACTCACTCGCAAAAGCAAGTCCAGTTGCAATAGAGGGGGCCCCGATTTTACTGCCTTAGAACATGACATTAAAAGATCCTAAAGATCCCTAATGTGATGCGGAAGAGCAAACGCACGAGCAAGCTGAAGAACGTGGTTTTAAACTCCCTTCATCTTTGCTCTTCTTATTCCTCCTTTCTCATCTTGGCTTCTCCAAATTTGAAATAGGAGAAGTTTTTAAAGTCACCTTTTAAGTGCTAGTACATCAACTGATGTAAATAAAGAAGAAACATGGCTTTGGACAACTACCAGCAAAGCCATGCTCAAAACAATCCCACTCATAATCAGGGAAAAAGGTAGAATACGCAAGTCAACAGCCCGGTGCAAAATATTTAAACACAAACCTGATCTGATACATTTTTAAAAACAAGAACTGGTACACACAGTGCAAATACTAACCAGTGGGGGAACAATTATATAGAAGTTCCGCAAATGCATGTTCTTTGGGCTGCGGAATTCAGGAGCAAATACATCCACAAGCATTTTGAAGTACTCCGTCCCTTCTGCAAAGTTACGGGTGAGGTCACTGAGGACAGAGTCCAACTGCCTGCAAAGGATAAACAGCAATGTGTTACCTGATTTCTCCTCAAAGTTTCTTTGCTTACTCACCCCTTGGGATAACAACCCTCTCTTCACCCTCCAGCTACACCCACAATCCGGTATTCAGACCGGAGTGTCCAAGATTACAGCCACCTGAATCACATTTCTTCATTTCATTTTCTCAGAAAAGGTCTATGAATAGACTACTTGCAACTTTTTTTTCCTAGGGCCCTAAACATTCTAAAAGTAGATGTCAGACACATGGCGAGGAAGGCTTGTTGGCCTTCAAACCACAGGGATTTTTTAAAGAAACAAGGTTCTAACAGTCCATTTTTAAAAATGCAAAGTAGCATTTGTACAACACCTGTTTCTAATTTCTCTGCTTTGAAGAGCAGTAAACGTTTTTGCATAGATCAGCTGAACTTTACACACGCACACACACACAACTAATAGCTGTATTTATAAGTTAAAAATTATAATTCTCTCATGCCATCCCTGCCTCAGACCTCAAAAGCAAAATGTCAGGGTACCTGGCTGCTTTCTGTGTTTCTTCTGCGAGTCCTTCTTCTTTCACCAGCTCTTCGAAGTTAACGATATCTTCCAGATCAGGAACAAACCTGAAAATTTACTGCTTCTTAGGATTATGCTCAACTGTTTATGTTCACTGAAGTATCTACCATAATTTATAATTTAGTTATTTTAGTGTTCTGTGCTCGAACTACTTGAAGTTGTAGCACATCTGCCATATCATTCTCATCGAGGCACTATTCAATTCACTTCTAAACACACACACAGTTTGTACTTCTGCCTTTACCAGGCTACCATCTCCTCTCTAGCACCTGCTGCCCCGATAACCCTAAGTTTACTATTACTTGCAAGAAAACCAATGATTTACTTGTATGTAGAAGTCACTATGTTTTAATGTCTTCATATGAACACAGACAATCATCTATACAGAAAAAACTCTCAAAGAAATGCTTCTCCCAAGTTCCTTGAGGCTTGTACTATTTTTCCTTAATGTAACCTAGAAGTGATTAAAATCAGGATTTACTGACTTAAGGACTAATGACTTACGTGTACATTCTATTAACTCTTTTGCAGCATTTTTCCATAGAATTTGTTTGATTTGCAGGCGTTTATGGCAACAATTGTACAGCACTGTTTTTGATAATTTCACTTCAATGAAAACGTATCTATTCAAAATTTATGGGGGATGGGTAAGAACCTAGGGAATAGCAGCATGAATAGGGAGCAAAGGAATGAGAAGGAGTAAACAGAAAAATTAAATATCTGTATAAGTACCTAATTGCACTACTACAGCAGTGAAGTCCACCAGATCTTATCATTCGTACGTAGCCCATAGCGTTGCCTTTAAAAACAAGAAAAAACAATGTACTGAAACACACACTTCATAATTCCTATAAACTCGGAAATGTAAATTAAAGCTGGCATATACTTCTGGCTAAGAAACTGTCCTGAAAGCCAAGTTTAAAAAGGTGTGTTGAACGCCAGTATCAAAAGTCTATGTAGAGACATAAAACACAAACGTGTCATCTAGCAAGGCAGCGTTCACTGTCCTGACAACGTAAGGGCCAGACAGCACAAGCGCTTTCCACTGGGCACATTAAACACCTGCAAGTTCAGATCAGTCCTGCACATCTATAGCATCAGTGGCTGAAAGTACCGTTGTAATGTCCTACACCACCCAGAGTTACTTCAGCTGGGTATACGGCCATTTTCTGAAATACATGAACTTAAGGATATTGTGTATATCCAGAACACGCAATCTGGGTAAAAATCAGTTCCATGACAAAGAAAAGAACAACTTCAAAGGGAACAGGCATCTATGCAAAGCTGTAGCTGTGTTTTAAAGACATGTAAGGGCCATTCTGTGTAATTTAACAAGAGTATGTCGTGGGGTACAAGCGAAGTACTTTCCATCTAACCAAAGTTAAATCTAGTTTTAGCTTGAGCTGAAAGTTCAATTACTAGACGATGAAAATATCTTCCATTTAATAACATTTATAACATTCCCTTAGATAGCATTTCATACCAATTTGACTTATGAGTTGTCTGAACTGGTCAAGATAGCTCTGGCCATCCGGGGTTATTCCAAGTTTCCTGATTCCACGGTTGAATTTATCTGCTCTTTCAAAAGGATACTAAAAAAATATGTTAGAAGAATTTGTAAGAATAATTACCTATTGTAAAAAAAAAAAAAGCCAAACTTTTTTTCCATCATGTCAATACAATTCTATTTGCAATGTATTCCCACCTTGCATTTACAGCTTCATTTTTTTAATAAATTATACACCTACCTGTCTATATTAATTCACAAAACTAATTTGGCTAAGTCACTTCTGCAAGCTGAGAAGCGAAATAGAAGTGTTACTGTGAACAAGCAAGTATTCCTAAAAGAAATAAGCACTCGACATGCAAAGAAGCTGGCAGTCTATTAATATGTTACCTCTAGCATTTTTGAGAAACCAATTTTCCAGCACGGAAAATCAGGCCCTAGCCCCCAGATCTTGACACACTGGAATAAGCGCTACATGTTCACATCATTTTGGATTCACTTTGAATAATCTTATTATTCAAAATTGACAACTGTTAAGTATGATTTGGACCAGAAGTTTAGGACCTCCAATAGACTAGGACTCCATCAAATCATTGTTTTCAGGTTACAGAGAATTATTTTAGCCAGCCTCATATTTACAGACCAGCCACAATGAAACAAAGCCATCCCGAACACAAACATTTGTAGCACTGAATTTTACTAGGACAAAAGCTGCCACTCGTCTGGAGATTCACACTTAAATAATAGGGATGTTTTGGTTTGGTGCACCTTCAGTCACATGAAAGCAGCACTTATTTGAGCCTCTCGATCCTTCAAAAATTACTTTACCTTATGATCATTTTGATCCTTGACTTCCCTGAAGAATCTGATGTCTTTGATAAGCCTGGATTTTATATGTTCATCATACATGAACTGGCTAAAAATATAAAACTTTTTCCTCAAAAATTGATAAGTGAAGTTTACCTAGAAGGAAAAAAAAAAAGTAAAATCAAGGAAGTTGGCAAAGTAACAAGCATATCTAGCAACTTGCTTTCAGTAGATTCCCAAGTACTGGAAACTTCTACTCAATTTGTTATTCTCAACTTTTTCATTTCACTGGTTTAAAAGAATAAAGAAAACCCTTCTCCTGGAAAGGTGGTTCTCTTCCAGGAAGGGCAGAGGGACCAAGGGACAAGTTAGCTGTTTCAGTTGCATGACCTGCCTTACACAGCCATTAGTTTACGTTTGGAATATCCTGTGACTGTCCTTTTGAAGCAATACAAACATTTCAGGTTGAAATGGGCAGACAAGCTCAAGTTCCCCACGCAAGCTGTGGAATCTGCATAACCTCCTGACACACATTTTCACTTCCTTAATGTTTTCTAACACACTTTCCCAGAAGGCAGAAGTGCACTTCCACCCTACACCTATGGATTAGTTCTCATGTCTGCATAAATAACTTTACTCACAATCAGAAGCGAATCAATCTGTATCACCAGCAAATAATGTGAGTAAGCTTTTTTTGAGTAACTCAGAAAAATAATGCAAGGGAAGTTATTTCCAATAGTACAAGAAATCATTAAAACCTTTTTTTTCCCCCTAATATTTTCCACTTCCAAAGTAATGACTTGAGAGCAGGTTCAATATGTCAGGAAGTTGTTTGGGTTTTTTGTTTTCTTTTATTATAGGGCCAGAAGAATGGGAAAAAGAAAAGAGCAAAGAAGTAGAAAGAAATTAAACAGCAGATTAGAAAGCACCAACCTGAAAACGCCTTTGGCACTGTATCCAAATTTGAGAACCACAATGATAAATTCCTGCTGCAGTAGGCATACCACAGGAAAGTGCCCTTACCTACCTTGCAAAGAGGTAAATGCCTTCGGCCGGTTAAAATGACCACCTACACTACAGGCATCATTCACAGCATTGCAGTAAGAAGTCAGTCTTCCAATAAACAATCAGAGATCTGTAGTTTTTATTTCACACATTGAAAAGCTTATGTTTCTTAAGTTTAATGATTACAAGAAGAACTGAAAAAATTAACATTGCATTTCTTCAATATTTGTTTTAACTGCAGCAAAAGTATCTGTCTACTAAGTGTCAATAAGGAGAAACTTCAAGCGTGGCAATTTATGCAGGCAGCTTAGCAATCAAAACATTTTACTATGCTAGTTTGGTAAGTATAATTTAACTTTACTGAAATTCAGAGTCCCACCAGAACATCTGTATCTTCTTTGACGTGTTTTTAGATCTCTTCATTAACTTCTATGTAACTGGAAGTGGCATAACTCCCAAGAGGGTGTGATACTGATTTCTGTTATGTCCAAGAACTGATTTTATTCACACACGCAGAACATTATTACTGCCTCATTAAAACTGCACAAGCAAATAAACCATCAGGATATGCAAGCCTTTGGAGGCTTTTGTGCACTATTAAGGAAAAAAAAAAAAATAAATGCAGCAACAGTGCAAAAGATACTCACTGTTGTGTTCATGATTCCCGTTCCATGAGTTCGAATTGAATTAGCAATGTGTCGGATATTGATAGTGTTCAAGTGTTTGTTATTACTTGTTCTTTCGATGAAGATCTGGGAGGCATGGGGGGGTGGAAAAATAAAGTTATTTAACCAAAACCGATTCTGTGATAAATTATCGATCTAGGTGGCCCATATCCTATTTCTGAGAGCAGTTAATAACTGTTGACTGGGGAAAGAAACAAAAAATACAGCATGCATACAATAAACTTCATCTGGTGGGTTCTTCCCATTTCTGCAAAGCAGTGATTCAACAATTCGGAGGCAGACCCAAACTCTCATATTTATTGAGACTATACCCTACACTAATTGGTCTAAACTGGTTTTGGCGCCTGTTTCTACTTTTGGCCTCACTATATACCACGGCGATGAGTTCCACTGCTGAATTATGTGCCATGAGAAAAAAGTATTTCCTTTTCTTTAAGGAATCCCCTCATTTTCCCATTGTGAGAAACCACAAAGGGTTGTTCCCTGTACATGTTCTTCATGACATTCACTGCTTCATCTCTCTAATAACCTGCTTTCACACACCCTTTTTTCAAGTTGAAGAACCACGTACTGGGTATGTCCTTATAGAGCAGCCAGTTATCCTTGCTGCCTTCTCCCAGCTTCACTGGAATATGACAGAGCGATCCTATTGGCACACTGTACTCAACAGGTACTTGGAGAACATTCTCTGAGACCTACCTAAAGCATCCCCAAAGATGTTTTTCTAGAGCAGCAATAGCTAGTGTACAACTTTTTATTAAGTATGCTCAGCTTGGGTTTTTCTTATGGGTATATTACTCCGCATTTCTCAATCCCTTCAAATCAGACCCAAATCCAGACAAATGTATGGGATATACCTTACCTGATTATTCAGATTGTAGAGGTAGCGGGATACAAAAACATGAATATTTCTCATGATTTCCAAAACATCCAGACCCTGAAACAATATTATCCATTGAGAATTCTTACTGATAAAAATTCTCAAGAACTAGTGACATGCCTAACCACTAAGGTGTGCAAATACTATTTCTGTCGTTACTTGAAAGCATTTTAGAAAGCCCTGTTTTCACTTTGCAAAATGAAGAATCTCTTTATTTTTGTTCAGTGTCTGTAAGATAATGCTTAAAGGAGAAAAAAACCTCAGCTGACGTTTTTCCAGCTTCCCCTAAAAGTAAGGAACCCTCCAGGCTGTTCCACAAGCCCCAGTTAAAATAAAATTGAGATTTGGCTGTTCTCAGATTCCAGAAAAATGGAACCTTGCATTAGAGATTTCTACAGAGACATCAGCAACTAGCTACTTTTTGATATCGTTTTGCCCAGCCTGTCCAGAAGACTGAAATTTTGTCTTTACAATATAAGTTTTACAACTGTTTTGCTTGAAGGAGTCCCTTTAGTACCACTGTGTATAGAGAGGATGCTATTTAATCTACACACTCTATTTCCAGTTGTGCCAAGGATTTTCTTAGGATTTTGCTGGAAGGAATGGAGTGTGGGGTATCTTTGTTTTGAAGTAAAGCTCATACCAGAATGAATGCTATGAAACCAATGTTGTGAAATTATTTAATTCTTTGTAACAATGTGATGGCCAAATATTGCCAACAGAAAGCCAAAGCCAGAAATAGAAACTACTCCACAGCACTTTTGTACCAAGAAGCAGCTAGAGTTTTTAGTTCTATGCCCTTTTTCAAATTAGGAAGACGCAGCCATCACGAATGTCAGAAAAAAAGGCTGTATTTTCTAAGAGCTTTCACCAATATATTACCACAAATGAGGGAATGAAACTAACTGTCAAAAAATATCCAGGATCCTAAAACTCTTGAAGTCTTCGGAAATACGCAAGTTGTATTTCTTTTGCATCAACCCCATAACAGTGAATGCCTTTACCATCTACTTGATGAAACTACAACTTTATACGTAGCCATGTTTAGCCATTTCTAGGAGGTTCTAAGTCACTCTCCTATTAAGTTAACCACGAATGTCCCAAAGTCCTTGATGTGCAGCCTATGAAATAGTTTCTCTTGATGATCACTAAGCAGAACCTGCTGAGAAGCAAGCAATAAACCAGGGAAGAGACCCACCTTTTGAAGGTCATTCACGCCTGTGACAGTTGTATTCCAGATGTACTGCTTGCCAAATTGCTGATACTGAATTTTCAAGAAAACGTTCTCTGACTTTGTATATCCAATTTAATTTTATTAAATCTTATGTTAAAAAGGAATGATACAAGTTCAGTGTGAAATTATCTGATATTGGTGTTATGTCCAATGGTAGATAAAGATCCTGCCTCAGAAGTCAACCAGAAATTAAAGGTCACTTTTTCCAAACAGTTCTCTAATCTTGAATACTTTCATTTTAATAACTCAGTCCTTTGAACAGTTAGCTGGTATGACCGTGTAAGGGAACAAATTATATTCATATCCTGTGGGCACCGTACCTGTTCCAGAGTCTGACTGGGAAGATGTGCTTCAGTCATACATAAACCGTAGCGCTGAGTTGCTAGGTTTCTCATTTCACTGTAGGTGGCCCAGTCATGAAGAGCTACAGTCGTTAAGTTGTAGAAGGTCTTGTCCAAATAGTGAGTTACATAAGCTGCAAACACATAGAGGGATAAACTAAAATAACACTACCTATTCAGTTAGGAAATTGTGGGGAGAAGGGAAAAGACACACTAAGCCAAAGTGTAACAGAGATTAAAGTAATGGAATCAAAACATATAACTCCTCACCTTTTATGTCAATGAATCGATTGAAAAAACGTATTGGGTTCAAAAAGAAGAAGTGAGCTAGATCCTTCATACCAACTCTGAAGGGGTTTCTGTCATCCAGCTTTAGGTGTGTATGAACCGATAAGCGCAGGTCCTTTTCTATCTCTTTACATAATTTGTCCAGCAAGTGCTATTCAGGGAAGTTAAAAAAAAAAAAATGTCATGTTCAGTATCTACTTACTCCGTTAGCAGAACTGACATCTCTCTCCAGAGATACATAAAAGACTGATTAAGCTAGTGAAGACGGCTTTGCTTTGGCAGGGCCACACAAGTCAAAGTGAATCAATACTTGGGAACCAGAAGGATATTTATGTGTTCTTCTTCTAGTACACAATAGCAAGAAAAAGCTACGCAGATCAGACAAGGTAAAGGTTTAGCTACCTAATGGCATTTTGTACACTATTAAAACTTCCACGTAGGAGTTTAACACAACCTAAACTTAAATATTCTCACTTCTCATCTTAAGGGCAACTAGGCTTAGGGCTATCTATCTAGATAATAATAAGACCTAACTCCGTGAGGAAGAGTCTTGCAATAAGCAATTTGGCCCAATTTTCTGCAGAATATGTAATATTTGGATTTGAACTAGTCAAAGAGTGGTTCAAAGGTTAAAACCTAGGACTTGGGAAATCTGAATTCACATTTTCTCTCTGTCAAACATCCTTCATAATTCTAGATAATAATTCACTAAAGAGGCCACCTACATTTACAGAGCCTTCACTACTAAAAGCCATGCATACACACTAAGAACAGTAGAACTTATTTTAGGCATTCATACAAGCAGAAGCTACTCTGACAAAAAGCACTCCTCTGTTTGCATAGTCAATCTGTAACTGAGGTCTTGCCAACTTAGATAATTCAGAGTGCAGTATTTTCACATTCCCAGCCAACACAGATACAATTAACAACAGGTCTTAAAGAATCAAAATCAGTGAACACTTTCCTATTTATTAAAATACTTCACACCAATCTCAAAGGTCTCTGCGCTATTTTTATACATCATACCAGGTTTGGTACAACAGATGTTGGCCCATAAGATAGTCCAAGCATAGTATTGCCTTTAATTGCCATTCACAACAAATTACCTCATTGAGCACTTCCATGATTTCTTTGTCATAGCATTCCAGAAGCACCTCGTAGGATTCCAAGTGTCTTGCATGAATCATAGCAGGTACGCAGTCCCGCAGTGCACTAAACATATACTGAAAAAAGAAATTCTAATGCTTAACCAACAGTTTGACAGACATCTCGTATAGTGTTCAAAGCTAACAGACAAAGCAAAATCACTAATCTTCCCTTCTATTAAAAATAGACTTCATAAACCCTACTGAAGTTTCCTGTCCTTAATGTGTTCATCTGACGTATTTAGTTGCTACTGATCCATTTACTGGAAGGTCATAATTATTAGCTGCTTCATCTGAAGTTATTTGCACTATATTCTTTTTAGTACTGTAATTGACCATGACATGCACCATACTGGAACAAATAATTGATTTTTATCAGGATTAGCATGCCAAAGCATGATTCACTTCTGTAGCAAATACCTGATACTTCAAAGAGGGGAGGAGACAGGGAACGGAAAAAGCTACAGGATAACTATCCCACACAGCATCCCTGAACACAGTGATACGTGCTTTAGAAATACACAACCACAATGTGGAACTAAGGCTTTTAATGGTCAGGTCTAGCAAATGGTGTGAATTTCAAATTCGAATGAATGAAGAGCAGAACAAAGACACAGACACACAGAGACCCAGAGCTAACAATAGTAACCTGAGATTTGTAGAGCAGTGCAACAGATATACTTGAAGCAGATTTAGAACAAAGATTGTCTTTATATCCTCCAGACTGAGAAGAAATTTCTGCCTCGGTAGTAACTCTTGCCCAGGTTTTATTTTTTTTTTTTTTGAGCTTTTTCCTTAAGAATTTCAGTCTATGCTTTATCCTCCTCCGAATCCCACCAGAGTGGCTTGTTAAACTAAGTTGCTAACACTACTACTTACATGCAGTCTAGCAGAATCAACTGCGTTTTCATACACATCATCTAAGTAGATTGGAAAGACTGCTCGATGCCAGTATAAGAAACAACAGTCACATTGTGCTCGAACTCTAGAATACAAGATTACTTATTAGACACAGAATTGGAAGAAGCCATTCTCATACAAGTGAGATTTATTTTAGTGTGTTTAAATTAAAGACGGCTGCTTTTCAAGCCTAAGTTTTACATGGTTACTTTAATGTTCCAGATGCATTGTCCTTCAAAAGACAGTTCTTCTTTAATAAAGAACCTACTTCTTGTTTTCCACTAGGCTATTTACAAACAAAAGGTACCTGCTTTAGAAAAAAGGTTTACTCAAGTCTCTGAAAGAATCAAACCTTACATTACAGCAAAATCCTAAAGAACTATTTTCTTATTGCATACAATTAGCAGTCTAGAGGTCAAACATGTATTCGCAGTTTCTCCTGTGAGTCAAAAAAGAGAAACAAGTCTCTCCTGATACAACCTTTGCACGACACTTATCCCAGGAATCTATCCCATGAGTCATCCAGTGAAGGTGCTTTTGTCTCTCCATAAAGGATGCATGGAACCCAGATATTCACCTGGCTTTCAGATGGCCAACATTATGTAACTTGAGTGTCCGCTGAAACTACAGCGGCAGTAAAACATCGTGTCACATGGGAACTAACGGCCTGATCTCCCAAACAGACTGGTATTAATTCATAACTTTTGGGCTTATTAGGTCAAGAGGAAGACTTAAGTTTAACATAAAGCCAAGTCATCCAAGAAAGTGACAGTTTCTAAACAATCAGAGAAGTAGATTACCTAATTGGCAAAAGTTAGGTAAAATATGACTTGCCCAAAGAGCAGTGAGCTTCTGGCTCAGCTCTGGAATTCTGCATGTCCATCCCTGGTCTACAATACATGCAAAAATCACCACCAGCATGCAGCTACCAGATTTTGCAATTTGCACAATGAAGATCCAGCTCCCTCAGTGACATTACACTGCCTTCCATACATTACATGCCACTGCTTACCGCTCTGTAAGTTCACTGATCAAGTCTAGTTTTTTCAGAACTAAGTGAAGGGGAACAAGTTCTTCATCTTTAAAAGTTTTCTATGCAAATGAAAAAAAAGAGACAAGATTATACTACTTTATAAGATACTACACCAAACAAGCAAAGGTCTGGAACAATCATGGCATAACTCACCATCTGTGTTCCCACGCTTAGTGCTAGGGAAACAATGAGCCGCCTCTGTTTCGTACTTGGCCCATTGAGGGTGTTCTCAGCCAACACCAAAGCAGAGAGGACATCCAGGCGTTGCTCACTGTACTTTTTATCAGAAATGACTCTTTTCTTGATGACAAAGACATAGAAATTCAGAGAAAAGTTACCTAAGCCCAAAAGCAATATCTTACCTCTTCTTTCCAAAGCTTATGGACTTACCATAAGCTGAGTATTTCTGCAAATAAATGATACTTTGTGAACAGAGTTAACCGAATCCAGATTCATTTACTCTGTCAGTTCAGTGGCATTACCTATCTGTACCCCTGGAATATGTGCAGTTCATCATGAACATGGGTCAGGTCATACAGTATACAAATACTGTACAAGCTGCATGTGACTGCATGACAATTTTAGTTCTAAGGTATGTGTAATTTAACATTTTTTGAATCATTTTTTAATCAGTGACCCCCTATTGTTGATAACAAAATCCAGTTTACCGCTGAACAGCCAGAAGACATATAAACAGGGTAATAACAATAACTTGCAATCTTCTACAAATTCTAATTTATCAGAAAGACTAAGTGCAAACACATTTGCATGAACAAATGAAGGGAACAAGTCTTCTGGCTAATAAGCTGAAGTCACGGACGTATTTGTGAGTAACAACGTAACTCAGAAGAGGTACAGTTTCATGAAAGAGTTAAAGAAAACCTCTCCGGATTCTAAGAAAGTATGTTCAACATGATGCTCCTAACCTTGCATGCTAAAGGTATGTTAGGTATATGTCTTAGGACCTTACATCACTTAGAAAAAAAAAAGTGGAGCAGATAAAAGAAGAATATGACAAGAGATGCAGCAGTTTAAAGGAAGAGAGGAACGATTCTTGGTCAAAAACAGATAACCATCTATGCTGTACAGTTTCTAGGGCACAGCTCTGACCTACTGGAAAGCTTTCGTATCTGCTGATTATGATAGAGCACTACAGTGCAGATTTTGCAAAAAGTAAGAGAAAACAATTTAAAATTAAGATTTTTTTTTTTTTAAGCACTTTGATAGGAAGATTAATAATTAAAACTTGGATTACATACCTTGGCAACAGAAATAGAGTGAAGAGCCTGATACTGCAGATGCTGAGCAATGTGCGTCACAGAATCTGCCACAACCATACTTCTTCGGTAAAACATGTGTTCTATTGCCTAAAGTCAATCCCAAAACACAATAGTTCATGTAGTTACCAAAATTGTTGCCTTTAGAATTTAGCTTTATGCTGGCTGACTCATCCACAGTGCAAATACAGACTTTTTCCACTTCGTAATGTACTGTTAGTAGCAGTTGCAATTAACCCTTAGAAACTGAGAAAAATCAAACCATTCGGGAACGTAAAAAAGTTTCAGGACTAATATTTCGCTACGGTTTTTGTTTTGTTTTTTAAATAATCCAGTTCTGTTCACCATTGCTTTCTGAAGTTCTCAAAACAGAGTATCTTTCTTTTGGAAAAAGTAGCAGGAGAAGTGTGAAGTCCTGCACCTGGGGAGGAACAATCCCATACACCAATGTATACTGGGAGTCATCCAGCCGATAAGCAGCTTGACAGAAAAGGACCTAGGAGTCCTGCTGGACACCAAGCTGAACATGAGCCAGCATATGCCCTTGATGCAAAGAAGGCTAATGGTATCTTTAGCTGCATTAGACCAAATATTACTGGCAGCTTGAAGAAAGTGATCCTTCCCCTATACTCAGCACTGGTGAGGCCACGCCTGGAGTGCTGGGTGCAGTTCTGGGCTCCTCAGTACAAGAGACATGGACATACTAGAGAGCCCAGCCCAGGGCCACGAAGATAATTACGGGACTGGAACATCTCATATATGAGGAAAGGCTGAGAGCCAGAACTGTTCAGCCTGGAGAAGAGAGGACTTGTGGAGGGAATCTTATCGATGTGTATAAATACCTGAAGGGAAGATGTAAAGAGTGCAGAGCCAGATCCTTTTCAGAGGTGCCCAGTGACAAGACAAGAGGCAGTGGGCACAAGCTGAAACACAGGAGGTTCCCTCTGCACATCCGGAAACACTTTCTTACTTGGAGGGTAAACGAGCACTGGCACAGGTTAGTTGCCCAGGGAGGTTGTGAACTCTCCATCCTTGGAGATATTCAAAAGTCACCAGGGCATGGTCCTGCGCAACCGGCTCTAGGTGGCCCTGCTTGAGCAGGGGGAAGTTGGACCAGATGGCCTCCAGAGGTCCCTTCCAACCTCAATCATTCTGTGACACCAACTGAGGAAGCGCCGGTTAGAAGTTACATAAAAACTGGTTCTAGCCTCCCAAATCTATTCTCTAACCAAATCCAGTCTTGAACAAGAAGCCATCCATGCAAAAACATTTCCCATCTCAGGGTTTTTTTGTGATGACTGATCAGCGTTCCCTGTAAAGGCCTACATGAGCTAAACAATTTTCATGCAGTGACCTACCTTCAGAAGTTCCACAAGTCTGCACAGAGCTTTCACCGACGTTTTGGTCATAGGTTTTTGCATTGACATGTAGAGATTCATTGTAGTTTTAATGATGGTGCTAAGACTGTATGCATAAAGAAAACCCTAAAAATAAAATTAGTATGGGGGGAGGGGGGAGAATAATATTTTCACAACATATCAATCTTTGTTCTCTGTTTTCTTTCTTACATGATAGCTAACATTTGCCTCTTTAAACTAGAGAACCTACCACTTCACCTGATAAGAAAGCCTGGGATCCCAAAGCTGAATAAGACCCTTTTATTAGGCAGACATTATGAAACCGCCTAGGAGTCATTAGATCACCTGATCATTCACTTCTAGAGTCATTCAAATTAAACATATGTCAGTGAATTAATCAATCACACAGCTTCAAAGGTCAAATAATTTCAAACCTACTGTAAACCAACCCACCGAACAACTCCCATCCCCCTAAAAACCAGCCTGTCACAAAAGCAATCCAAAACTTCCAGATTCCATGAGATAAATACACTGACAGCATTTACACAGTTCTACACTTTCTAATTAGAACTACCCATTGCAGAAAAAAAAAAAGCAGTAATTTCTAAATCAAGTTATGCTAAGCTTTTAAATACAATGTCAATTACATACAACAAGACAAAAACGTTATTCAGTTTACTTCAAAGGAAAAGTAATAACAATAAAAAAAGAGATTAGGAAAAGACAACAAGTGCTGTAGGAAACTCAGTTCACTACAGAGCAAAGTTTTAAGTCTACTGCAAGTAGTTAAAATATAAAAACCACAGATCCTAGTACATATGTGTCTTTAGATATGGAAGATTCAGGACCATGCTTCTATCACACACCTACTCTCATCAGATTTCTGTCAGTCAGATTGATATATATAAAAACTAGCGAAAGATAAACGAGATGCATCTTACATTAAGACTACATGCTGTTAGTAGGCCAAAAGAAAACCAGCTGCCTCGCAACCTAGTAAGATTCTTGCAAAGTACCATCACTAGGCAAAGCACAATGAAACCACACAAAACCTTTACTGGAAATATGTACTGCGCTAAATAAAACTAAATTAGACACTGGTTCGGTCCAACTTATGTACTTGATGACTGACTCAAAAGGAAAGAAAAACCCAAAAGCTTTACTACAGAGGAAACAAAGCTTTCTTGATTTCCCAAGTCAAGAGAAAAATTCCAAATTTTAGCCACTGAATACTTAGTTGTATTCACTTTCCCCACATGCCTTATGGAAAGACCTTTTACAGATTTACTTAAAAGAGCATCTAATGAGCATTTAAAGTTTTAGAAGAATTTCCACACTGTAAAATAACACACCAATGATCACAGAGCTTCTGTGATTTCTTTTTATGTTCAACAAGTTGCACCAAAACATCAGTTAACTACATTTGCTGCATCACCACATTAAAAGACTGCACACCTGGATGAAGACATTGCAGCGGTTAGAAAGATCTTCAGCAAACTTATCCACACGTTGCTCCTTTGACAAGATCGATTCCATTTTTGTCATCCATGAGCTCACAAAAACGTAATATGACTGCATATCTCTGCAAAAGGAAACAAAAAATGTCGCTCACTTCAAATAAGAAGAGTATGAGGATTTTCTTTTTTCTCTCCAAAGCTTAAATTCTTGCAAGGGAAATACATTAAATCTTCAGTCCCCAAAATAACAACTCTCCATTCCCAAAAGTATCAGAACTTCACACTCATTTACATTTTAATTCTCTACAGGTAAGGATTAGTTAGTCTGCCAATTATATCTGTACAAGCATACACCAAAGAGTCAAAATCTCCTATATTTCAAAAGAACAAATGACCCTCTTAGCAATACACATACTGCACTCTTTAATTTAAACTGCTTTTAAATACTAAATAAAAAAATTCCTACACTGATGTGAATATTTTTCCTCCAAGTTTGCATTTTTGTTATATACATATATATACACACACACGCAGAAATATAACTTGTCATTACACCAATGCCAGACTAGACTGCTTTTAAAAAACATAATTCTCCAGAAGTTAAACTGCTTGGATTACACTAGTTGCAATTAATTGTTTAACGAGAGTTCACTTTTAAAATTGCTATTTATTCCATGCTACAGAATTGTGACTCTGCAATAGTACTTACTGTAGCACTTATAGCAGGAACATATTCAGGTCATTGATTATGACATCAAAAAATACACTTTAAAGAGTACTCTTATTTAAGGCAACAGTCCAATTACCAAAAGCAGTGCAAGAATTTGTAAAGAAGAAAGAAAAATTTACTGGCAAAATTCAAATCAGCAAATGCAAGAATCTCAATTTTATTACAATATCCCCAAAATTGCAAGTCCAGAAAGTGGCAATGAAGCTGGGGAAGAGTCCAGAGCCCAAGTCCCACGAGGAGCAGCTGAGGGAACTGGGGTTGTTTAGCCTGGACAAAGGAGGCTCAGGGGAGACCTTATCGCTCTCTACAACTGCCTGAAAGGAGGTTGTATCCAGGTGGGTGTGGGTCTCTTCTCCCAAGTAACAAGGGATGGGATAAGAGGAAACAGACTCAAGTTGCACCGAGGGAGGTTTAGAACACGTATTATGAAAAATTTATTCACTGAAAGGGTTATCAAGCATTGACACAGGCTGCCCAGGGAAGTGGTTGAGTCACAATCGCTAAAGGTATTTGTGTAGATGTGGTGCTTAGGGACATGGTTTAGTAGTGGACTTGGCAGTGTTAAGTTTACAGTTGGACTCGATCTTAAAGGTCTTTTCCAACCTAAATGATTCTATGATTCTACAAAATGTCTGTGAATACCCAGATATTTTTCTCAACCTTTTCTTAATTTTAAATGCCGCAAGACATGACTTGTACCACTGCCCGAGACCAGAAGAAAAGCAGCAGTGCAATTATGCTTCATCCAGGAATTAAAGCCAAGGAAATAATTCAGTCAGAACTCTTGGATCTTCCTGCAGATGTAGGACATAAACCAGGAGGAGAATGATGGAAACAGGGCAGTAGTGAAAATAATCTGCCAGAGCATCATGTAGGCATGGAGTTGCTTTCCCCTGCTCCAACCCAGTTCCGCCAGCTTGCATACAGGGTTGGAAAACAACCTGCAAAATGTAAGCTTTTACTTCTATTCCACAAACCCATTTTCCACCTTCTTGGTTTGGTCTGCAACGTAAACAGAAATCTTAGCCCTGTTATCTCCCTATGCAGTGCAGCTCACTTGGCTCATAAGACCAATAACTAAAACAAATTCTAACTCATCTTTAAACATTATTTTAGAAAGAACTTAGAGAAGGAAGTGACCTGCAAATTACATGCAGAGCACAAAACAAGAGAACCCTTTTCAAACACAGATAATTTCAAAGACCATTAAACAAGCAATTAAAACAGTCATGAAGAAAAAAATGCCTGCAGAGGAAGCATCATCACCAAGCAGAGAAAACACTCCTCTACGAGCCTAGTAGTGACTTACCTCCATAAACACATAGAAAGCAGAGAACCCTAACAGAAAACAAAGAAGCTCAGGTTACTAGACACTAGTTTTAAAAAAAGGAAGTTGAAAGTATAGAAATAGAAATAACTGAAACAATCAGATATTTAGAACTTCCAGGAACACTTATTTTGGTGACATAATACACATTCTTCTGAAAGCATGACATGAAAAAAAGCTTAGTTTTGATCAACACTTTTTCAGCAATGCCAACACACATACATTGCTGTAGTGAAGTTGAAGGGTTGATTAACACCTCCGAGCAACAGTACATTGAAGAAACCCATGCACTTATAAACTATGTGCCAAACAATATCATGAAGCAGTATTTAGGAACCATACTTGGTAAGTGACTGTGCCCTCTGCTGTAGAAAGTTCTCCCTTTGCATTTTAACTGCATGAATACTTTTCTTGTCCAGAAGTTTAGCAGCAGCCGGTATCTTGTGAATCAGGAAGTTGTCAGCAAACCAGATAATGTTAGCAGTTAATGTGATGGCTGGTACCTGGTTGGGAGAAAAAATAAAAGGGGGGTGGGGGGGAAATACTACAAAGTAGCAATAAACATAACTAACTACAACAAATACTAAGCTACCATGCACATTTCTTATGCTGCTTTTGATCCATAGCATATAATTCAATTTATTCCTGCATACCTAGTTTCTACAAAGTATTGTGTTCATGTTAAAAAAGGTTCCTCCCCTAGAAGTGCACTAAGGACACTACAGGCAAAGTCACCATCACTGTCATTCCTTAGAGAATTTAATAATTTCTAAATACAACCTGATATGAAAAAGCCCAAATCACCTGTGGCTCTAGAGGTCTTTCAAAATAAGTGCTTACAGCCAAGGTCAAAACCCACAGCATTTATTCAGACCCACGATACCCATAACTTAATTTTTTGTCCTCACTGCCAGATTAATCTTGAGAAGAAATATCTTAACAGTAATTTCCAGTTATTTTACCCTGCTGTTAAGTAAGTGCACAGGTTTTAGACCATCTTTAAGAGCAAATGGGAGGGGAGGTGAAATTATAAAAAGCAGAAAAATCTTAATTCTACATCCTGACTTGTTTTGGTAAATTGCATGTTCTTTCTCTTCCCAAGCCTGTGCTATGCTATGCAACTAAGAAAATTATCTACTTCGTTACTAAATATTTTTCCCCCCTCTTAATTACTGACAAAAGAATAAAGTATTCACCTTTTTACAGACATCCAACAATGACTTGTAAAATTTCTTGTCTATGGTCCGAAAAATCTGAAAATGCAGTACAAAGAGGCTACAGATGCCCACATATTTATCTCTCTGGTCAATTTCTGAAGGTTCACCTGCAGAAATACACCTTTTTTGAAGTGTACTCCCAGACAAACAAAACAAACCATTTTAGAAACAGTGAAGCCAGCAGAAGAATGAGCTTGCATTACCAAGTTTGGCTTCAACGTTTGCAAAAGCTGTACGAAGGGTATGAGCAAATTCTTCAGCAAATGTGCTGTTCTTCGACACTGACACTCCACCATTTACAGAATCAAACTGCTGCTCTATGCAGGCCTGAGCAAAAAGGAACAAAAAAAAAAAAAAATCATAACAATATGCCATGAATTTTGGACCTTAAAAGAACACTGATTTTGCAAGAGAAGAATACTGTAAGAGCACATTGATTTAAGATTAACCTGAAGTTAGTCTTAAACTTCACAACATAAATATTTTTAACTATACTTAGGTATTTAATATAATAACAGAAAACATTAAAAGCCTCTCTCGTACCTGATACTCAAAAAACCATTTTGTTCATTTTGTTTACTTCACATTTCTGTTAAGGGGCATTTTCAAAGAAACCACTTGATGTGCTAGCAGTAAGAAACTAGGTGCTTATTTGCATTATTATATTATAGTACATTACTAATTAGCCATTAACTAAACAAGATTATCATGGGAGTTGCTTGTAGGATGTGGCTCATGAACTTGTAGCATAAAACACCACACCACTGGTAGCGATTTAAAAAAATTACCATAACCCACATAATTAGTAAAAAAAATAGACACATACTTCAGATTTTCTATAGGTATTAGGAAAGTCTTTAATGGAATTGTATTTAAAAATATTTTTCATGTATTTTTATTAGGAAAGGGCATTTGTAGCACAGGAGGGGAAACTTTCTGAATGAATACCAGACAAATCCTACTGATGTCTCAAACATACAATGAAGTCTTTGTACTAATGCAACACTAGACAAATAAAAGATGAAAAATGGAGAGTTGGTAGCTATGTCCTTTGAAAGAATAAGCCAAAATGCGCTTACTTATTCATCTACAATTTCCCTTTTATAGATTTTCACAGAGCAAAACCTTCTTCCCTATGCCACTTAGGATGTATCAGTAAGAACTGTTCAATTGACTTTGCTGTGTCCAGGTTTAGCAAGGCTATCCTCTGCCCACTATGCCACAACATCTGATTTCAGTGTCTCAAATACTCACTTTGCTAAAAAAAAAGAATGGCTTCTTGTCTGAAGACATTTAAGTTAACTGTATTGAAAAAGTAATAAACCTTTCCATCCACCTGTACACTTGAATGTTTCAGGGGTGTACACCACTGAAGTGGTACCTACTGACAGTCCCCTGTCCCATATGTTAGGGATGAGACAAAATATATAACAAGAGGTCACACTTAACATCTTTAGAAGATTATTGAGGAGACTTCAACTTGGAGCTGAAATAAAGTGGACCTATACTATGTAAGGCTGCCCACTATTAAAATTTCTGGTGAAAAACAGACTCTGATACCACACAGTCCAAATGCCAAGTTGTTTGCATTTCTTTAATTCTGCAAAACAGTAAGCATTAACTGCTACCATTCAAAGCCTGGCACAGTTCTAGCACATGAGAACAAGAAGGAACAATCCTACAATAGAGCCTCCTCTTTTTTTTTTTTTTTTTAATTCCCCATGCACAGATGCAAGAGCCAAATTCACACATCACTGTATCCATGGACAAAACAAAATAAAACCCAAACAAACCATCCATTCTAAAAAGGGTGTCACTTTAATGTAATACTTTCCCTATCATACTGGGAAACATTAATTTCATTACCTGAAATATCATTCCATCAAGTAGCTGGCATTCCAGTTTTAACAGAAGCTTTTCAAATGGCTTCAGTTTATCTTCTTCAATCCCAAACTTAGAAGGGTTGTGATGGACAGATTTTAGCAGCCTGTAAGGAAGAGGTGTGGAACACATACATACATACGACACAATTAAAACATGCTAGCAGTTTGATCATATCCTGTCCTATTTTAATAATAGATTTGAATTGCTCACATATGTGCCCACCAGCAACTCTGAAAATAAAAAAAACAAAACCCACAAGGTCCATATAAGCCATGCACATTTGAATAACTCCCATTTATTTAGGTTTTCAATAAAACAGTTATTTTTCCACTAATTTAACTACCTTTGTAATTGTTGACTCTTTAGCTTTTACTTAAGATAGCATTCTTACTCATTCCCATCCCCATGATCAATACGGATGGGGATAGTCTTAGATCTGTCCTGTACAAAACTGGATTTCTTACTGAATACATTTTAAAGCCCACCACCAATTACTCTGTTTATCAAGATGCTTACCATGTATTGTAAATATCACAGTCAGCACTTTAAAAAACTTACTGGTGCTGTTAGCAGGACACAGTGGGAGCTTAGCCCTGCTCTTCATTGAGATTTCTGGAGAACACAGAGGGCTACCAAAATCCATGTTCCCACACTGACTTTCTTGGAACAAAGAAACATGCACATGCTTTTATCTTTCATGCTGTGGGAGTATTTTTCACACCTTCAGAGACACACCTCTTATACATGGTCCAGTGATCTTTCAAAGTGGCATGATTGTCAATTATTTCATCCAGAGTGATTAAGACTGTGAGCAACTCTCCCAGATGCTCATACATTGTCTGTTAAAAAAAAAGACTGTAGTTATTGAAAACTTTATTGCAGTCATGCATGGCATATAAAATTTTGGTTCCTTTCAATATATTAACAGCCAACAAGACATCAGCTAGATAGTTAAATTAGAGATTTCTTGGTTTGGTAGCTTAAAGATTTAGTATTTCTTGTAGTGACACAAGGAACATCAGTTTGCATGCAGGCACCTCTAAGTTCAGTGGTCTATCCCAACATTGAAGGTAGAATGTTTAAAATACTCTACATGCAGAAGCAGATGTTGCACACAGTAAGGGAGTATGCAAACACTTTTCAGTTAAGAAAGCCAGAATACAAGAGACAGAGATACCAGCCCTTTCCACATATAGGCCAGAAAAAGCCAATTAACAAAATAAAACCTTTAAAGGAGATTCCAGATTGAAAGTTGTACTTGAAACTCACTTTCTTGCAGCTTTTCTCAGGATAAGACATACATATATATATATATAAGCAAAAGGGTTCCAAATCATTCCCACCTGAAAATGAACTCCTGATGTCTCTATAATTTTAGGTGCATTCCTGTAAATAAAATAAAAATTTTAATGCCTTTTTAACCCTCAGAACAGAGCATATTTATCAATTCCGTATCATTGTGTGTTCTTTGTTTCTTGGGGTACATTTTTCTTCATTAACGTAGTAACTTCAGAAAACAAAAGAACCTCAAAATCTGATTATAAGTATATATGCTATGTGAAATCTGTGTGCTATGATCAAATTTAATACTGCATTTTTAAATGTACAGCATATGACCGGTTCAAACCACTGATTGCATTCAGTGCACATGCGCATTGGCAATTCTCAGTTCAGTTATGCTAACACTAAGTAGTCTTCATACATACAGCTTTGTGGCCCAAAAGTACAAAAACCACTTCACATAATTTAATCAACCCACACTCAAACTACATATCCAGCACCATACAGAGAGCCTACCCTGAGCTGTAGTGGAAGACAAAAATGAAATCAACGAATAAAACAGAAGAATGAGGCTATCCTATCAGGGGTGGGGGAGGAGGAAGGAATCACAAGCCCTGCAGTTACATTTAGAGCTAAACCCAACAATTCTATTCAGAGCTAAACTCAGTTTTCAGAGGAGCTAAACCAAACAGCCCTTACTAAGCTCAACTTCAGGTATTAAAGCCATGGTTGTTTTGTGAGGAATAAATACCAAGATTTGCATATTTAAAACAGGCTGTGGAAGTCATCTGATTTTTAATCCTCTGAAGCTACTGGTATCCACTCTATCAGTCGACAGAATGAATCCATCTCTCAAGCAAAGCAAGGATGAAAGAGCAACAATATCTCTTAATCATAAAGACTAAGTGCCTCTGAAGCATCAATTCTATCAAAAAAATAAAATTTTTGCATCTCATTATATAAAAGCACTGCCCTTTCTGAAAATAAACCAAAACTACATCTGTAAGGGCTTATGAAGCCCAACCTTGCACAGCAAAGCACTCTCCATATCTCTAGACAATATTCCAAACATGACCATGTCTTAGAAAGAACATTCATATTTTATACATTTGTTTAACTATGTAAAAACAATACAGCTTTTTAGGGAATAATTACTTGTTGTTGGTATAGAGAACAGCCAACTGATGCACTACATTTACCACCACTTCGTAACATCGGGTAACAAAGCAGGACAGCTCCTGAAATACAAGAAAATGAAATGCATATGTAAACACAGACCCTCCTCATACACAAGTTGTCCTTACATCCAAAACACTGAACATAAACCATTGAACTTACAGCACAAGCCCCAGTTGCATCCCTAATCCAGGAGACAGACCTACAGGAGGATGGAAAACATCCTACTGACAGCTCTGAAAAAGGATCTGAGACTAAGCTCACAGACATAAGCTTCCAGTACAATTTAAACTATTTATACTATTGGCTCAATTTATCAAAGACAGTAAGAAGTGAATAAACCGTTCCCAAGTACTTTCAGAGAGAATATCCCTGATAGCAAAGGCTGTGCCTTTTCCCACTAGATTCAAGAGTCACATTCTAGGAGGTGATGATAGCCAAATTCAAATTAGAAGTTAACACAGAAGCCTGTACCTACCATAAGAGTGACAAGCCACAGAATACCACTTTCAAAAAAAAAAAAAAAAAGACAATGTCCTTGAGAGGCATGCTTGACTAAAGAAGAACTTCAGCTCAGTTACTTAGTACAAAATGAGTAACAACAGATCAACTCTGACCACATAAAGGATTATCTTTATTTCTATAAAAAAGTTTAACAAGGCACTCCTTAAGCAACAGGATAAATGAATCTGAGTTTCCCTTAACTACAATAATATTTGCTCATTAATGCACCCTATAATCCCATCAGGAAAAGTCAACATGTGATGAGCTTAGCCAGTCAGCATACAGATGGCTTCATAGCAGACAGCCCACACTGGCTAACCAGCCAGCCTGCCATTTCTGCCAGAAGACTGGCTAACAGCTGAATTCTGTCTTCCTCTCCATCAAAAATAGATCTTATTTGGGCTTCTGCCTTCTATTAGTCACCAGTTTACACAAAACATAAAAGTATCATTACTTCTTATACTTTTATTGCTCTAACAACTGCGGCTGAAACAAGCCAACAGATCCCAGAGAAATAGATTAATAGACAATTGAGATCATGTTTCCTGGGGAAGGGGCACCAGCTGCCATTTTAAAACTTCCAGAAAATAGTCCAGTTTAACAGCACATGCATATTAGCAGCATAATACAGACAAGATTATAATTTTATCAGAGTTCTTCAAATATACTGTGGTCTGCAGGATCAGGAGTACCTAACTAGTATTTCAAAGCATTATTTTGATAATTTAAAAAAAAAAAAAAAAAAAAAGTGTTTTGACATAGCAAATTTGAGGCTATTACATCTAGTTTCAAGAAATCCTGAGCTCAGAAGAGACAGTAAACCAATACGTGGACATTAGCTCTATGAAAGCAACATTTCACCTCTTTTGTCATCTTCATGCACATTATCACACCACCTTTGGGGATACACTTACAATATTGACCAAAACAGCATTTCCCAGTCTATGGATATAGACTACTACTGAGTGGATTTAGAGGAACAACAGTTGAAAAGAAACAAACTCAACAAGGAAAATGTTTTCCTCATAGCTTCACCCAAAGCAATACACATCTCTCAGCACAGTAACCGTCCCTTTGGGGCAACATCCTGCATCTCTCTTTTTTCCAGAGTTGCTCAACAATCAGCAAGCCACCGTAGCATACATACAAAATGGGCTCATAAACAATACTACTCTATTTGTGTAGTGTTTACCCTATAAATATACACATCAGCATATACCCCATAAACAAACTTGTTCTACAGAATGGGTTTGCAATGCACCCTGGCAGGAAAAAAAAAGTCTAGAAAGACAGAAGTGTCCAGTAGCCCCATTTCAGAACCACTAAAACAGCTCAAACATCTGCTCCAAAAGAAACAGAGGATGAAGGATAAAACTCACAAAAGCTGACTGGACAAAAAGCTGGAAAAATGGGAGGAAAGAAGCCCCAAGTTATCCTAATAACTAACTGACCTTGGGCATGGTAGAAGAGGTTGAGAAACAACTTCCTATGGTGTTCAACATGTTACAACTCAGTAGATGACTACAGCCATACTACTATAAAGCAACAACAGGAATTTTAACCTTTTTTAAACTAGAATTTGTTTGAACATTCTGGAAGGTTCTGGAACTTCTGGAAGTATTTCATTATAAGTAATATTGCATAAAAATATAAGAGTTTTTGGGAACAGGACAATCACTTATGCTATACTAGAGACAAAAAAAAAAATCCACAGTAGACTGAAACCCAAGAGCACAGGAAATCCTTAGAAGAAACACAGATCCTGTTTTCATGCAAAGGACCCTGATAACAACCAAACTGTATAAGAAATTAGTGTTCTTCCCTGAAAGACTGAGTCAGGCACAAGCAATGTCCTCTAGGTACATGTTTTAATATTGCTTTATTTTATCAGCTAGAAAAAGATGTATAAACAATTAATCCATTCCCAATGTTAAATGAAAACTGAAACCCGCTAATCAAAACCATAAGAATAGGTATCTTTAACTTTACCATCAAATGAAACAATATCAATTTACCTTCTCTTACTGAAATGTTCCTAAGTAAATTCTAATTTATTTGCACAATGTCTACACAAACTGTAATTTATTCTCTCATTAGAATTCCAGAGTTTCAGACAAGTATAAAAAAATGCAAATCAATGTGTGATACATCAGCTGGTTGTAACAGGTCTGCAGACAAAACATAGTAACATATCAAATGACTGCAATGCCTTTCAGCAAGATGCAAGCAGGATACTGTGAACTGTTAAATCCGCTCTGCAAGTAAAATTAAGATTATAATTGCTGTCAAAACCAAAAAATTAAAACATACTTTACCTGCAAGAAAGAAACAAATCTTCCCATCTGTATTTGGCAATCTCCCTCCACCATGCTGGAATCTGTGGCTTAAGAAGATAAACATTTGTCACCACTTTTAAAAGCCTGTTAAATTAATATTGAAGCTTGCCCTCCAGGACATTTGCTTGCCATACAAGTAGGGAGCACTATTATAAGCATACTGATGGAGCCTTAAAAACTTTTAATTTTGCTTTCCTACACTGGACTTATTTTTCAAGTTTCTTTCTCATTAAAAGATACATTGTAAGTTAGACACAAAGCAGGAAAAAAAAAAAAAAAAAAGCCTGCATCACCTGAAAAAAAAGAAAGAATACGAAACATAATTCTTTAAAGGCATATATATCATGTAACTTCATCTAAAATTTCCAATTTAAAAAAGTTTGTATGAAGGCACTAGGTATTTGTATTGCAATAAACAACCACTGGTAGCATGTTCCTTCAGTAAATAATTACATCATTAATCAGAAGAAAAAGCTGTGTAGTATAAAATTTCCGCAAGGAACTGATTTTCTTTTCCTAGGTATCACCCTGTACAAATGAACTGGTTCATCACCACAGCTTCAAAGCATTATTTGTGTGACAAAGTACCCTCACAGGATACTATGTGATACAATAATTACATCACCAATGCCAAGTTGTTTCACTCAGCTGGAACAGTTGCAATACCTCCTGACAAAATACAGTCTTTTTAGTGTGATGACAGATTAATGCTCCAAACTTGAGATTTTTCTACTGGGCCACTCTGACCGAAATGGCTTAGAGTTGCAAGTTTACCTGCATAAAATTTGCAGGCCTTATTCCTTCATAAAATCTGTTCCTTTAGAGCAGTCACCAGAGACTGAAGGAGTCTCTATACTTTTGTAAGATGGAGCTCTAGGACAAGACTCTAAATATTGCACTCTTCTCCTTTACACATTTTATGTAACCTCTACCCTGTTGAGTGTATGTCCAAAAAAACCCATCCAACTAACTAAAGTTCCTAGACCAGTCCTAGCCATTCTAAGGACAAGATTTAAAATAAAATGAAAAAAAAAAAAAAAAAAAAAAAAAAATGTTTCTTACACAGAAGGAAAAGGCCAGCACAGTATTTGTTTAAATTTCAACCATCCTTGAGCAAGTAACTGTGCCAGCTGTTCTAAGTAAGCAAGCTTGCTGTTACCAAAGTAGATGATACAAAGGGGGATATGGAAGTGGAGAACATAATTTCTGCATCCCTACCTAACCCACAGAAGGCTGACCTCTCACTTCCTGCCATTCTCAAGCATTCCCTGCAGAACACCGATCGAGAACAAACTGCTGCTGAAATATGTTGATCTGCAACAGCCCGACTTCTTTTGTGCTAGAGACACAGAGAAGTTTTCAGGGATCCCCTAGTATTATTCTGGCAGCATATCGCTTTCTTTTAAGATATTAAAAACCATATATGATAAGAGAGAATCTGTTAAGAAAAAAAATCATAAAAAAAACAACACAAACAAACAAAAAAACCCGAACCAAACAAAACAATGAAACCCACATTTTTTCACATTCCTTAACTGAACCACAACAGTCACCTAATCTAGCACTTAAAAGAATGATAAACAGTCCCCAGCTCAAAGATTTCACACTGCCCAATACTTCTGCCACAGTCAAGGCTATTAAACTTTTTAAAAGCCCTTTTGTAAGACTACTATAAAAAGGCCTTCCCCTTCTCTCAAATTTCTGAAATAGAAAACAAAGGTAGGTTACATGTCTCTAAATCAACTCATTAAAATACTCAGTCCTCAGGACCAAGATCTGTGCTTATTCCCAGACTAGCATCCTTTAAGGTGGAATATTAAGACCAATCCTTCAGAGGCATTACCAGTTTAACTCCAAGACAAAAAGCAGCTTTCACCTAAAGCAAGGTCTCATGATTTGTCAGCTGAATTGACTTACAAACATTTAAGTCCCTGTATTATGCCATGGCCTAAACAACAGCACAAGTACTACTACCCGCAGGTGACTAACACACTGCAACTTCTCCTGGAACAGCTGATTGCAGAAGTAAAGTAACTTGGACCAAGTCCTGCCTAATTTTCAATGGTTTTATTGTTTTACTACAATCAAATTACAGATTTATTGTTTTACTACAACCAATGTAAAATCTAGTCCCAATAGGAAAAAAAGTTGGTTTAGGATGTATATACATGTGAAAAATATCTTTTCAATGCCATACTTTAAAAAATAGCACCTACAGCATATAAACTGTACATTTAATACAGCCCATACTCCCTACTTCCCATGTAAATAAGGCTGCAACTAGACTTCATGTTAACGTAACAACACTTACTGCAGGAAGCAGGGCTTTACAGATAAATCTTGTTATCTTGAGCTAACTCAGGACAGTTACAAGACACTAACATATATCCCCATAACCTCAAAATCCGTTATTTGGTATTCATTGGGCAAAGACACAGAGAAAGCATGTATCCATATTATAAAATTATACATATTGTAGCATTTAATATAACCTGAAGCAATGACATAAAACTACAAACTTTTACAGTAAAGGGAGCTACTTACCTCCTTCTCCATAAAACAAGAGGCCATTATAAAATTTAGTTTCTGCCTAACAACAAAAGCAAAAATTTGTTTTTTAATAAATAGGATATATGTAATCACGCTACAAAAATTTAGACATATCTTGTTTCTTTACTGCTAAAGAATAAATCTATATATCAGCTTGCCAATCTGCAAGCATTTTCATATAAAGTAAGACAGCTGAATTTACCTCATATTTTAACTTCTTGATTTCACAGCAAAGAGCAGCATACACAGTTATTACTTTGTTTAGAACCTAGACTCAAACAGAGGGAAAAAAAAACACACGGATTACAAATAGATTCACATTTAGAGAGTTTCATTTTAACCAAAGTAACTCTTTTTTTTTTTTTTTTTTCTCCTTTTACGCAAGAAGTGCTTACCTTGTTTTCTGTCTTTATGAGCTCAAGTAGGGAAGATTGTTCATATGGCAAAAGCTAAAATTAAAACAAAAATAATTTTTTAAAAAAAAGCAAAACAAAGCAAAACAAACAAACAAAAAAACCCAACCAAATTAACAACTTCAGAAAATATTGGTAACAAATACATTTACCCAACTAGGTATTTCCCGCCCACCCTCAGTTTAATCTCAAATAGGGTCAGAAATAGGAGAGCAATAATTGCACATTACTTGTAACCTATGCTGCAGGAAACCTTTGCTCTTCACATTTACATGGAAATACCTTTCCTTCCACTCTAGGCAGCAAGGCAAATAACTAGGTATACTATATAGCATTTACAACAATTTACTTATAAAACTTGGAAAGCAAAAGCACAGTCATTATGGAGTATGTAGAAAAAAATACAGCTCAGGAAACCTAAAACTTGAATTAAGAATCCCAAATGCAGGAAACAGCATGCATAATGTATATCTGTACACAGGCACTAACATTTTGTACTTAAGTCAGACATGACATTGACTAGTTCATATACAACCAGCACTGTGGTGGCCCTACAGATAATTTAGTCGAATTATTCAGACAGATGATTGCTTGAGAGTGCATCTTCAGCACAGACAAGTTCCATATGGCAACTAAAGTGCTTTTAAATGATGCCTGCAAATTCAGTGAAGAGAAAAAAACCTGTTCCACAGAGGATAGAGAACTTATAAGCAAGGAAATAGCCACCTCAGGAGGACAGAAAATACCGTCCTGAGGCCATTAAGTCAAAACACAACTATAAATATACACAGTTCGCTCTGCAGTTATACAACTATTAGTGATCTCTTCTGGAACCCCAGTCTCCCAGATTAACTCACAGTTTGCTGGAATTAGCCTGCCCAACACATGAAGAACTAGTATTTCATTTAACTTCCCCTAGTATCCAAAAGACTGGAAACGAGTAATATGAAACATCTTCTGAGATACAACAATTTATTAATTACTTGATAATTAAAATAGCATTGAATAGGTTTCTCAAACTCAAAAGTCAAAATTTTAAGAGCACAAATGCAAGCTTTTACTTCTCATGTTTTGAAGAGAAGGAGGAACCAGGAAAATAACAGTTGCAATGCGTATTAAATATATGAAGACCTTTAATGCAATGGGATCAAGACTGAAGTCCCAAACATCTCCAATGGAGTCATCCAAAGCATCTTCAGTTCTCTTCAGCTGAGATGTATATTCCTCAAGAAATTTTCCGTAATTCTTCAACTGTACTTCGGCATGAATTTCTGAGAATTGATAACATTTTTACAGTTTTATAGACTGTTCAGTAAACTGCAATATCAAAAATTCTATTAAATATTGAATCTGTTGCTATTTAGCTTTACAACTGCATTCCTCATTTTGCTGCAGTGTTTTTCCTTAATACAACTGCATCTGTAAGATAAAGTTCTTATTTGTTTAAAAACAACCCTACAACTCAGCGTCAGTTTAAAAGAAACCCAGATACTACTTGAAGAACATCAGACATCTAAGCAGTTTGCATAGAATTATTTTTTAAGTTCACATATATTTTCAAACTAAGATCTTTACAAAGGTAACAATCACATCAAGATGCTGAGCAAAGAAATGACTAGAAATCATAGCACAGCAGGTGATTGTACCCATCAGCTGAACCAGTATATATGCAATAATATTAGAACTTTGAGGTGATGGGACTAATCTTTTCGGCCCAAGTTGTATTAGCAGCAATCCTCCTCCCACTCGCTCCCTGACACCCCTCAGTATGTTATTTAGGCATTACACAGGTAGTTTATGGCTTTTAATCATTCCCCCTACTTGCAAATTCACCATCTTCAAGCAGAACTTTTTTTCTGCTTAGCACCTGGACATTAAAATGCACAGCTGTCCTGTTACTGTTAGGGGCAAGTAGGTTCAAAAGGTAACATTCAGCTGCTCAAACACCAAGCAGAGTGGTTTTAATTAGCAAAGTAAACCTAAGGACAATTGGTTCACAAAAGTTTAATTCACTCTATCCTGATCTTTTTTCTTTCCACATTAATACACTTCTGCCTTCTCCCCCCCTCAAATTATATACAATTATTTAGTTGCATAATCTGAACTACAGAGTGAATGATTCCAGCTCAAGGCTTCTATGCTCAGTAAGGAAGTACAATCCTTTTTCATGTGAAGATTAAAGTGTCTTCCCCATAATTAGATAGCAAATCTAATAGTTTGTGATCTTCTGCTACTTGTTGAAAATAGGACTATCTAAAGTCAGAGAACGCAAGGCAGTTGAACAACTGAACTTTTCCTATACAATAATTCAACTCTCATGTAGCCTTATGCGTGCCCTTTTCACATTTCAGCAGTAGGCTGCTCTAGAAAGTTAAAAAAACCCATTCTTCTATTCTGCATGTTTCTGCATCTTCTGCATATTCAGCATCTCTTACTCATCCATGTTGCCAATAACTGAGCCAAATGGTAGTTGATGGTTACTCCAGTGGGATAGAACTGTTGAATCATTTAGACTTAGACCTTTTTTTTGAAGAAAGAAAGAAAGAAAGAATTTGACTGAGACACTGCACCAGACATAAGGTGAAGAATGAATAAAGACAAATTAATCAGGAAGAGATAAGAAGGACGATGCACAGGAAGGTTGAGACTGAGAATGAGAAATGACTGCAGCAAAGACCTTAACTAGTTCTAAGCTACAACTCTGAAGCCAGCAGCAATGCCAACCGTAAGGGCACATGGACTGCAAAGCCTATCCATAAAACATGGTAAATTCTCCCACACTAAGTTCTGTATCAGCGCCACTGGGTTCTACCCGTACCTGCAGCCCAGACAGTGCACAGGCACTCTCAAAATAAGGAAACAGAATTTCATGTAAATGGTTAATAAGCAATTGAACAAAAAGCTCTCTGTCAGCAGTATGCATTCCAAAGACGGACGTGCAGCTCTGGAGTTGTATCATCATATTATTCTATTTCATCAAATCCATCTCAACTTTCAGGTTCCTTCCAGTGTATCTTTTGGAAGCTCTGTTGCAGAAAAACAGTAAAACACTGATGGATGCAGAGCCCTGCAAAACAAGAGTTTACCTATACACCATGCCAGCTTTTTTACTTCTTTACTGATAGAAAGTTTGGAGTATGGAGATATTATTACAGAGGTATGCTGTGGTATTTCCCAATCCCATCTCCTCCCTTCACATAAAAGGCAAACTAAGAGCAGAACAACTGACTGAGATATTGGAGCTTTATAGGAAGAACAGAAAAAGCTTTCAAGTCATACAAGAGTAGGGAATTGGCACTTCGGTTCAAATCAATTCACCACAAAACAGGTAGCATTTCTCAAACAAAAATCTCACACCACCTCTCTGCCAGAGACCCACAGTCACCTTTTCAGCAGCCAAATGATGGATTTTAGCCATGCTATACCTCAACATAACATATTAACTATTTCCAAATACTTAACTATTGATAGCCATATCAATATGCCACCTTGTACTGGTCATATATAAGATGAGACAGGTGTGAACAATTTCACACTATTTTAGAGAGACAAGACAGTGAAAGCTATTAGCTAGCCAGAGACAGGCAGGGTTGAACTGATGAAAAATTACTTGGAGATGTGCAAAGATTTTTAAGATGCAGGAAAATTTTCCTAAATAAACTGGCTTATATGGAGAAAGAAAAAGAAATCACAGAAAGCAGACATTTTCTTTTTCTTCAGAGCAGCACATATACTTCATAAGGTATAATCAGTTTACAATAAAGTTTGATTTAGTTTCTCCTCAGGTGATAAAATGAAAGCATCACAACTGGAACAATGCAAGAGAACTACTCAGCAGTACAGATGCCCCAACTTTTTCCATAAAATCTGCAATATCAGTGTGCAATGGCCTTATTGCCACAGCAGGACTGGCAAGTGCTGTGTCCATAAATATTTAGGACAGAAATGCAATAAACTAGTCTTACTTAGTGTCTTAAGCGTCTCCACTGAGAACATCACAATTGTTAAGGGTTAGTGATATAGGTATAAAGTGAAAGTAAATAACAATAACAAAAAATGTTTTTCAAGTCACAGGATTTTTCTCTGGCTTTTCTGTAGGAGAACATTGTGTGTTGTTCTCAATGGAAGATCAGCCTGTTTGTTCACCGTCAAGATGGTGGTAATCAAGTATATTATATCATGTAATGTTCTTGTAGCTACACTTAATGACATGGTCAAACTAGTGGAAATATGGCATTTTGGGTAAAAGCTACATTTTCCATTCTGCAGCAATAGAACGGGTAAAAACCTCAGCTCAGGACAGCTTCAGTTTCCACTGAAATCCAGATTAAATATGACATAAATGGTATTGTCCCCGTGGATAACGTTATATGTGAAACAGTTGGTCCATGAGTGACATATTTTCACAGCAACACCTGGTGTAATTAATTTGGCACAGTCCAATTTACAGTGTGCATTATAGTGTGACAACCATGTATGTTCCCTGTTTAGAAAGTAGGTCACCTCCACAGGCTGAGAAAAACGTGGATTTTGATGGTCACACAAACCCGCTGTCAGACTTAAGCATCACAAGGTCTTACTTAATTGGTTTTTAAAGACGGAACTGCAAGTTACCACCCAACTCCATGCCAGAAAACCTTTATCAACAGAAGCTGCATACAACCAACTCATTTCGATACGACTTCTCGGGCTAACCGAGGAAGCAGCCGCAAAAATTTCTGAGCTACGAGAAAGGATCGGGCAGCAAGTAAACACCATCCTCACGACATGCATCTGCTCCTCCTGCCCAGTTCGTGCAAGACAAGAAAGTCACGCAAGCCAGCCTGCCGTCCCCCTGCCGCGCCGGGGGCACTGGAGACGGACTCCCGCGGAGGGGGTAAAGGATGAAGGGTTGGCAAAGCCACCCTCCCACCCCAAACAGCCTCCGACAAGGGAGAGGGTGGCGGGAGGCACAAAGGCCACCGCGACAGGCGACCCCCGCGGGCCCGGGAGGCGGGGGAGCCCTCGGCTGGCGGCGGGGGGGAAGGGGCGCGGCGAGCGGGGCAGGCTCCGTGAGGGAAGCTGGGGAGGGCGACCTCGCTCGGCTCTCACAGCCGCTTCCTCCTCCCCGCTCCCTGCCCTCCCCAGAGGGGTCGCGGCGCCATGAGGGGCCGAGGGAGCTCCAGGGTCTCCTCAGCCCGCGCCCCAACCCCCCCGCCCCGGCGTTCCCGCCGCAGCCCCGCCGGCCCCTCCCGCCCCGCTCACTCTGCGAGCCATCGTCGAGGCGGTCGAACTCCCAGTCCGGGGACAGGGTCTCCAGCGCCATCGCCGCCACCCGCGCCCGGCAGCGGCCGGTCCGCCCCCCCCCCCCCCCCGCCTTTTTTTTCCTCCTCCTCCTCCTCCTCCCCTGACTCAGGCGCACGAGACTTCCTGCCCCGCTCTCGCGCTGTGCTCTGGGAAATGGAGGCGGAAGGGGAGGGGGGGGAGCTTGGACTCCGGCGGGAGGAGGAGGAGGAGGAGGAGGAGGAGGAGGAGGAGGAGGAGGCGGGGCGGGGCGGGCGGTGTCCCCGCGTGTCCCCGCGCGGTGTCCCCGCGCGGTGTCCCCGCGCGGACGGCCGTGGCACGCCCCCGCGCGGTTCCCGGCCGCGGGCTCCCTCAGGCCGCGGCGGGCCGGTTCTCGGGGGTCGGTGCCGCCGAGGGCACCGGAGGTCGGGGGCGCGGGGTCTGTGAGGCGGGCACCGCGCTCCGGCCCCGTGGTGAGGGAGCGGATCGGTGAGGCAGGGCCCGTCTCCGGGGTGCGGGGGCTTCGGGAGCTTTTCTGCTTTGCCCCTGGTGTGCTGGGCCCCAAGCCGAGGCCCTCGCACCGATCGCACGGCCCCTGTCACGTCGCTGAGAAGAGGGAAAAACTCTGACGGGTATGGGCGACAGAGTGTGACACCCCCCCCTCCCAGCACTTCCCCTTTCTAATGTTGGAGGACGGGAGTGGTGAGAAGAACTATCCCAGCTCTGGGGGAGCTCAGGGGCAGCTGCAGGACGTGAGCTCTGCAAAAGTGTCATCTAAACATCTTACTGTCATTTGTTGCCACATAAAGTCATGAGGTACTTAACCTGCATGCGGTCAGTCACTGTTGTTTTTTGTTTGTTTGTTTGTTTTTCTAGAGTCCTAGTGGGTGTAGTATCAGAGAATAAAAATAGATGTACCTTTGGATAGCAAGAAAAGTAGCCATCCAAGACCATTAACAATGACCATAGTCATTACATTACCTCAGCAAAATCTGTAGCATCAACAGAAAAGGAAACGGCTTCAAAGGCAGTGTCGCCAGGAGCATCAGCAATTTCAGAGGAGAAAAAGCAACAAAAATAGCAACTCTGATGAGAGATGTATCAGCAAGTGCAGGATCAGCCATAAAAGCTGACTCTCTAATGCAGTAGGTCTGAAAATAGCACCTACTATGGTTGTTTTCTGAATAAAAGGAATCCATCGATTTTAAAAGTTTCTAGGGAAGAAAGATCTGGTTGGCAAGTTTATTGTTGATGAGGTTTTACTTATTTAAAGTGCATGCTAAGAGACCAACCCGGGTCTGGGAAAGAAGAGATCAAATTTAGTTTCATGTGAAACAGCATAAACAATGTTTGGCAGAACATTTCTTTAAAGGATATAACTCCGCTTTGGTAAATATTGTTAAATAATCATAATTTAAATATGTGTCCTCCACTCATTGGCTTCTGTTACTTAAACTTAAGGTGTTCATATTGGGGTTTTTAGTCCCTAGAAGTTTAATTGTGCAGGACACTGACAGCTGGCAGTAAGCACAAGTGTCTCTAATGATATTATAAGTATCACACAAAATGAAACCACAATTTATGATAGGCTTTAAGGATTGCATTCTGTCTACAGGCATGCAGATGCAGCTTTCATTGAACTCAGTAGACCTGAGTTTATTAATTTATTCAAAGCCAAGGTATGTCTTCCAATTTTGAAAAACAACAAAAAAACAATATAGCACTTTTATCTACAGACCTTCTATGCTTTCTCTGAAACAAATACTGTTTCTTTCAGTTATGGAAGACTGTGCATAAACAGAGGCTTTTAGACTGCTTAAAAAGTAGTCACCAGGCTTTTTGTTATCTCTGTCAGGAAAATGTGTCATAGAATCATAGAATACCAGGTTGGAAGGGACATCAAGGATCATCTGCACCTTTCTTGGCAAAGGCATCGTCTAGACAAGACAGCCCAGCACCCTGTCCAGCTGAGTCTTAAAAGTGTCCAATGTTGGGGAATCCACCACTTCCCTGGGGAGATTATTCCAGTGTCTGACTGTTCTCATGAGAGATTTTCCTCTTGTGTCCAGTCAGAACCTCCCCAGGATTAACTTGTACCCATTACCCCTCATCTTTTCCATGTGACTCCTTGTAAAAAGGGAGTCGCCGTCTTCTTTGTAGCCACCCTTTAAATACAGGAACACAGTAATAAGGTCTCCCCTAAGCCTTCTCTTCTCGAGGCTGAACAAAACCAATTCTCTCAGCTGTTCCTCACATGGCAGCTTCCCAATCCTTTGATCATCTTTGTGGCCCTCGTCTGGACCCTCTCCATCCTGCCCACAGCTTTTTTGCATAGCTGAACAGCAACTGAACACAATATTCCAGGCATGGCTGACAAACACTGAGTAGGGTGGGGTAATGACTTCTTTATCTGATGGTGATGCCCTTGTTGATGCAGCCCAGCAGCCTGTTGGCTTTCCTTGCCACAGCAGCAGCAGCTCACTGCTCACTCATGTTGAGCTAGTGTACACCAGGACCCCCCGGTGCCTTTCCACAGAGCTGCTCCCTAGCCAAGTAGATCCCAGACAGTGCTGCACTCCTGGGGTATGTTTTCCCAGGTGCAAGACTGTACACTTGTCCTTGTTGAACTTCATAAGGCTCTTGTTGGCCCATTCACCCAGCCTATCCAGGTCATTCTGCAGGGTGGCTGTCCCTTCCCCACTCAGTTTGGTATTGTCAGCAAAGTTCATTGGGGTACACTCGATCCCCTTGTCCAGATCACTTAGGAAGATGTTAAGCAGCATTAGGCTCAATATTGATCCCTGGGGGACCCCACTTGTGACAGGTTGCCAGTCTGAAAAAGGGGTACTTACCAGCACCCTCTGGGTGTGGCCTCTCGGACACATCCCTCCCCCCCCCAGACCACTTGTCTAGATGTAACGCATAAGTTTAGGAGGAGGCTGTGGGGAACTGTATTGAAAGCCTTGGAGAAATCCAGGTAGACAATGTCCACTGCTCAGCCCACATCAACTGAGCAGCTTACTTTGTCATAGAAGGTGATCGGGTTTGTCAAGCACGATTTGGCCTTGGTGAATCCATGCTGGCTTTTCCCAATCACATGCTTCATTTGACTTGTGGTAGTCCCCAGGAGGATTTGTTCCATTACATTCCCAGGGATTGAAGTAAGAAGGATGGTCCTACAGTTTCCTGGATTCTCCTTTAAGCCCTTCTTGTAGATGGGGGTGACATTAGCCTTCTCCCAGTCTTCTGGAACATCCCCTGCTCTCCGCGACTTCTCAAAGATGATGGAGAGCGGCCTTGCAACAGCATCAGCCCGCTCTCTCAACACCTTCGGGTGGATAACATCAGGGCCCATCGATTTGCAGGGGTCAAGCTCCTGTAACAGTTCACATACCAACTCTTCCTTCACTGACACTGGGTCTGTGTTTGCATCCACCTGGATTTTTGTTCCCAAGGCCTGGGGCCCAAGAGTGCTGATAGAGACGGAGGTGAAGAAAGTGTTGAGAACCTCTGCGTTTTCAGGTTTGTTGGTGACTAATTCATCTCTCTTGTTTAACAGCAGGCCAATATTTTCCTTCTGTTTCTGCTTGTTGTTTACATACCTAAAGAACCCTTTCTTGTAGTTTCTGACATCTCTGGCCAATTTCAATTTGAGCTGAGATTTTGCTCTTCTGACTGCATCTCTGCACGCCCTGGCAATGCCCTTGTAATTCTCAATGGGAATTTCTCTGCTTTTCCATCTCTGGTACACTTCTCTTTTGGTTTTGAGCAGACTCAGAAGCTCACAGTTAAGCGAAGGGGGTCTCTTCCTCTGTCTACTTCCCTTACCTTTAAAGGGGATGAACTGGTTTTGTGCTTTCAGGAGAGCATTCTTGATAAAATCCCAGCACTCGCCAGGTCCTTTATCCTGCATGGAAACTTCCCACAGAATCCCTCCCCACTGAGCTCTGAGTGAGCTGGAGTTTGCTCTTCTAAAATCTAGAACCTTTGTCTTAGTACTAACCTTCAGTGTTCTTGAATTCGGCAGGATGGTGCAGGAGAGAAATTTGTAGAACTGGCAGTTGGTAGTACCTTCCCTTCCCCACATCTGAACTGAGTTTGTAACAAGTGAAATGCTGTAGGGTTGGTTATTGCAAAGTTGTGAAGCTGTCAAAGCTGCATGCAAGATAACCCAACTGGTTGCTCTATACAACGGCCACACCAAAGTGTCTACTGTGATCCCCACACCATAAGCTGATGTAACCCTTATTTTGAATATGGAAAAAGGAAATTGTTTTTTAAAAAAATGTATTGAAATAGTGCATTTTTGAAAACGGAGCAGGAGGCTCAGTAGCTGAAAAACTCGCAATTAGATTCAAGTAAGTACACTAGTTAAAATTTGTGCTGCCATTCACGATGCAGTTAAATGACTTATTATTGGGTTTTACTTTGGCTCACTAGGTGGCAGTGCTTTGTTGCTTACACTGAAGTTATTTAGGTCAATTCTAGGTGCTGCTAGAATTTGTATTTCCTCTGAAAATCCGATTTAAACTTTATCTTGAAGCTGACTCTTTTAGTGACAGCAAGCCTAACTCAGCTTTGACTGATAAGTTTTCTGTGTCTTATCAGTGAATGGCTTTATGCTGTTTGCTCATGTGAAATTACTGACAATTTACAAGCATCATTTCTGAAAGTTTGGTGACACTCATGTCTTCCACTTGTACCAGGAAGCTTTTGTTTGGTACAACCTTATAGGAAGTTGCTAAGATTGATTAAATATCTCTTATTATCTTCAGATAGTACAGTAGTCAGAAAAGTCAGTAGACTTTGTTTAATACAGTGATTTTTGGTGAGCTGAATATTACCGAACACATAGTAGAGAAAACAATAATTTCTTTTGACCAGACCAAAATGATCATGAAAGTAAAATTTCATATTGGACTTTCACATGAACTGAGTGAAATGTAAATATAAATATGTTCCATTTGAAATTACCCATTACACTTGAGTACTAGAAAGGGTAGGTGAGAGAATAAAGGCCAAAATATACTAGAATTAATATGTTACTATGATCATTTTATTTATGGAGTGAAGTGGCTAGGTATCTATGGATTCATAAATCAATAAGGCATTAAAGGTATTAAAAATATTTTTTCCTTTGAAATTATCCCAGTTGGAAATATAATTTGACAGTGGACAGTTACCTGGTATTTTTAAACAGTATTTTTATGATGTTTGAAAGCTTATTGAAAACTTCAATGTAGCATTTAAACAGGAACCATTTTATATATATTAAAAAAAAAAAAAAACAAAACAAAACAAAACAAAAACAAACCCTGGTGAAAACCTTCCGAGCAAAAATTACTTCTCATGTATACAGGCAATTCTTCACCAAGATTGATAGAATTGTAGTTACTTATAGGAGAAGGAATTTGGCTTGCTGGATCTGCAGGAAACCAACTATGTTATACATTCCTTGTCTGTGGAACATTGAATGCTCAGCTCTCTGAATATTTTAAATAAAATAAAGTTCTTGCTCAAAGTCTTTGTGGCAGGAGTCCCAGAAAGGATTTACTATCTGAGATTTGCTCTTTGCAACTCTGTTCCACAAAGATAATGCCAACTTTTGCAGAAGTAGTTTCTACTCTATTGTGTGGAATTTAAATGACTTCCATTTATGCATATGAGTAAGGCATCTGCACATGATAATTTGTATTCTTTCTACTGGTTAGAAATTCTTTCTACTGGTTAGACTGGTAAAATAATTCCCTTTCGTCATCAAATATATGCTTCCTTTTGGTTACTCTGGAAAAATGAAATATCAAGCATAAGGTTTTAGATGGTTGTCTGCAAGGCAAAAAACCCGTTATCAGTAGGTTGTGAAAGCCTTACTGTCATGTGGGTGTCTGTCCTGAAATGAAGTTAACACCCAGTGGGGGAGAAAGAAAAAAAAAAAAAAAAAAAAGAAAAGAAAAGCAAGTTTTAAATATAAATGTTGAAGACAAAAAACAAGAAATAACTTTCCCATAAAATCTTGCTTCATCAAGGGGAAAAACATTAAAAGTTTCTGTTGTGTAAAATTTGAGTTGAAACTTGTCATGCAATTAACATAGTTAGGGAATAACTTGTACAAGGCCCTACTTTATTTTTTTAAATTACTCGACTTTTAAAACTGGGTGAACTCTAAAGTACTCCTGAGGAATTTGAGTCTGAACTATGACCAAATCTTTATTCATCATGAAAAGCCCCATCAAGGCTAATTTCCAACAACAAAAAGCCTATGCAGAGCTAATTTAGTTGATTACTGAATCCCAGGGCATGATTTTTAAAAGAAAGCAAATCCTGGAAGATGCCGAGCAGTTTCCCAAGCACATCAGTATGTGCACGTCCTCGGCGTCCTGTGAAACACAGCCTTCCCTAGTGATGTTGCCAAGCCTTGATGATATCTTCAAAGACACTGAGTAACTTCTGCTTCACAGAAATCAACAAGGATTTAAAATGTTCGGATGGATTAGGTCTTACATTTCTTCTGTACATTCCTGCACATACAAACACATTTTGGTTTGGGAGCATGCTATTGGAAAAGCATGTTTAGCTCCTGAATAGTTTTTGTGTACATATCCCCCGATCTGTTTTTGTGACTTGCATCTCTGGAAAATTAGGGAACAGAAGGGGAGAAGCCTGTGCTAAAAAGCTTACTATGGATAATTGTATTTTTTTTCAAAGCTCAACTTTGGCTTTAAGAAACAAGGATCAGAACTGGAAGAAAAAAAAAATAATCAGGAGAGAAAACTTAATGTATAAAAAGGGCTCCAAACTAATTGCATAAATATACACTGATACCACTGGAGCTAGGATTTCTCCTCGGATTAACAAGAAACTTTGATAATTTTCAAAGTACTTTTCTGACTGGGATACAGGAATCAGTGGGAAATACTTTGTGTGACTTTTTCCGAACAACATAAAGCCCAGAGGAGTGCACTGTAACCATTACAATATTTAACACTGATGTTGGAATCTACCATGTCACACAAGACCTATTGCTCATTCTCAGACAGATAGGTCAACCTCATCATTTTCTGGATGACAAAAACCCTACAGGTTGAATTGTTAAGTGGTTATTAAAACCCATGTGTATGAGTTCATCACCCTGATCATAAGGAAGAAGCTGATGGTATGCAGATGCCATCCTTGCATGTGATTTAGCACACCTTTATCTCTGTTCATTTCCCTGCTCCTCTCATTACTATGAAATCTAAAGTAAACCCCACATCATATTCCCCAGCTCTTCTTCATACTGTGATTGTGCTCACAATGGACACCTTCTCTTGTGATTTTTCCTTTTTGTCACCTAACATTTTAGTAGTCTGTAAAGCCAATGGAGATACATTATTGTCTCAATAGGTTTGGAGTTGTGTTCTGGAGATGAAGTGTGCCAACTAATTAAAACCTTGGTGCTTTACACGTGCACTGTTGTACTGTCTATGTTGCGTGTGTATAACAAATAGAGCCAGAAGTCATTACAAATTGCTTACGTAGAAAAAAAAAACAGGTATTTTGCCATAAGCCTGTGTGTCAGTGGTTAAATGCCAAGTATGTGGTATTGTAGTTGGAGAGGATTTGTGATCATGAACCAGGACTTGGAGTTTCATGAACTTCAGCAATGCTTGAATCCAGTTCCAAAGTTTGCAGCATAGGACCATGTTGATGCCAGTGTTTATAGTAGGAATTGTTTGCGCTCTGTTGTATGGAATTTGTGCAGCTTCCATCAAGTCATAGGAAGGCTATACACACACTGATTCCTCTGACTGCCTGAGGTAGTGAAATAGTTCCTTCGTTAAGGACTAGATGTCTATCCTTCTTATTTGAGCACATAGTGCTTTGGGGCAGTTACATGACTGTCTTGGGCATGCGTGTGTAGAGTCCCTGTATTGCTACAGCATGACCTATCAAACTGCACAATTATTAATCTTTCTGAAAGAAACTGATAATTCTAAAAGAAGACGAACAACAGGCATTTCAGACCAACAGTGCCTGTAGTACTTAAATGATGCATTTTAGTCCAACAAAATGATGAGTTTTAATGCTTTTGTTGTACAATTTAAAGAGGGAGTATTTTAAAGAAACACTTTTAACAATGAAATTTGGTAGATTTTATGTGAGATAATTAGAAGGTATGAGGCCACACACCCATAGAAGCAGCCAGTAACAACAATATATATTATTTTAAAAATAAACCACAAAGCGAAATCTTGTAGCTTTCTTAATGAAAATCTGGAGTTACTGTATACCATTCTTTCTAAACCCATAGTACTAGAGATACTGGAGAAGAAACCACTTCTACAAACATATCATCTGCCCTTGTTAACGGGACTTTTTCATTGATTCTACTAGTTTCGTTTTTAATCTCTGAGAGCAAAGGAACTCACTAATTCCCTTGGTTGACTATTAATAATCTAGTAAATATCATAATCTAGTAAATCACCACAGACTCCAAATGATGGCATCATGAGAAGAATCTTCACTGAAGTGGGCCAAGCACTCCTCTAGGTTTTTCACCCCATAGAGAGGAAACTATAGGAACTGACCAGTGATTGTTGAATTTTCATTACAAACACAAAGTCCAGTGGTGTATTTTAATTAACTTTTTTTTATTATAAATTCTGTTGATTCCACTTGGTGCCACCTACACTCATGGGACTGCCAAGAGCCTCGAATAAAGGACGGGATATAGTTTTGGCTTAGGTGTTGCTTCTGACATCCCTGCTGTGGTTCACAGCTTGGCCATATGATGATGAACTTCTCCATTTTTCCTTTCTTGTTTTCTCGACAGGAACACGGTGCATTTCAGGATTTTGCCCACCCTTGTTCTTTAAGTGTTGCTGGGGTTTAAACCTGACCCAGTTTTCAGTGATGCTTTATACTACTGCCATGCTATCTACTTTTGAGTTTGCTATTCATACCTCTTCTGGGGTCATGTTGATTTGCCTTCTGATTGTTTTTTTTTTTTTTTAGCACTTCAAATTTGTATTTTCAAAATCTTCTCCGTACCTCTGACGAGAAGATTTTGTTGTGATTTTAGGAAAACGCTGAAGTCGAAACGTTGATGTTAACAGATGACCTCAAATGCCAACAGATTTTTTTTTTTTTTTTTAATTATTAAGTAGAACGAGCTGCTTTAAAAATACCTGGAGGTGTTGGTGATACCGATTTCCAGAAAGTCACGAATGTTTTTCAACCTCGCCACTGGCAATTTTGGCATGCAACGACCTAAAAACGTATGTCGGTAATCTACGGGATCTCTTGTCCGTCAGGGCAGGTGAACGCAAACGCCTCGCCGACAGCCTCGGTAGAGGCGACAAAGCTGGAGCTGCCGCCGCGGCTGTGAACGGACAGGGAGCGCAGTGCCCCCCGCGGTACCGGGGAGGGGGGGGGAACCGGGAGTGGGGAGGGGAACCGGGAGATGGGGGGGGGGGGAACCGGGAGATGGGGGGGGGGGGGGAACCGGGAGATGAGGGGGGAACCGGGGGCGGGGAGGGGAACCGGGAGATGGGGGGGGGGGGGGAAACCGGGAGATGGGGGGGGGAACCGGGAGATGGGGGGGGGAACCGGGGGCGGGGAGGGGAACCGGGAGATGGGGGTGGGGGGGAACCGGGAGATGGGGGGGAGGGAACCGGGAGATGTGGGGGGGGAACCGGGGGCGGGGAGGGGAACCGGGAGATGGGGGGGGGGGGGGAACCGGGAGATGGGGGGGGAACCGGGGGCGGGGAGGGGAACCGGGAGATGAGGGGAGGAACCGGGAGATGGGGGGAGGAACCGGGGGCGGGGAGGGGAACCGGGAGATGGGAGGGGGGAAACCGGGAGATTGGGGGGGGGGGGAACCGGGAGACAGGGGTGGGGGAGAGGCGCTTGCCCAGCTCCCCGCGCCCCTCCCCGGGGCTGCGCGGTGCCCCCGCCCTTCCTCCGGCGCCGGGGCCGGGGCCGCTCCCGGCGCGCAGCCGCCAAAACGGGGGCGGGAGCGGCAGGTGCGGGGCCGCCCCCTCCCCCCCCCCCCCCCCCCCCCCCCCCCCCCCCCCCCCACGCCGCGCCGGTCCCCGCGGGCCCGGGCGGGGCCGCGCCGCGGCCGCGGCTGCAGATGCAGGGGCTGGCGGGGCGCCGGCGGCACCGGCGGGGGTTGCATCAGACGAGGCGCTCCGCCGGGCCGGCTGGGTTAAGGGAGCCGGGAGCCGGGGGGTCGGGAACCGGGGGTCGGCCCGGCGGCGCTCCGCGCGATGCTGCGGACAGCCCCGCGGCTGCTGCGGACCATCTGCACGACGGCCGCGGTGAGTAGCGCGGGGCGGGCGGCGGGGGGCGTGCTCCCCCCCCCCCCCGCGCCGTGGCCGGGAGCCAGCGGCGGGGGGGCTGCTCCTCGGCGCGCCGCCCCGGTCGGCGGGCGAGCGGGGGCCGGGCGGGGAGGGGGAGAGTTGGCAGGAGGAGGCATTTATCGGGATGGGATGCGTATTGTCTCTTCCGGCAGTTTGGTAAAGCCCGTCCAGGCACCGGGAGGTCAGGAGGGCTCGGAGAGGTCTCGGTTTGGCTGCAGAAGCAGCATCTTGCCCGGCGGGATCGCAGCCATCATCTGGGCTCTGTATCTTGCAGGGCCGGGCCGGGAAGCCGCAGGGGAACAGGCACCAGCGATGCTGGGAGAATCCCCAGTGATCGTGTGCCGAGGACAATGTGAGTGTGCCTCCCGCACGCTGGGTTTGCTCTGTGGGAAGCAGGAGGTTGCCTCCTCAGTTAGGAAGGACCGTGCCCGCCCCCAGTGCCGGAAAGGAGCCCCGTGCTTTGGCCTAGAGACAGCGTTTGGTTTGTGACCTTCTCATCGCCAGTTCCTAGCTCTGGGATGGTGGCTTGCTCGGGGTTGAAGCTGATGGCCTGAATTCCTCTGCACCCCTGAGGTTTAGTTTTTTACAGCTCTGCACATTTGTTCCAAGACATTCTTTATGTCCCGTTAAATATATAGGCTGCAGAAATCCTGCAAGAAACTGCTCCCTGAAAGGCTTGCCTGGTCCAAATTGTCCAGATGTGTAAGTCTGGCAAGCTGAGTGAGGCTGGGAGAAGATTTTTTTTCTTTCCTAAAGCCTCTTCTTTGTTTCATGTTCAGCTGCTCAGTTTAGCATGAGGACAGCAGTCCTCCGAATGCGTCTGCATGGAAGGTGTTAGAATAAAGAGATTTAACACAAGCTTTACGGAAATGCAATCAGCAGTGCCAAAAAATTAGAATGAATGACTGGTGAGAACACATGCCTGTAGCTGTGTAGATGGGAGGCTCTACAAGAGGTTTCTATTTGGAGGCACTGGAATTTAGCACATGTAGGGGGATCCTCAGTAGAAATAAAGTTCCAGCACTGCTTTTCAAAGGAGGCATAATTCTACATTCATTGTTAAAAAGATGGGACATATTAAAATATTTACTAGCTTCACTAAATTCTTATACAGAAGAAATAAAATATTGTAATCTTTTTGACAGTAAGCTTCATAACAAGAGTAACAGTTAGTAAACATCAGCCTTCAAGAAACTGATAACCGAGTGAATCTCAGACATACATACGAAAGAGGCAGTAGCAGAAATTTTCTTTATCTATGAAGTAAATATTATCCTATGGGTAGGTTTTGTAACACTAGACTCATCTGAGAGAAGAAAATGTAGCTCCTGGACTTGTCTTCCATTTTTAGGAACCAGAACTTGACAGGATAGTTACCAGCATTTGTCAGGCTGCTTCTCTAGGCAGTGCTTAATTCTATTTATTAGTTTTATATTTGGCTGGGTGTTTTGGAGGAAAAAAAGAACCAGAATGGAAGCAAACATTAAAATACTGTATATCTTTTAATGATCCATTATAAAATAAATTTCAGTATGGTGTCAACAGATGGTATGGCCAGAATTTTTAAACAAGGAAGTTAAACTTAAATCTATGCTTTCATATTGAGGCAGTGAAATAAAAGTGGACTTTCAGTCAAGCTGAGCATTCAAGGCAAGACTGCTTGTAGAAGCAGTTCTCAGGTTTTGTACTCCTTACCTTTATCTTATTTTCTTCATTCAAATTGGGAGCATTTGAGTCAGAGAAACAGAATTAATGTTAATCTGTGTTATAATATAGGACAAATAGAAGGGTAAACAAGAATTAAAAGGTCAGACAATTAAAATAATAGAATTACAACAGAGTGAGCATCAACTTTCTAAATTCTTATCTTTTGATAGCACTCTCACAATAACATTATCCTATGATTAGTCGTAAAAGAAAGTCCAGATCTCTCTAAGCCACCTGAACTGCATTGTTTGCCGTAGCTAGGAATTGAGTAATCTTACAAAAGTACAGAATAAAATCCACTCTGGTATTACATGACCATTAACCTTCCCGTGCATCTGTTAATGAATATGATACATCTGTAGTCAGCTGGGAAACAGCAAAAGAAATCTAATATAACCTCTTAACATCACTGACCAAAACAATAGAAAGTTTCATCTTTGTATATGTTAGCGATAATGATCCAGTATCCATCTAGCACATTATTCAACAAGAAGCTTGTTTTGGTGATCTTTAATGAGCTTCCCTTCTACAGATTCTTGATGAATGCTAGCGATGGTATGCTGGCCAAAATGTGCCATTTCTCTAAGAAAGAAAACACTCAACTATTTTTCATTTCTGTGTAATCTTATATAACTTTACATTTTAATTGGGTGTTATGTCCACATTAAATTCCTCTAAAAGAATTTCCCATGTTCACAGGTCTAACTCATCTTAGGTAAAAGTACGTGAGGAGAATTTCCAAAAGAAGATACAGGGTGGCTGTAAAATCTTGTGCAGTTGCTCAACTGTAATTTTTCAAATAAAACAAAAAGTTAAGGATGGAATTTGTGGTCTGATTGTGCAAGCTCTGCCGCATATAGGAATTCTTTTCTTTTCTTTTTTTTTTACTCAGTCGAAATCCTGTGCATGGCTGACTTGTGGGTTTAGCTCCTGCTTTCTGCTGATGATAACGTATGTGTTAATGCACTACAAATTGCCACGTCTAAGCCAGATGTTAATAGAAATCATACAACACGTGTATCGTTCACTGGAGAAGTAACTCAAGAATCACTGGTCATAGCACGGTTACCAGATCCATCTTGCAGTTGAAATCAGTCCCCATTGGAGTAACTTTCTTTAAGTGTGAGACAGTGGAACTGATTTGATGCCAGGCTAATCTTTTTGTGCACTACAATGAAGAAATGTGACTGAGCCAGTCTGCAATCTTCTCAATTTTGCCAGCATTTTTTTTTTTGTGTTCATTCGGGGACTGTGTTCTCTGTTTGCTTCTCGGTATTTGTTGACTCCGTTCCACAGCTAGCACAAATTAAGCACATGTAGCTTTACTGAAACTATGTTGATTTACAGCGACTCATAATTTGGAACTGGAACTGGTATGCAGTTCCATGTAATATGAGAATCAGATTTATTCACAAGAAGACATGAACTAAAAGTTAAGTTTAGGAATAGAGGATCCATATGTTATTAACACTTTGTGAACAAGTGAAGAAAAAGTAGCTCTTAAAGTGGTGATAAATTTGGATTTAAATTTGCAAGAAGATTGACCAAGTGTCAGAAAACCAATGGAGTACATCAGTGAGTGCTTTAAAAAGGAGGTCAGGTAAATTTATAAATGGCAGAGGGCTAGATTTGTTAGCTAAGAAGATCCCTTCCAGTCTTGTGTTCTTACTGAAAGATGTTAACAAAAGCACACAAGTAGAGTAAGTAACTCTCATCTGGACTATCTTTAGTGTTTCTTCCATGTACGAGTTGGGCTACCTCTGTAAATTAGCAGAGTACAGAAATCAGAGGATTTTGTACCATGGCAAACATGTTCAGTGATCCAGCAGGTTAATCTTTCTCCAACTTGCCTGCTATAGTTAAAATAATTAGGAAAATCTGATGATTACTTTTCATAATGCAGCAACATTTCTGCTGTGAAAGCAAAGATACCAGTCATAAAGCATTGGTAATGAGATCTGCCTGCATCCACTGGGCCTTGCTAGATAAGGATTGCAAGGGTAAGTTGTGCTCATTGTAATTCAGAACAAGGTCTTGTATTTATTAAGAACAAAATAATGGACGTATTTCAGGCATTACTGTCAGCAGTGCAGCACTGGTTAGTAATATTATCACCAGTCTCACAGATGTTTTTTACCAGCCAGCTAGAACAATCTGATTTTGCCAGAGCCTGAGTTATGTTCACCTTTGCATCTTACTGCTTGTTACTATTGCAATTGCACTAGTGCTGACTAATGCTGTAATACGAGTACAGTTTTACTATGCAGCTTCATTCTGAGTGAACATATTGTCTCTGGATGATTAGTTATTGCCTATTGTTTTATATAAAGAATAAAAAGCACACTGTCATGGTTTGAGCCTGGTCGGCAGCCAAACACCACACAGCCACTCATTCCTCCTTCTCTTCCAGCGATTAGAAGTGACAAATGAGCCAGGCTTGGGGTTCAAGATAGGACCGGGAGGAGCAAATCACCTATTATGGTCACGGGCAAAAGGCAGACTCATTAGGGGAAGAAAAAAAAGAACATACATTTATTACAGACACTAACAACAACACTTAACAGAGTAGGACAGTGAGAAACACTGCCACATCTTGAGAACACCTTCCCCCCACCCCTCCCTTCTTCCCGGGCTCAGCTCTGCTCCCGATATCTCTACCTCCTCCCCCAGGGGCACAGGGGCAGGGAATGGGGGGTGCAGTCAGTGCTGCTGCTTTTCCATCTTCGGTGGGGGGAGCTTCTGGAACTTGTTCCCCCTGCTCCAGTGTTGTCCCCCTCTCACAGGAGACAGTCCTCCACAAACTTTCTTTGATGTGAGTCCCTCCCATGGGCCGCAGCGTTCCCCACACTGCTCCATCGTGGGTCACTAACTTCCTCCGACTGGATTCCCTCCCACGGCTGCAGCCCTTCCCGAGCTGCTCCGGCGTGGGACACCCCCGCATGCTGCAATCCTCCCAGCACTGAATTGCAGCAGTGGGGCTGCCTTTTCCCATGAGAGCCCGGCCTTCTTCGGGCACAGCACCTTGATCAACCAGGCGAAAAACACAGGCCATAAATCAATGTCTGCTCCACCGTAGATCTCCATGGGTGGCAGGGGGGGCCGCCCTGCCGTCTCCCCACAGGATACAGGGGGGTCTCTGCTCTGGCACACCTCCCCCCTCCTTTCTTCCCCCGTTCCTCCACTGACCTTGGTGTTCACGCAGCTGCAGCAACTCCTCCTCACCAGTCCCACTGCCCGTCACCATGTCCCTTCTTAAATACGATATCGCAGAGGCGCAGCTGATGGGCTCAGTTTTGGAGCAGAGGTGGAGCTGGGGGAGCTTCGAGAAGCTTCTCACAAGGAGCCACCCCTATAGCCCCCTCCCCTGCCACCAAAAAAAAACCCCACCACTCACTCAAACCCAGGACACACACTTCAGTATTCTTGTAATGGAACCTACCAATTCATAACTCCCTTTTCCAAGGCCAGCTGCACAACTGAATTGTAACTTGAAAGCAGCAAAATACATCCATTATATTTCAGCTGTGAAATGAATTGCAATGAAATGGGTTGTCGTTTTGAGCAACCTGTTTTTCAGGACCATTCCCTTTGTCATAGAATTTGTCATATGATCTGATGGGCAGTCCAGACCATTTGGTATCCAATCAATAACCCACTTAGTCAAGATATCCTCATGTGCCGTCATGGTAAGAAGGGAAAAGAGGAGGGAGGAGAAAAATGTGCAATGGCCAACATACAGAACAAATGCCTATGTTTAAGATATTCAAACAGTGCTTTGATCCCTCTTTATCATTCTGAGCTTATGGCATCTAATGGGTCATTCAGAAAAAATAAAAGTCAAAGTCCAGTTGGGAAAGATTAAGTTAAGAATAAAAATGGGGAGTGTGTGGACTTATTTTCTACCTTTCATTCAGGCCTCCTAAGAGAAGGGATTTTTATGGTTTGAGTCTAGGAATAGTTTCTACCAGATCCAGCTTTGAGAAAGGTAAATTTTCTGCTTATTGTGTGTGGATCTTTCCTTCATAACCAGATCTGCTAGTCCATTTGTTTTTCAAAGGTTGCCAGTTTTCAGAAGCTGATGAAAAATGCAAAGGCAAAGCTTACAGGGACAGTTCCACCCCTCTGCCAGTGCTTGCATACTCATTCCTGCTCCCGTGCTGGCCCTGCCTGAGGACTAATGGCAGCACAATGACCTAGACCAGGGAGTAGATCCAGTTAAGAATAAGCCACATTTTGTCAGGTCAGTGCCTCCCTACCTCAGTACCCTGATCCAGTTCCTGCAGCTACAGGCATACCAGTCCTGGGATAAAGGAGGTGTTAGAGGTGAGGGACTGGAGGTAGGGTAGGAGAGGAGCACAACTGTCCCCCCAAACCTAAAGGGACTTTGAAGGAATTAGTAGTTTTCTCAGGGTGCAAACACTTGAATAACATAACAGTACGTGATATCCAGATATCATAGCAGCATTGTGATTCTAACTATCCCAAAAATAAAAGGTCGGGGCAGTTATTCGCATCTACTCAGTCTGAAGAAGCTTAAAGTGTGTGCCCAGTGTACTGGGACGTAAATGCAGAAGTCAGTGGAAGTCCAGCAAGGAAACCTCACATTTAGCAATAATTTCTTGCAGGAGGATCAAATGGATGATCGTTACCTTTAACTAGGCAGGGACAATACAAGCTTGTCTTCTTTAGCATATACATATTAACCACAAATTATATGCCACCATCTAATTATAGGTATTTAGAGGGCATGTTCCAGGCACGTAAATCATGCCTAGAAAAAGTGTTTTATGTACCTGTTTCAAAAAATGTATTTTAATTTCTTATGATACTAGTTCTGACTATGAATAAGATCATGGAGCCTGTTATGCCTGTTGTAACAAGCGGTGGGTCTGTTTAGTGAAAATTCTGGGAAAGCTGTATAAACATCAGTGACAGTATCAGATGATAATTTTATGGCAAGTGTGGTCTCTCTGAATTGTACAATGCCTGTCATTAACCTCAAAAATTGATTATTATTCCTTCAGAGGCGATTGGGGTAGAAAGACTATTCCATTTTAAATCAAAATGAACATTGATCAAGAAAGAACAAGAGAGAAATGAAAGCAACAATGTATTTTCTTTGCTTCCTAGAACATGGTTTGTTTTAATTCTTTTTACCAGGCTTATCAACATAAGCTAAAACTAGCCCTTATAGGTCAAAGTATTTTTGGACAAGAAGTTTATAACAAGTTGAGAAAAGAGGGACATAAAGTTGTGGGAGTGTTCACAGTGCCTGACAAGAATGGACAAGCTGATCCTTTGGGTAAGTGTAACCTTAATACAAATGTTAAGATTACAGGCATACATAACAAACTTGCCTTTTCGTGGGAAGGTAATATCTATATGGGAATGACTTGCATATATAGCCTTTGTTACACTGGATTCAGCACAAGAATTATGCTTTAACAAACACAAGTCCCAGAACCGGTCTAACCTTGTCAATTAGTATTTAAAAGTTGTTTCTAACCATACAGGGCCATACATGAGAATATCTGAAAAATAAATTAATCTGGGTACCTTATTAGAAGGTACATCCTAGAGGTAAACATCCTAAACTAGATCTGTATCTTAAAGCAGGTAGCTGCTGAGCCTGTACTCGAGCACAGATGCCTGTCACCTATTTCACTGTGCTGTCTGGGACACTCAAGGCATGGAGTGTTTATCCCTGGCTTTCTGCCCTTTCTGACAGCCTTGTATGCAGCAGTGTACCTGCAGAGCCTATTTCTCTTCCACCTGGATTATGGAAAACCCTTTGAAAAGGGTAGAGGAGGATTTGCTCTCCTTTTTTCCATTGTCAAGATGCATAAGGATTTTCTAGACTTCCTGAAGAAAAAATTGTTGCCTGACAGGTATTTGCAATTGTACTCAGAACAGAACCCAATGTGACAAAGAAGCTACTTTGGAATCATTGAATTGTAATTTTTTTTTCTTTTTTTTTAGTAGCACAAAAACGGTGAGTTAATATGATTAGCAAATAGAAATGCCAGAATGGAATGTGCCTTCATGGATAATCTGCAGTTAAAACAACATTCCATGAGCTGTCTCAAGTTGTTTTTTTTTTTTTTTATTTTCCTTGTCAGGTCCTGACATGTTTTTACAGAACTCTTATGAGGGAAGAATCAAACATAAATTTTGCTTACCTGGGCTATAGCACTCCCAAACTAGCACATAGTTCTCAAGTTTATTATATTCTGTAACTCTACCTCATTAAAAGATTTAATCACACTTTGGAAGAACTAGAGGAGGCAACTATTACTTTAGAAAAAGACAATGCAACTATCCAGCTCTGGAAGCATACAATAATATTTGATTACATTATATAAACTGTTGTTGTACAGTTATTACACTAGCAGATGCAACTAAATATTTCACTGTATTCCATATATATATATATAATAAATGTAAATATTTTAACTAAACCATAGAATTAGTTTATTGCTCTCCTGATTAAAAAAAAAGAGAAATTACTAGATACTTTGTTGCTTTTTACTTCCAGATGACTCAGAGACCTTAAGTCTCAAGTGAAATTTGCTAATATTTCTGTATCCTCAGACAGCTACAATTTATGTTTCTGAAAGCAATTGCAGTACACACTAACTTCTGTGGAGTGATATTTAAGTATTTACTTAAAACCTAAGTTAATAGGCTAAAAATACTTCAAGTCAAACTCAAAATCCAATTTCAGAACTGAAAAAAAATAAAGTACAAGAATGTGTTTATAAATATAAGTTAAATTAGGTGAATTTTCCATACTTCTTCTTGTTCTCCTTTTTCTTCCTATTACACATACAACACAACAGATGCAGAGTTTGACTCTACTGTCCTGCTCTCTGTGATGAATTGCACAATACAATTTATTTAACACATAAACATTCTCTCAGTAATTAGTACAATTGTTTTTTCTCACCTTTGAGCCTAATTCTGGGTGTAGCTGTGTGTCTCACAGATAAATATCCAGAAGGCATCAGTAAACAGAATTTTGAAGAAGTTGCTGAAGACCACTAGCATCTGTAATTATTTGCACCACATGGCAAAATGCTGCTGACAGGGGTAATTGTACATAGTCATATTCACATATAAATTGCTGAAATGGAAAATAAGTTCTGCTAAACCCAACCAGTTGCAGGTAAACATAATGACCAGACAAGAAATTAAGTGTCACTGTTAAATAGTCAATAACATTCATCATTTTTTCTGCTTTCATTGGTACTTATTAGCCAAGTCAGGAGTGAACTTAAAGTTGAGAATGATGTAAACTGTAGGCATGAGAATCAAAGACAAAATTAGTAAGATATGTTCAAGCTCGAAGGTTTTTAAACAACATAGAGAGCAGTACAAAGGGCACTCTGTAATCACATGCTTGATGATCTGCTTGACTTGTCATGCAGTATCTCTCTGATTTCACTTTGAATTTTTAACACAAAATATGAATTAAAAAAAAATATTGTTCTTGCCCCTCAGCACTGGCAGCGGAGAAGGATGGCACTCCTGTTTTAAGTTCCCCAGATGGAGAGCTAAAGGCAAGCCTATTGAGGAAGTAGTTGCAGCCTACAAATCGGTTGGAGCGGAGCTAAATGTCCTTCCATTCTGTACACAGTTCATCCCCATGGATGTTATTGACTGCCCAAAACATGGCTCAATTATTTACCATCCATCCATCCTACCACGCCACCGAGGAGCTTCTGCAATCAACTGGTGAGTTTTGTGTATCAAAACTATGTGTATGTCACGTTAGGATGTTGGACTGTACCCATTGCTCACGTAAATGCTGGCAGAGTTCTGCTGACTTGCAACTGCTCTGAAGGAACTTCTCTGAGGCAGCTGAGTATTGGGTTCATGAACTGCACTTCATACCTAAGATTCATTATGATTTCCAATTCAAGTGCAGCTGTTATTCTGGGAAGGTCAGTGATGTGATCTGTGCATTCATATGTTTTGCTCACATAAACAAATTAACAGTTTGGACTTTTCATAGGCAGGACACTGCCCTGATAGCTCATCCCCCACAAACACTAGGTAACTATCACCACAGGGCTTGATGCAGAGCCCAAGATTTCAGAGAAGGGAAGGGAAAAGAGAATCCACAAGAGTAAAGCCTTGCCCTGCTGTTCTCCTGAGCAATGCACAAGGCTAGACTCAAAGTGTTACTGTGAAGGAACTACACTGCAATAATGACCACAGTAGACTCAGATCTAGCACTCATGTGACAACAGAAATGCCATGATTACAATGTTTAAATTCAGTAAGAAATTGCCTAAATATGAAGAAACAATTTAAAAATAATCTTGCAGGCAGTATGGTGATTATCTAAAGATACAGTGTTGTAGATTCAAAGCACAAGCATGTTTTGCTTTGTTTTGTTATTTTTAATCTTTAATGGAAAAAATGCTAAGCTGAAGTACTTAAACAGAGGAGTAAAGGAGACCATTAGAGATGTAAGGAAATCCTTCAAAAAGTGGCAGTTGTGTCCAAGTGAGTAAAATAAAAAATAGCATAAACTCTGGCAAATCGGGTGAAAAATGAGAGTGAGGCAGCCCAGAAAAAGAAATAAAGAACTAAATTTTAAAGGCATAAAATTGAATAATAAAAATTTTCCAAAATGCATTATGGGTGAGAGGTATGTAGGGTGATACAGGTGTTTGATTTAAAACAGGGGCTTATCAAAGAGAACACCATAGTAGGAAATCTGTATAGGTATTCAGGAGGGAGGAGCTTAGGATGTTACTACCATACAGCCCTTCTTTGTGATAGAATAAGTCAGAACAATTGTCTTGAGCTGAAGTATGAGCAGAAGAGATTTTTAGATAAACTGATGAAGGAAAAAGAATCTCTTCGCAGGACCAGGGGACTTCCAAGCAATAGTTCTGCAGTTTTGGCACAGCCTGCAACTTTTCTGTTCCTTCAGATTGCGTTAGTGTGGGAGGCTGGAAAACAGCAAGAGCAATACCAGTTTTAAAAGGGCTGAAAAGGAATGCCAGGAAACCATAGACCAGTCACTCTGATTTCTATCTGTAATAAAGAATAAACTTCCTACACAAGTGGGTGAATATGATGATGTGAAAGTGAGATTAAGAGAATGAGAGGTCAAGTTAAAAGTTAAAAAACATAAGGTAATGCACATAAGGGAAAAAAAAAACCTGACTATATGTAAGCAGGAATAAAATTTAAGTTAATAGTGGTTACTCAGAAAAGAAACCATGGAAGAAGCTTAAATACTGTCTGTATCTCAGAACATGAAGGAACTAGAAATGCTTCAGAAAAAGCTAAAAAAGTTGGTCAAAGGTATAGAACAGCTTCCACATGATGGGAGACGAATCTATGAGTCTTCAGACAGGAAGAGAAGTCATTGGGAAGGAAATACACTAGCAGTGTATGAAGCCAACAAAGACATTGGAAGGTGAATAAGGAACAATTGCTCATTCTTAATCAAAAGTTAGAGGGCAACCAGCAACATGTAGTAGGATTTGACTACCTATAAAGGAGGTGCATGCAGTCTGTTATTAAAATGTTGAACTGCATGTCTAAGGAGCTCTAGAGGGATAATTTCATGGAAGAAAAGTCCATCAAGATCTATTCTCAGGAAGGTGTAGATACAAACTCTCTTTCAGGAAGTTCATGAAGTAAAGGTTTCCGGAAACGGGAATGTATCCCAATAGTGTATCATTGAGTCTTACTCTATTTTGCATATTCCTTCCGTAAGCATCTGCTCCTGCCCTTCTCAGGTAAAGGCTGTTGTTCTAAGACCTTTAAACTAAGCGAGGATTTGGCCTTGGCTGACCATTCTTGTGTTTCAGCCTCACATCCCTTGCTCTCATCACAACTTCCTTCATGTGTTGTGGCTACAGACTTGGTGCTGATCAGATTCTTTCCCGCCCTACACAGTATGACCGAGAAAGCCTATGGGAATTAAGCATGGCTAAAGGGGCACCAGGCACAAACAAGAGCCCTGGGGCTCTGGGCGTTGCCCACTCCATCCCTTCAGCATCTTCCAGCTGCTGCCACTTTGTTATCAGCAGCCATCTGCGGAGGGAGCTGGTGACAGAACAGTCCTGTCACCTATTCAGCATCAGGGACATTTGCCCATAACGCCATCTTCTCCTCCAGTGCCATGCTGAAGACATCCACTTCTCACCAGGGTGCTCTTTTGGGAATTTTTCCATAATATGAAATAGAAGAAATGCTGCTTAAGTGTGTGAAAGATCTGATATGGGCTAGTCCAACTGCTGTAAGCTTTCGCTTTTGTTATACCTGCCAACTTCCCCAGTTGTCTTTGGAGTTTCTCCCTTGTTCTTCATGGATGTGTGCTTTACTCCTTTTGATAATGTAGTTTTCAGTGCTTACAATTAATAATGAATTTTCATGTATATAAGCCAGATCTCAGATGACCCTGCTACAACATCAACTGCCAAGGGGAGATACTTACATGAGATATGTCTTACTGAAAATTGCACTGGTCTTTACATGCAGACAAATGGTTAAAAGCATGCAGGAAAGATATGTATCTCTATTTCTGGCTGCTCTTTTAAACACGCTTCTGTTTGATTTTCCAAGGCACAGACCTTGGTTTTGAGACACATGCAGTGCTGAAGGAGAACTGGAAAATCTGAGTGACTGAAGTTCCCTTCAGATTCAGAGGCAGATCCTGAGCTGATGTAAATCAGCATATTGTAAGCAGTGTGATGTTCATGCACAGCAGCTGGGAATCTGGCTGGATACAAATTCCCTTAATAACTTTTCCTTAAACAGTTGCATACCCACAATTTTCTGCTCTGATTTTAGCTCATTTTCAGCTGTGCGACAACTGTACTTCCCTTGCCAGCCTACAGATAAGTTCTGAGTTTTAACTAATTACAGTAAACCCCATGAATTGTTAAGATAATATGCTGTCTAGATGCTTCCTTCTTTCAAATTATGTCATAACTATTGCACACCTTTTGCTCTGTGTGTCTTACCACCAATAATACTTTAAAAATAGTTATCACAATGAACTGTGTGATAGACACCCTGGATTCGGTTGCAGCATTCCTTATGTTGCTTTGAGGTAACCATACACCAACAGTATTGAAACTGTGGGTTTCTGACTATGAAATGAGCAATAAAACTAGTATTAAAGATGGTTAAGTTTTTCTTTTCTACCTACTTAAAGTAAATGAATGTGTAACAGACGGGTTGATAGCCCTGACTCCTTTCATACTGTTTGTATTTACTGTAAGCCTTTTTCTTATGTCCAGGACTTTAATTCAAGGAGACAAGAAAGCAGGATTTACTATTTTCTGGGCTGATGATGGTTTGGACACCGGACCAATCCTTCTGCAGCGAGAATGTGATGTTGGCCAAAATGATACTGTGGATGATCTGTATAACCGGTTTCTCTTCCCAGAAGGAATAAAGGCTATGGTATGTTTAGCTGTACTAAACATCAACATTTTAAGAGGAAAAGCATCTGCTGGAGTTTGAAAGTGAAAGAGATATAGACAAGATACATTTATTTGGAAAGACAGATGTTGTGGTGCTCAGCCAAATCCTAGACTTCAGTGGAGTTGTGCTGCTTCACAACAGCTGAGGAGGTGGCCTCAGAGTATTTGCTGCTGACAGTGGGCAGAGCATATCCTGTTTCCGCAGAAGGCAAGAAGCTGAATTTGTCTGGAGTGTGGCACTTTCCACAGATTTCTTGAATGTTTTTACAAGGTGACATTTCTAAAGGCTCGGAGAGAACAGAAAGTTAGGGGTGAGGTTGAAAAGTACCAAAGGGGTATGATGGTTTAAATTCAGAGCCCTGGTGCATGAGCTTTGGAGTTTGTATGCTTGTCCTTTTTTTGTATTGTTTTAAAATGAAGAAAAGAAAATGCATAAAAAATACTCAGCATGGGCTGTTAGAGAAATTTTTTCTTTCAACCTTTAAATGCAGATAAATAACTTTTTGCAGAAAGAAATAAAGTGTTGAATGCAATCATACAGAGCCACATTCTGGTCCTGCGGAATTTAGGCAGCTGCTATATGTCTGGTAACTGGGTACTCCCGTCATATTTCTGAGGCTATATCTTTTGTCAAAGAGGTTTAAGCGTACATGTACGTTAATCAGTACAGCATTGGTCTGCTAGGTTTTGGAAATCCTAGGTTTAAAGAATAAACTAGTTCCCCTTGTGGCAGAAAGTCTTTTGCCGACATTCACAAGTATGATTGAGGAAAAAAAGGCAAACCAAGCTAACATTAAATCTGTTAATTTTTCATTTAGGTGGAAGCTGTACATCTAATTGCTGATGGTAAGGCCCCTCGTATACCTCAGCCTAAGGAAGGGGCAACATATGAAGGGATCCAGAAAAAGGAAAATGCAGAGGTAGTGCTAAATAACATCGTGGTTTGTGCATATCACTAGAAAAGTCGCTATTAACTCAGATTACAATAGTAGTGATATGAAGTTAACATGAATTTTAGCTCAGTTGTTTCCTCACCTTTTATTCCTGGGATAACTGCAAGGATGCATGCAATGGAGCCCCAGGTTAAATTCCTATACCCTTTCAGCACTTACATATATTTAGAAACTCGGTGTCCTGCTTGGGATCATCTACACACAGCTGGATGGCAGCTGCACCTTCAGAGGTTTCTTAATATATTACCATTCTTTTAAATACAGCCTTGAATGAAGATAGTTCTTTTTGTTTACCAACAGTCCATACTAAATTCTCTACCAGAAATAGATCTGATGTTAGGAAAAGCAAGTGTTGGCACCAGGAAAAAAAATAGGTCATGTAAACAAACAACAGATAAAAAATTTATTTAAATACCCATGCAAGAATTATATTATATAAGGGCCCACACTGCATTAGCTGGATATTCTTTGTGGTTGAGAAGGCCACCATGAAATGGTAGCGAACGCTGTCTGTAATACCTTTTTTTCCCTTTCTAGACCAGTGCAAAAGCTGGGATTTTTTTTTTAAAAAAGTAAAAATTATTCCAACACTTTCAGTCTCTTGTTCATGGTGAATGTAGTCCTTTCCACGTGAAATATTGTGATACTTTTTATCATATTTCAGCTCCTGACTTACCTTAGAAATAAATAGCTTTGCATAAGCGTATTTTCATTCATCCATTTAACTAATATATAAGGAGCTTCCTTGGAGTGAACTAGCTTAATCTCCCTGCTGTAAAACTATTCTCACTGGTGTATAGCTTGCTTCTAAATATTCTTTGTGTTTAAACTATGTAGGATGCTGGGTACCTGAGTTTTGTTATGTAATAGCTATTCTGATACTTTCTTTAATTCATTTTGTACATATACACACAATACCGCAAAGATAAAGGAACAGATTTTCACCGGTGTTGCATATTAAATATACATGACATTCTTAAAACATTATTTCCTTTTCCGTCAAAGTCTTGCAGAAATTGCAAATTGTAGTGGGGATTCCATTTATGAAACTATTTATAAAGGGTTCATAAACTATTAGAAAGTATTTTAATTAAAGTTTGTAGATTTACTAAAGAATTTAGGATCCAAGCAATAAATAGATCTTTTTCAGCAAAGGTGATACCCAAACCACGCACTTGTTTATATCTATACTATGCTTATTAAATTTGTTAACCATAATATTAATTATTTATGAATGAATACCTAGTAGCAAGGTTTATATTTTCATTACATTAGTGTGAGAAGGAGAATTTAGGAAAATATATAGACCACACAGAACACAGAAGTGCTAAGAGCATCCCATTTGATGGTCTTTGATTATTAGTCATCTGGAGATCACTGATCTCCCTTTATTTGACCAGACCCTTTCTGTGTTCTTAAATAAATGAATGGTTGAAAGAGAAGGAGGGAGGAGTTGTAATTCCCATACAGGAAAACATCATTAACTTGATTTATACCTAAACAGAGAAGAATCAGCTGGCATGTCTTGATTTCCTAGATCTCCTGGGACCAACCTGCAGCAGCTTTGCACAATTGGATTCGAGGGCATGATAAAGTGCCAGGAGCATGGGCAACAATAGATGGCCAGGTATGCTCTGAAAACCAGAAGAATATTCTTCTATTCTATACCCACTTTTTGACCTTTTTTTTAATTATAAAACTAAAGATGTCTGCATACAGGTGAATACAAATGAGTGTTACATTGGAATAGCTCTCATTTGATGACTCTATGTTTTGTATATATCTAGAGCAGGCACCTAAACAAATGTACAGAACATTTGTATAGAACACAGTAGTTAAGATTTTTTTTTTTTTAATGATAGATCCATTTAATTCAAAGAAAGATAAAAGCAATATCTGAAAAAGAGATTGGGCATGGTACAAAGCAATAAGTAAGAAGGGTAGAACCAGATTGTGCCAGACATTTTGGGAAGTAGGCATGCATTACAGTATAATGCAACTCATGCTGTACAGTGGGCAACATCACAGTATTAACAGCAAAATGAAACACTGTGAGCTACTGAAATAACAAAGAAGGTTTTATTTTAAAGAGAATTGGGCCTAGGTCATTTGCAGAAATAAATTTATCTCATTTTATCCTGAACCAACTACTTAATTTCAGTGTATTAAAAGTACTATACACTTGATCTACATTGCACTTACATAAAATATTTTAAAAATCTCATTATCTGTCCTTGCTGCATTGTCCAGATTTTCTGACTTAACTATCAACCAACTGCTGGCAGACTGCTCCAAAAGCCTGGTTCTGCCCTGATGTCCAGGAACTGTTGCTGATTTGAGAGCCCAGAAAGAACACAAGTGCCCAGGAGAGAGGCAGTGTTCAGCATTGACAGCCTGGGAGCAGAACTGGACTCCACCAGTCACAGTCAGGCTTCTGCCAGTCTCTCACTCGGGGCATGCACTGACAAAAGCTGCTTCCCTTTCTGCCCTGGTTCCAGCTGCACATTGTTATAGCCAAGCAGCTTTGTGGGTTAAGGCAGCTTGCAAAGTTTTATGTGTCCTGGGTTGTAAAGATACAGAAATAATGTTGTAACATGCTTCACATGTTTAGGTACCTGTATTTTATTTATATTATATTATAGTATAGTATTTACATTATAGTATAGTATAATTTAATTATTAGCATTTTAGAGCATGTTTAGAATCTGTGTGCTTTTAATTCCATTTATTTTTAGGTCGTTACTTTTTATGGGTCATCATTACTTGATGCTTCAGTGCCTGCTGGACAAGAGCTGGCAATAAAAGGTGCTACAAGACCTGGACTTGTAACCAGGAACGGTCTAGTCATTTTTGGTAATGATGGGAAAATGGTAAGTGCTCACGCTGGCAAACATTAGCATGGATGGAATAACTTTAGCAAGAAGTGCAGGTAGTGTGGAATTGTCAGGCTATACAAATCCAGCTGCTAATGACAGACAGCTAATTCACCCGGAGTTTATCAATCCTCCACCATCCTGTAGAGAAGACATTCATGTTTTGCTTCTCACTCGATTCATATTCATTCCCAATATGGATTAAAATGTACTAATACTAGGAGAGACTCTGACAGACAGGTAGGAGTGGCCTGTGCTAAATTACCTCCATTGTGGCAGCTTTCTTGCAAGCCATTTATTTTACTATTTTGATATCCATATTAATGCCTAAAAACTCTTCACACAAGGATGTATTACCTCTCGGATACTTTAAAATCACATTCTCTCATTGTTCAGGTACTAGTGAGAAATCTGCAGTTTGAGGATGGAAAAATGATCCCTGCATCCAAATACTTCTCTGCCGATGAAACAACTGCCCTGGAACTTACAGAAGAGGAGAAGAAGATGGCAGAAGATATTAGGGTAATTCAGTAAACCTCTTTAGTAGGGTATTACTTCAGACAAAAACATTACATACTTCTCATTGTATGCAAGGCATATCTTTTATTTAGACATGCAAATTGTTTTTTGATAGAATGTACTCAAAGAGTATGGGGTTGAATCTTTAGTTATTGACATTAATTCAGGTGGAATTGGGAATTCATCAGACTACTTACATATCACTTTAGAAAGTTTTCTTCCAGATACAGGTGATACAAGGACAGTGATTTCAGGTTCTGTTGTGGTAAATAGCTAAGAATGATGAAAGTGGGAGTGAGGAAAAACAAATGGACTGTCACAACAGTGAGGTTTTCAGCACTTTGACAGACATGGACAGTTCTGAAATCCTTTCTTTGCTGTGGTGTTACTCACTGGGATGTGCTCAAGCTCCAGAGAGTCTTAGAACAGCAGCCTGAAAGAGGAAAAAAGCAGCAGTTTTCTCACTTGTACCTGTGTGCACTGTCTCTCTTCTGGCACAACCACAACAACCACACACTGGGGGCAGGTGGGCAGAGGGATGCAGCAGTGGGGCAGCTCGAGCAGCAAACTCTCAGAGCCAGAGAGGCTCTTTGCTGCCCTCTCATGTAATCCATCCCTCTGTAGTGTGTCAGGGAATTAACTGAAAGCCATATTTGTTACTGAAGTTTTGTGCCAGAGCAAGTGAATCACAGGAGCCTTCCCTTCTGCTAACTCTGCTACAGGGTCAGTAACTTCTGGCACAGGTCAGGCATCTTGATACGCTAATATTTTAAAGTGCTGTTTTCAGATTACCTTGAACCTGCTTGCCAGCAATTTAAAAGCTGCCTGGAGCTATTGACTGACTGAGACAGTAGCAAAAATAAATATAAACCCTTCAGTTCATGACACTACCAGCTAACTGTGAAACCTAATTATAATTAATTGAAATATTATGTTACCAGTTATTTCACTATTCATGTTAGTGGAAACCTCCATCTCATGCATGCAGCTTAAACTACTTCTCAGCTCTACCCAGGTGCCAGAAATGCCATCAATCCAGTCACAGAGTGCCCCAGGCTGTCCTTGTCTCTGCTGAGAATGTATTCCATAATGCAATGGGAAATTATTATTTGGAGGATTAAAGATCTTTGAAAAATGGGCCTGAAAAATTATTAGCATTGTACCATTAAGGTTTCTTGCCTGATTAGGTGAAATTATCATGGGCTGAAATAATATTTTTTTGATTATCTAGTTATGCTGAAGAATTTATGGGCTAACATCAGGTCACTAAACAGTTTGAGACCCTCTGAGAATAATTTTCTGTTCTAGAATCCTTTGAAATAATACATGTTGTAGGCACAGGTATCATAGAAAATGTGGTTTGAAAAATGCTTCTTGCAGTTAGAGGATTATTATTTATAACCTCTGTTATTTTTATGTATTATTAGGCTATTTGGAAGGGAATTTTGAGCAATGTTGCTGTAATCGAGGATTCCACAGACTTCTTCAAATCCGGAGCATCCTCTATGCATGTTGTCAGGTAAAAAAAAGTCCAAAATAACAACATTTTGAAGCCAAAGTTAATGGAAACAAAGTTGTCATGGTTCCTTTATATCAGGTTTGATCAAATAGTGTTAAAAAAAAAATCCCCTCTACTTTCCAATACTCTGTTGCCTTTCCTACCTTCGAAAATGTGGTATGGTTCTGCTCCCCAAATTAGGAGATATTGATGTAATCCTACTGTTTCTATTGAAGGAAAATTCCCCTTAACTTAAGGAACACCGGCCACATGGCGGAGCGTGGTAATGCTCAAACTTGTCCGCGTGCAGCGACAGGTACCCTGAGACCAGGGCCCTGGCTGGGAAGCTGAGCAAAGAAATCCCCAGAGGGAAAGAGGAGCCCTTCACAGAAAGAATTGAGCCTGTGCTTACAAGTGTGCTGAGTTCATGGTGTGTTGGGTCACCTCAGTTACCTTCTCTTTTGCAACTCAGATATCCCAGGCCATAATATAAGACCAGCATTTCAGGTGTTGCTTTGTTTTGTTTTGTTTTGTTTTTTTAACAAACTGGTTACTGTCCTTATTACTTACCAGTCTCATAGAGCTCTGAATGTCCTCCATGTATTGGTTAGGGTAGTCCCATATGCTGTTTAATCAATCAATATATGCTATTTGTCATGTATTTACAAAAGTTTGCCTAAAAGTATTCCAGAACTGACATTTTCATTTCCATAACACTTCCAATTAGATCAACAGATTTCAGTAAAATGCGCAACTTCTGTGCCATTGTTGTCAGAGAAACACACACACACATTCACATGAATACAAACCGGTGCCCAGTTTTGACCCCTTTCAACCTTCTAATGATTCATTTATCTGAATAACCCTTTCATTTGTAATTCAACGTATTATTTCTTCAAAATCTTTAGAATGATAGAAGAGATCAAACAGAAATATGGTGGACTTCAACTACAGAATGAAGATGTGTACATGGCCACTAAGTTTGCAGATTTTATTCAAATGGCTGTCAGAAAATTCAGAGGAGAAGACAAGGAAGAAGAGTTAGTAATTGATTATGTAAGACCTTTTATTTTGCCTTTATTGTTTATTTGTTCTTGGGTTTTGGGGGAGGGTAGACAATGCATTTTCTTAGACTGCTTGATGCAGTAGGGAAAGCAAACAAATATTTGGTCACACAAAACTCTTCTTTGTGGCTTATTTTTGCAGCTTTTATATATTTCCATTTTGGAATGGAAGTATATATGTAATGTCACAGTGTACCAGAAACCAGGAGATCAAGAACATGCGGTAGAGTAGATCACACATGGGTAGATACTCCTATCTCCTTTGTGCTCTCCTGCCAGTATGCTTCAGTCAAAATGGTTCTAGAGCTTCTGCTTTCCTGAGGCAAACAGTGCTAGATTTTTTTTCCTAAGAGTCTGTTTGAAAACTTTGTGTGAAAGGAGGATTGCACGTTTTTTAAATCATTAAGCAAGTCGTGATTTTTGGAGTTTGGGAATTATGCATTTGATTGAAGTCCACTAGGGCCAGCCTTAACCGGGGTTTAGTATCGGTTTGAACATAGAGATCCAATTCTAAAAAATACAGAAATCTGCTTAACTATCTCAGAGTGTGATCACTGGTGTTCATGGAGAATATGATTTCCATTTTATTTTACTCTTTTGTCCAATTCTAACAGTCATATACACATTGTAAAATGTGGCTGGATGTTGGCTGTGGATAGCAGAAGCTTGTTAAGCTTCATTAAAATCTTAGTTATCAAAAGTTTAAATTAATTTGCTGTTTATTTCACTCCTAGATTTCAAAAAACGTGAACAACATGACTGTGAATATGCCATACCAGTGTTTCATAAATGGGCAATTTATAAATGCTGATGATGGAAAAACATATGACACTGTAAATCCAGCAGATGCATCAGTGAGTAATTTCTAAATGTGATCAATACTAGTTTATTTCAATTTCTTTTCCCATTAAAAAATCTAAAACTCTAGGTGAATATTGCCAATTTCAAAATGATACAGTACACATGAAACATCCCCTAGAAATAATTTGAAATTCTGACTTACTTCTCAGTTTGTGTATTTTACAGTTTTTGCATTTTAGTCAAGCTGCATAGTAAAAAAAACTTACTTCTACTTCAACTATTATGTCGATTACCATATCCACCCATATACTCTACCCTGATTTCATTCTTGTTTAGTTTTGCAAACAAAAATTGCTATAGTTTAATTGCTAAAAAAATATTTATTTTAGGATATTGTATATATTTCCACCCGTTCCAACTGCTGGGATTGAGGATATTAAGTATTTGCTTATACCCAGTCAAGAAGTTTAGGAGAAAGGAGTAACACTCTGCATGCTGGCAGTTTGGTTTGAGCTAACGCAATGCTACCTTTGGGCAGGTAATAGCCAGTGTTTCTTCTGCTTCACTGGCTGATGTTGACAAGGCAGTGGCAGCAGCAAAGGAGGCATTTGAAAATGGTGAATGGGGAAGAATGAATGCGAGGGAAAGAGGGCGACTCATGTACAGGTATGTGAAAGGCAGCTTGTGTTTGCTTTGTTTTCTTAAATCTTATTGCCTTGTTCCTCTGAAGAATTGTTGCATACATTTTTCTGAGCATAATGGATATTCGTAATCCCACTGTCGGAGGAACCAGACTAGCCATTTTTTCATCTCATAATTTATTTCAGTGTACTGGCCTTGGGTTTTAGCTGGCTAACATTTCTTGTGACAGAGAAAAATCTTGTGACCTCTCACTGCTACCATTTTTTTAAAAATTATTTATGAATGGAAACAAAGAATTTGAGGAAAACATTACTTAAATACTTGATGGTTTCTTTTAATCTGTATGCCTACTGCAAGGCTTGAAAATTTCCTAGTAAAGTCCAAATCCTTCTGTATAAATAAGGATAAGTTTTACAGGCGGAGCCTACCTAGGTTAGGTAGGCAGACACTTTTGACCTTGCTAAGCCTGCCTGCATCTGCACTCCATATGGTAAACATAGACCCACATTGCCACTAATTTTGAAATACACTGTAACTGATGCTAGATTTTCCAGGATCATATCCCAGCATACTTCTCACCTGGCTGAAGACCCCTTCTAGGAGATGTGATGTGGTCTGTTGTAGAAGAAATGTTCCGTGTAGAACCACTCTAAGCTGAATCCCACATTTATCTGAGACACTTCCAGATCAGTATTTCTTATTTGTACTTGTTTCACTGTGCCAGCCCTAGATAATGCCTGGTTCTTTTTTTTTGGCTGTGTTGTTACTGTTTCAGAAGATAAACACAGGTTATGCAGAGTGAATGGTATTTTAGTGGTAGTTTCTGATCCTTGAAGGGCAAGAGGTGATCTTGGAAGGATGATGCTAGCTAGGTATTGTGAGGGCAGTACTGGAGGCAGCTAATAAAAGCCCAGTTACTATGGACTCTCCATATGCAGTGTGATGCTTTTGGTGCCTTGCAGCAAGCACAGGGAGAACACTCTCTTGCAGACTTGGGATGATTGGTAGCTCCAGAGCTTCCCTATAAAGAAAGCCTCCTTTGTGGAGGTTCATTAAGTGTTTTTGCTGCTTTTTCTCTTCCAAAACATAAAAATGAGTAAGTAGAGTAGAGACAAGTAAAGAAGCAGATTGTTACTCCTGATTGCCACAGGTCCACATTTAGCTAATGTGATGATGGAAAATCAATCATCAGCACAGAGGAGGAGATGTACTAGGCAAATTCTCTTCCTATGCAGTAGGTGGAGAGCTTAGTTACTGTGCTTGATGTGGCAACTGGCTTTAAAGAAGTTAGGATCTGGAACAGAGCTGAAACTTCCTGCCCCAAGGAACTCATGAAGGAGCACGTCCTGTGTATCAGACACCTTTCTTCTGCAAGGTGTAGTCTGCAGGCTCATCAACATTACCATTGGATGCCCTGGCCAAGTCAATCGTGCCTAGGAGACTGCATGTTTATCTACAGGGAAGAGAAGGAAGTTTTCTACCTTCAAAAAATACAGTCTTTAATAGAGTGCCCATAACCACTCCTATACTAAGCCTGTATTGTGCTGTGCCAGGAGGCTAGCCCTGGATACCAGAACAGACAGCAGAAGAAGGATCAGGTACACGGTGAGCAGCTGCAGGGTGGTGGCTGACTCTGTGTTTGGATGGCAAGACAGTCTGGCAGTTTGGTTGGGTGCAGGGGTGGGTCACTGCCCTTTTATTGTTACACACTTGTTTCTGCGTAACTTCTGTGAGGACTTGAAAACTAAAGAGCTGGCTGATTCAGAGGTTTGGAATATGCAACTAGAAGATGATACTGTCCTCATAAGGCTGGCCTTAGTCTAGCAAGACAGTAAGGAGTAGAGAATCCATTGCATGTCTGTGCTTGGGCAGCTGAGGAAGAGGAGCATGGGGAGATGTCGTGCTGCATTTGGGAAAGATGGGTCTGTGTCTGCTGTAGTGTGTGCAGCAGATCATTTGTTATCACATTAATATAGCTGTAATTTCTACTTTGTTGAATGCCTTGGATGTAAATTCCCTTCCCCTCTTTTACCATATCCACACAGACTAAGTAGATGTAATTAGAAATAAAAAAGTATTAAAAAATGCCACATGTTTTACAAGACATTGCAAACATCTTAACAAAAGAGAATGAAAGCAAAACTGAAAATTCTGCTTGTCTCATAAATTATGTGATCAGGTCTTTGAACAAGGCCTACAGGACTGTAAAAAAGTTGAGTAATCATCAGTACAGAAAACGGGTGAGTCATAACTCATATTAAAATTAAATACAATCAATCACTTAAATTTTTCAGAAGTGTGCACTGATTCAAAGCGTGTACAAACAGGTTTAATTTGTATTTGGAACAGAGAGTGCTTGAGAGCCCAAGTTAACTCTGCCCTAAAGATGAAACTTCTAAGGTTTTAGAATTACTGCTCTGTGTTTTACGCTTGAAATATTTGCAAGCTTAACTATGTTAGGCATATGGAAAATACAACTCCCCTACACTGCATGGATTACTCCTGGATTAAACTCTTCCCTGCTTAGGCTACTGGCTCTCTAGGATAGCTATACCAGAGTGTTCATGTTGCAAATCATCCCCCATATGAATGAAGTATCTTTGATCCACCTTAATTTGAACAAGGATCCTTTTTTTCCCGTCTCTGTTCAAACTAGAGTTTTTGAGTGCTGAACCAGAATGAAGGTTTGTACTATTAAAGCCCCTAGCTCTGCTGCTTTGTCTTAAGGAATCATTAATAGAACATATTAGGCATGCATTAAATGTAACTTTCTCCTTTGTCCCTGACATGCTGTATCTGTTATTTTACACAGTACTGCTGATGCCCTGACCTGTAGCTGGGTCTCCAAGATACAGCTAAAACAAGTATTAAAGAGCATTTTTCCACATCTCTGCAAATGCTTTAAATGGGAAGAATTTACATAGTGGAAAAATAGGTTTCACACCCAGTTTTGAATACTCTTTACAGAGTGTAAAATGCACTTGGTTAAGCTCTTAAAATCACATGGGAGCATTGATTATAAGTCTGAGTACCAACACACGGACAGAAGCTTAGAAAAAACAGTGCTGCATCTGTTTCACTGTCATGTGAGAGATCTAAGACCTGAATGTAAAAATTCAGTAATGCAAACAGACCTTTCTGCCTGAGCAGGGGACCACTAAAATCACAAGTCTCCTCATAATAAATATAGGTATCGGTCTGTGCAGATGCATTTTTGAGATGCTCTGAGAGCGACTATTAACTCAAAAATACTTACCACACTCTTACCTACACCTCACTGCGTTGCTTCATAAATCTAACAGATGGAGAACTTGAGGCCCAAGGAGACTGTGGTCCAGATTTTTGCCAAGGTATATACAATTCAATTTGCATTACGGGTTTAGAGCTCTGTCTTTGGAGATCTGGGTGCCTTTGAAGCATCTAACACTTAAGTATTTTAGTTGAAGTTCAGACAATACAAAACAACATTAAGAAGCTAGGTTTTCCAAATCTTAAGCTAGGATTCTGAGTACTCCTTGATACTTTTGATTACCCGACATTTCTTATGTTACTGTGTATTTGCTTTCGACTCACTCCTCTGGTTTTCTATAATGGTCTCCTTGTAGTACAACAGAAGAAGAGTACAAATTTTCTAATTTTTTTTTTTTATTTACAAAACCATAGTTGAACAATCACGTAAGTTTTCACTGTTCATGTCTTCATCCAGTGTCTGCGACAGCCAATGTGAAGACGTTTGCAGACTTTAACAGGCAGTTGTTCAAGCTCTTACTGATATTAATGAGCAGTGGCTCCAGTGGTCCACCTCTAAATTCAGTGGGAATGCAATTTTAATTATGGTTCTTTGCCATACCAAATATCATTTTAGGCTGTCAGAGGTTAGATGTCACTTTTATTTGATGTGGATTTGTAACGTTTTTATTGAAGACTTGCAGACCTGATGGAAGAACATCAAAAAGAGTTAGCAACAATAGAGTCTATTGACTCAGGAGCTGTCTACACTTTAGCTTTGAAGACCCATGTTGGAATGTCTGTGCAAACATTCAGATACTTCGCTGGATGGTGTGACAAAATTCAGGCAAGTGAATACATAAAGGAAATAATCAATGGAAGTGCTTCTCTACTGTACACTATTTTTTTTTTCCTGACAGTGCCAAAAAGCTGTGTTAGCAAAGGTAATCGAGGAATCAAAAAATAAAGCAAAATTAGGATTTTATCTAAAATGTGTCTCCCTGGCAATACAAAAGGACAGTCTGCTTCCGACTGGGGAATATGGGTTTGGAATATGACTCTAAATATCTAAGAAATCAGTTGAGGTGTCGCAGTGTATCTGCATGCTTAGTCAGCTCTTGATTATTCATGGAGCAGAATGTTGTTGTGGTCATGATGCAAGTAAGTGCAGATACTCATGTGCTGTGTTACATTCTGACCAAGGCTGGTGAGTTTGCTTGATGACACAGCACGTGCCACAGGTTCAACAGCATTTCCTCAAATATCCGTAAGTCCCACAATCAAGAAAACTATTCACTTTTTTTTTTTTTGTCCATCAGACCCTCACTTATGTTCTTGCATACTTTTGTTATCTATGCTTTTATTTCATCCAACTGAAAATCAGGAGTTGACTACAGTATCCAAAGTAGGAAATCATACAGTAGAAGTATCTTTGCCCCTTTCTCTGGTGCAAAAATGTTTCTGGTTTTGAAGCCTACTCTGTGGCTTTCCAAAACATCCTTAAATGGCAAATATACTTGTAATAAAAATGAAGAACAATACCAAGATTTGTCCCTCCTCTATCTTTCAGGGTGCTACAATTCCAATTAACCAGGCCCGGCCAAACCATAATCTTACATTCACCAAGAAGGAGCCAATAGGGTAAGCATCGCATTTTTCTTCTTAGTGACACCCTTGACATACAGAAAAGCCATTCAAAAGCTGTCATTAAAAATTTTAATCTTCCCCTATTTTTCCCTACCTTAAGTGTCTGCGCAATTGTTATCCCCTGGAACTACCCACTGATGATGCTTGCATGGAAGAGTGCAGCATGCTTGGCTGCAGGCAACACACTTGTACTCAAGCCAGCTCAGGTAAAAACAAAAAGAAATGTACAGGTGGCTCAGGCCTTCCACTATTTCTTCAGGCAAAATAATTCAGGTAATCTGGTGGATTACACCCACAGGTTGACTGGTCATATGTACCCATAGGTTGACTATGTCATATGTTTTAAAGTACATGTATAATAATACAAATTGCCATGATACAGGGCACTGATTGTCTTCAATTCTGCTCTGATATGATTCTCATTTTCAAGAATGAAATCTTTTCTGCAAGAAGCCATCGCTTGTAATTTGTCAGTACTGTGGGAAGATTGATACTGTATCAAAATCAAGATGTATTGAATGTCAAAGATATGATCACACATTTAATTTAAATAGAAGGCCTAATCTAAATGTTTCTACTTAGGTCACACCTCTGACTTCCTTGAAGTTTGCTGAACTCTCAGCTAAAGCTGGATTTCCTAAGGGTGTTATAAATATTCTGCCTGGTTCAGGTAAAACTTCTACTAATCATCTTTCTGGGAAGAGTAGGTCATGTTAAAACTGGTGAACCAGCATTTTACCATTTGAAGACCTGTTACATAAGTGCATGTATCTTCACGGGTAGTAGGGTTGCATCTATGTCATACAGTGATTTCAAGTAACTCCAGAACAGAATTGGAAAAATCTGTGTGTCACCTGGCTCTAGCTAGTGGTGAGAGCTGTCAGTGTACACCCTTTACAAGATCGCACCAATAGCATGAACACTTTGCAAAAGAATGTATTCGAGAGAAACGTGTTTCACTTGATTGTAAAACTTCACTTTTTCTCCTAATCTTATCATCACTTGGAAGTATATAAATGTGATTCTGAGACCTAGAGCAAGCTGGTAAGATGTCTGTTGGTCAGTATAGGCAAGTCATAGTCTATACCATGTTACCTGATGTCACCATCTTCCTCTTTCCCCAGAGGAAGAAAAATGACAAAGTAAGTGTATGGGATAGGCGCTGTTTACAAACTAGATTATTCCATTGACAGTGGAATATTAGGAAGGAAGTTCTTTAGTACAGATAGATGGGGGGAATTTGGAGACACTAATGTGATCCAAGTTAACTAATGTGAGATTTTTCGTAGTCATATGAATAAAGCTGTAAATATAAATAAGGAAGTGATACTGTACTCAACTGACATATTGTTAGCGCTTTCTGTGTTACAGTGCTGCTGCTGGAGTAGGAAAAATTGCCTAGGTACTATCCAGTTAAGCTGTTTTCCTCACCCTGATAGGTGGCTTAGTGGGACAGCACCTGTCTGAACATCCAGATGTTCGCAAAGTTGGATTCACTGGTTCAACACCAACTGGTAAACAGATCATGAAGAGGTACTCTCAGCAAAAGATTCATAAATAAACACTGCTTAATCTAGTTCTGAAGTATCATATTAGCTATATTGCGCATTTAGCAATAATAGAAAAGCATAACTACATATGGTTGTCTACATTTATGTAGAAGTCTACTAAACCACTCTTGGAAAATAAAAGTTTATATATTTTAACTAGATATAATTCAAAGGAAATAGTGAAACTATTTAAAAGTTGTTTCTATATGATTATTTATGTTTTTTACAGTGCAGCCAGTAATCTGAAGAAAGTTTCTCTTGAACTTGGTGGTAAATCACCATTGATCATATTCAGTGACTGTGAACTTGACAGAGCTGTAAAAATGGTAAGGTTATTTCGAAGTAAAATATATTCAAATCCTTTGTGATACATCCTCATGGTATTGCAATATTCTTCTTGACTTGCCAAAAACTGCAGTACGGAGCCCTTGCATGAAAAATCATGCAATCTGTTAGAAGACAGACTCTTTTTCTACAGGTTGCTACTTTATGCCAGCACAATTAAACTATTCACGCTGCACCAAAAAGGCAGGGATCAGTACTATGAGAAAGATACATCAGAAAATAAAACAAAACAAAGAAATATAGCTGGGAAGTATTTTCACTAGTCAAATTAACGCATTAAAAATAATTTTTCAAAATCTGATACTAAAAAAAAAAAAGTGCTTAAAAAATTAAAGCCCAAAAGTGAGTTAAAATACGCATTGAGTTCCCTATTGCCATATAGTTCTTCACAATTGACCATCAATCATCGTAATCCATCTTGCCAACCAGCCATAATGTGTTTAAATTTCATAAATAAGATGTGCAAACGAGAAATGCAGTAGATTTTGGGAGCTTATTTCCTGCTCGGGTAATCTGATTCATCAAAATGACAGCAGATGCAGTTTGCTCACTAGGAAGCAAACAAAGGTCTTCCACACTGGATTCACCCAAAGTGCTACTTCTGTGAATTCGCTAAGCCAGCCTAAGCAGATACTGCTACCAGGAAGAAACTATTATACACTTCCCCATTTTTGGTGTGTCTTTTGGCAGGACAAGAGTCTGAGTGACTGCACAGTGAACTATATGTGGAAAATGGTAAAAGCTGAAACTTCACAGTCAGAGCACTCCTTGGCCCCACCACTTCTCAGCTGTAGACATTGGAGGGTGACACAGAGGTTGGCCTGAGCTACACCTGGCATTGATGGCTTTAAATGATTGTGAACCAGTGCTTTTTTTGCCACACACTCAACACTAGCATGTGATCCCAGTCATACCTACTGATGCCAGGACCCTAGGCCTTTGCAGCTGCCAGAAAACTACTTTTTAGGACTTTTACTTGTCCTGCTCTTCCTTCCCCCACCTCCCTACCCCCTGGAAAAACAAAAGCAGGTGTCAGTTCTCGGTAAATAAAAAGGAACAAACTGCATGGAGTCCTGAAATAAGAGGTTCTCTGCAGATTAGTGTTAGGTCATTTTCATCCAGTTACATGCAACCTTCAACACAAGCAGTATTCCTCAATGGATTAGCACAGTTTTATAATCACTGGTTGTGCTGCCAGCCCTCATCCCTGTGATGCTGAGGCGGGTGTTTCTGTGGGACGCTGATGGAAATGGAAAGAGCAGTTCATCCTGACCCATTTGTCTCCGTGGATGTGTGTTTGCCAGTTGCAAGATTAGTCTGCTTGTTGCAACGATGATGTCCCTTTACACAAAGCATTACGCTCTGAGGGTCACAAACACAATGCAGCCCAAGGGAACAGAATGAAAGGGAGACTGAACAAAAGGGTGCATATGAATATTAATACTTTTTTCCCTGTTCAGGGTATGGGAGCAGTATATTTCAACAAAGGAGAAAACTGCATTGCAGCTGGCAGGCTGTTTGTGGAAGAATCAATCCATGATGAATTTGTTAGAAGAGTGGTAAGATATTCAGGGACTAAAGTTTAAGCAGATACTTTACCATGGTACAAAGGGCCACCAGTTTTATAGACAGTTGCATTTCTTCTTTTTTTCACTTGTTTAGTTTCTCATTATTGCTTACAATAGGCAATGCTGCTTGTTGGGAACCTCTTACAGAGTTAAAAGGAAAGTACTGAAGGGAGATATTTTCATCAGTAATGCACAGAGAAATGACACTGAAACAGATATTGTACCTTCGGTGATAATTCATATTTGATTAGGAAAGTAAGATTAAAAAAATTATTGGACTTAGGTCAATGTGATTGAAGGCTTCTATGAAGTTTTAAAAAAGGCATATTGGAAGCGTAGCTAGAATAATACAAAGGTCATTATTAAAAATCCAATAGTCACCACACTGTACTACTTGAGAATTCATTTATTGAGATCAAGAACAGGAAAGCACTGTCATAACTCATTTACCACTGGTAAAAGCTAACGTTTTACATGCCTGTCTTAGTAGCAGAAGAGAATGAATACATGAAAACAGCATTAAAACTTTCAGAAGTAAACAGATTATCAAACATAAGACAAAATCTCATTTTAGAAAGGGAGGAGCATTCTGTCTTCTAAGAATCCAGCCCTTTCTTAGAGCCTAACTTCATAGCACAAAATATTAAGCATTCTGAATCACTGGTTGCTTTAACAACTATTTGCTACATTATGTAATTTCATTTTAATTGGGTAACCCATAGGTGGAAGAAATAAAAAAGATGAAAATTGGTGACCCACTTGATAGATCTACAGACCATGGTCCGCAAAATCACAAGGCACATTTGGAAAAGCTGCTGCAATATTGTGAAATTGGTGTAAAAGAAGGAGCCACTCTAGTGTATGGAGGAAGACAAGTATGTAGACCAGGTAAAATACTGCTCAGAGGTGTTTGGAATTTTTACACTTTAAACAAATGCCATCATGATTGTCTCTGCTGCATTATGTGAAGTAGTAATATCACGGGAACAGTAACAGGTAAGCCCAAGATACCTCTCGAGGCCTTCAAGTCTCTTATTAAGAGAAACTGTGCAACTAAACCATAATATATGAAAATGAATCAGAATCTAGTCTGTATGGGAAGCATTTGCTCATTTATTCCTGTTGTTTGTGAGGAATTAATGCTTTTTTTTTTTTTTTTTTTTTGGCAACACCCTTGAACTGTCAAGAGCCATAAGTATAATTGTATCTCTTTAGATCACAGTAACACTAAAGCCAACTGAGGAAACGACTAGCGGAGTCCGCATAAGGTGTTACTATCAAAAGCCTTCTTTGCTATATAAACAATATGTGTGCTAAGTTTAGTGGGTAGGCATGAAAGCAACATTTCCTCATGGACATCTGTCCTTTATCAATAATGGAGAAACATTTGCATCAGAGTTTCAAAATGTAATTATTGCATCCCTAAATAAAATGAAAGTGGAGATTCATAACTATATGAAACTGGCATAACAAAATTAAATGGGAAATCTTATGGAAGGGTGGCACATTCATTGAAAATCTCTAAAATTAATTTTACCCACTCAAACTGGAATACACTCACCAAGGTGTAGGTGACCGGGATCACTTGCATGTAACACCAGGACAGTTCTTGATTGGCAATGATGAGCTGGCTTTTGGACAGGTGTTTACACCTTTCAGAAATGAACAATCGTTATGAGGTGGTCCTTTGCCACAGAATTTTCTTTACGTCAGCATCCGTAAGTCTTAGGCAAAGTTGCTGCCCCTTGCAGTTTTTTTCCTCATTTAGAATATACAGATCTTTATGGCTACAGTCTCTTCTTGTCGGGTAACAAGAAAAACTGGCCTCTGTGACATGCTGTAACCTTGTCTTTCTGCTGTTAGAGTGCAGGGTCTTCCCTGAGAAGTCACCTGGGCTGTGGCATGCAGACCTGCTGGCGAACAGGCAGCACATGTTCTGATCAACACAGGCCATTCTTTTAACCTTTTTTCTGCTCTTTCTCAGGTGCTTACACACATGCATCTCTATTCATACTTCATTCACATAAATCTTGATATTTTCTGTTTCAAATCTCAATGTATCTATGACCTCAAAGTATGGAAAAGAGATGGCCTGGACAATACAAACCGTGAAGCATTTCTGCAACGCTTAAATGATGCTCTATCCTCTGTTTAGGTTTCTTCATGGAACCCACTGTTTTCACAGATGTTGAAGACCATATGTATATTGCCCAGGAAGAGTCCTTTGGTCCTGTGATGGTGATTTCTAAATTTAAAAATGGGTATGTTCTCCTCTGGTTACTGTTAGAAACTTTCTCATTTTCACTCTAAGTGTAGAAATTATAGCATACGTAGTAAGATTTTGTTAAATCTTGTAAGACCAGTCTGAATCCCTAGATCCTCTTCCAGCTAAATTCTGAGAAAATATGCTTTTTAGTAAGGGGTATCCTGCTCCGTGTTGATATAGAACTAATAGTATTAGTAGTGTGTGGCAGGATAGAATGCAACCGTAAGTGACAGTTCTTAAATAAGACTTAGTATTCAGTGAAATGTTTTTACTGAAGTTGCTGTGGTAATTGCAACAGCTTGATCAAGTTACAAAACATGTATTTTCCCAGTGGAATCGCTTATTTTATTCTGTCACAGAAGACTGCGTAGCATTGTTGTGAGTTGTGTAACATTGACACATTACTGTTGCAAGTGAAAATCCATCTGTATATTTTGTAGACTGCCAGTTTTAATAGCTTTCATTCCAAATCGTAAGAATTATTTTACACACAGATGGTTGAGATTAAAACCCTTTGTAGAAATTTTATATAACAATTTCCACCAGGTTTCATTTTCTGCAGTTTGATAATGCAGTTAAGAACCAGCCACATAGATAGCTGTTCACATCTATAAATTATGTGTGGTGATAATGGACTGTATTGACTTTTAAAAAGTTTTAAATTATTATGGATTTTTGAATCTATATGGAGATGAGATGCAAATAGAAAATAGCACTTGACATGGCTTGAAAAGTTGTGTCTTGATAGAAGTCTGAATTTCAGCATTTATTCTCCATTAACTTGTAAAGCAGGTCAAAATTTTAGCAAACTGATTCATAATCTGCTGCCAAGATCTGCTTTACAAGTGTTTTTTGTATTGCTCTAATCCCCACATGTACTGTAACTTAGCAAAGTTGGTATGCCTACTGCAATTTTGACATTTCTTTGTGGAGATCTTGACCGTTGAAATGTAAGGTTACAAGCTTTACAAGTTTGAAGCAAGAGTATGGATTTCCATAGATCTGTCAGATTGACGCTCAGATTAGGCCTTAAAAGCTAACTGGAGAAGAAAGAGCATGGGAAAAGGTGCTTGAAAAAACATTGCAGGTGGAAGGTAGCTAACACTTGTTTAGTTTACTTAGTTGCAGTAGAATAATTTCTTTCCCCTGTAGGGATGTTGATGGAGTGCTGCGCCGAGCAAATACTACAGAATACGGCTTGGCTTCAGGAGTTTTCACAAAAGACATAAACAAAGCCCTCTACATCAGTGAAAAGCTAGAAGCTGGAACAGTTTTTATTAACACATATAACAAAACTGATGTGGCAGCACCATTTGGTGGATTTAAGCAGTCTGGCTTTGGAAAAGATTTAGGTAAGTTTTTCTCTCCCTCCCTCATTTCTCATCTGACAGTCCAAATCGATGAAAAACCAACCCTACCTGTGTGCAGTTTATCTAATAAAACATGATCTACAGATGCATTCCCTGCATAGGATCACAGACTGGTTTGGGTTGGAAGGGACCTTAAAGATCATCTAGTTCCAACCCCCCTGCCCCGGGCAGGGCCCCCTTCCCCCAGCCCAGGGGGCTCCCAGCCCCGTCCAACCTGGCCTTGAACCCTTCCAGGGAGGGGGCAGCCACAGCTGCTCTGGGCACCCTGGGCCAGCGCCTCACCCCCCGCACAGGGAAGAATTCCTTCCTTACATAATCCAAATCTACCCTCTTTCGGTTTAAAACCACTACCCCTTGTCCTACCACTACACTCCCTGATAGAGTCCCTCCCGAGCTTTCCTGTAGGCCCCCTTTAAGAAAGTACTAGAAGGCCACTGTAAGGTCTCCCCGGAGCCTTCCCTTCTCCAGGCTGAACCCCCCCAACTCTCTCAGCCTGGTCTCTCACAGGGGAGCTGCTCCAGCCCCCGAGCATCTTCATGGCCTCCTCTGGATACACTCAAGCAGGTCCATGTCCTTCTTACATTGGGCAGCCCAGAGCTGGGCCCAGCACTGAGCGTGGGGCCTCACACGAGCGGAGCAGAGGGGGAGAATCCCCTCCCTCAACCTGCTGGCCACACTTCTCTCCAGCCCAGGACACGGGTGGTTTCTGGGCTGCGAGCGTACGTGGCTGACCCACGGTCAGTTTTCCACCCACCAACATCCCCACGTCCCCCTCTGCAGGGCTGCTCTCATCCACTCGTCCCCCAGCCTGGGTTTGTGCTTGGGATTGCCCTGACCCATGTGCAGGACCCTGCACTGGGCCTCACTGAACTTCATGGGGTTTGTACGGGCCCACCTCTCCAGCCCATCAAGGTCTCTTTGGAAGGCACCCCTTCCCTCCAGCGTGCCAGCCACAGCACACAGCATCTCCTACATTCCTCCAATTACAGCAGTCTAGTTCCTCTCCCATCCCTACATTACTCCTGTCTCAATAACTCCAATTCATCACTTCCTGTATATTTGCTAAATAGTGCTACAGAATATGTGTGCTGTAGCAGTGTCTCCAACTCCTCTCAGACCAGGCAAATTACAGCTTGTCCAGAGCTGTCCAGGCTACAAAATGCTGTCAAGCAGCAAAGGTACTGGCCAAAATCTTCTTTCCCTCACAAAGAACGCTAATTTAGGTTTCTCCTCTAAACTTGTAAGGGCATGGGAAACCTTTTTTTTGCCTTAAAATGTCATCAAAATTTGCTGACAGCCACAGAGAAAGAGGCATTAAAAAAATGTTTTCTTTTCAAAACCAGTTTTTTAAAAAAATGTTTAGTTTGTCAAAGAAACTTTACACGTCTGGACAGATCAAGCCTCGTGGCAAAGAAAAATGAAAGAACGAACATTTTCAGTGACACAACAGATCTTTGCCTTTGGAATCTCTAGCAAGCATCAGACATTTCCTGAAACTAAAATGAGTAAAAGTATCAGGAAAAAAAGATTACCGATTTTTACACAGCTTCTTTACCAAGGAACTTTAACAGGGGCAAACCAAAGCTCCTCAATTCAACTATGAGCCCCCCGTGGCCATCTAAAGACCGTCACTGCTTCAGTCCCACCCAGGTGGCTGCTTGTTAGATTCCAGCTCCTTTTTCTTTCCACATCTGTCGGGTTTGGCCTCTTCTAGTAAAACTTGTCCTGTAAATCTCAGCGGGAGGGTAAGTTAATTAGTTTCCATTGTTCCTTAAGGACTCAAATATTGGCTAAAGCATTTTATATTTTTTCTTAATAATACAGTTAGTCTCTGACAACATTCTTTCATTTAGCTGATCTTCTAACTGCTGCATATCGTGCTTGTACAGGTGAAGAAGCTCTTCATGAATATCTCAGAACTAAGACTATCACTGTGGAATATTAAAGTAACAGCTTCACTTGGAAAGTAAAGTTTTGGCGGAGTTTGAATCTTAATGACTCCATGAAGCACCTCATGCCCAGGATATGCTGTCTGCTATGCTACAAGCAAAACAAACAAACAAAACAAACAAACAAAAAAAAAAGGGAAACAAAACACCCATTCCATGGATAAGTTTCTACAAATCAGGTCTAAATTTTAGTCTGACAGATATAAGCTTTTGGAAATTAACCTGTTATTTAAATTATGCAGCAGCAGCAGTTGTTAGCACAATTTCCACCCCCCCCAACATGATTTCATTTATTTTTTAAAATACAGCTGAAAAGAGTTCTTGAATGCCTACTTATTTGTGTGAAAATAATATTTACACAATCATTTAAAATCCTTTGTTATTAGGCTTCTCTTCAAGTTGAGCTAAAATACACTGATTATGCCATTAGTGATATAAGCCAGAGTTCGAGTTTTACAGTAGCAATTGAGCATTCTGCTCTGGTGATTCTTCAGCAGTACAGAAAACCTTTGTGCCATAAGAAGTAAATCAATGCAAGAAAGTGCACTTACTATGATCTTTGTATAGTATATACAGAGTTCAACATTGGTGTTAAACTATGCATATCAAGCTAAAGTTTCTGAAAATGTTTTCTATCTTTTTGTTGTTATGGAATGTGTGATCTGCCTGGAATTTGAAAGGTGGCTACATTAACAGATTAAAATCACTTTTTGTGTCTGTGCACATGGACTGTTACCACTGTTTTATACAGCATGATTGTTATTTTGTATTTCTACTTACTTTTTTTTTTATTAATCTACAGGAAAATACCTTGTAACATGTCTGAATTAAGATGTTGGCTTTCAAACTTTATTGCCTGTGAAGGAAATTTTCCATAGATCAAGACCATTTCTAAAAAACTAAACTTACTAAAACCACTTGCTCTTCTTAGAGCACAATTCCACCCAATGCTTAATCTGATCTGTGAGCTGCCATTAAAAGTATCAGTCCCATTCTTTGATTCCCATCCTTCCCCTTCACTAAAATATTTTGTGGTTTAATCAGTTAACAGTAGTAAATCATGACCTCGTTCATTGTGAAAGAAAGACCAGAATCCTTGTTATTTCTTATCACAAATATTACAGATATTAAAACTGTAAGTATGGGATTCAAAAGAAATTCTGTAAATAATTGTAGGTTTCAAGTCACGACATTAAGTTTAATGTCTAAGAAATACAATATAGAAAAACTTTAATGGTGTAGAAAATACAAAGTTCCTTTAAGAAACAAACAATAACATCCAGGAGCATGACAGATACTTCTGAAATGCAAACCCATCTATGAAGTAAATACAACAGATCACTGTATTTGATCAATCTGATGTAAGTATGAATAAATTATACTTTCACTGATTTTGGCTTCACAATTGTTTCAAGCTAAGCTAAGTTCAGGCCAGCTAAAAATTGACTTTTTATTCTGATGGCAGTGACAGTTGATAACAATGGGAAGGACAGAAATGTGGCAGGGAAAGTGGGAGATGAAGAGCATAGCTTAGAGTAACTGTAACACCAGAGAGGCAGACTCAGCTGTTTAAGTGCTGAGGGTATCTGCACTGCAGCCACAAACGTTCCAGATAAGAGCTAGGAAACTACCCATAAGGAGATGGAGCTCAGCGCAGGCATAGAGGGTAAGTAATCCTCTGCTGAACCCTCTCCTGAGGTATGGCTGTCCTTACCCATGCTAGCTCTCCTTGAAATGACCTTGGCCACTGCTTCAGTGTTCAACAGCTATTGTCATGAATGTAATGTAGACATACCTCTAGTGTACTTTAAGATAATGTTTAATATTGAAGACGTTGTACATAACACTTCACAGGACATGAAATATGAAAAACAAAGCTTTTTTCCTAGTTAACTCTATCCTGCCCTTGAAGCAAAAACTTCTTCTAGCACACTATAAAAATCTTTCTTCAACAAAGCAACAGAACAAGACTTTTAGCTAGTTCAAGTGCCCCAAATCCTAGTAGCTTTGTCTAACCTACTATGCAGTTCATTTCCATGCTGATCAGTGAATAAAACCATACTTAATTCTTCAGAAATCCAGCCTGTCTCAGTCATGAGTGGATCCTGAATTCTCCACCATGTAAACTATAGCATTTCTCATGATCCTGAGGGATGCTACATTAGGAAACAAGGTAGTTTTAAGGGCCAAGTCTTCAAAGAAATAAAACACAAGTTGGGTTTCTTATTGGGTTGTTTGGGTTTTTTTTTTGTTTGTTTTTTTTTTTTTTTTTTTTTTTCCAAGTAAAATAAAATGGATTTACTCATTCACTCTGCTGTCCAAAATTTCTATTTTGCCCTTTTCTCCCTCTTGTTTAGGAAACTTAATGTTGTCTATTGTCACTTCATCAGTTATACAGTCATCTTCAGATTCAGAGTCATCTTCTGAAGTTAGTATCTCTTCATCTGTATCAGAATCACTCAGTTCAACTACAGCCACATTCTGGAAAAAAAAGACCTTAGTTAACACATTATGCATTTCTATACCACTTCTATCATTTGAGCAAAACATGAAGCAAACACACAAACCAGCCTATTCCGTAAGAAAACCACAATTAGAAAGACTTTTGGGTTCTCCTAGGATGATGACAAATATCACGAGCAGATTTCTAAATATTTACATTATCATTTGTATTGCCCTGTAGCAAATAAAAGGCCATTTTTATATCATTACCAAGAGAGAAATGAGTTGATAGATGAACTCAGTCTAAATCAGATATTTAAACTGACAAGCAAAAGGCATCAAAACTAAATTTTAGTAAAGAATTCAAATTAAACCATTTAGTGTATGAGCGGTCATGACATATATACAAACGTGTGCATACATATTTATTAATAGTTTATATCTTATAACCTAGGAGTGTTCACGGCACAACTACTGCAAAACAGCAAGTAGTTTAAACCACCAGGAAATCTTTTGAAGTAAAAGTGATCGTTTATTTCCATATCCAGAACCATGATTTTTGAGGTCTGTTTATCTATCTGAAAATACCTGTCTTAAACTGATAATCTTCACTTCAAAAACTTCCTGTATACAGCAAAGCAAAACACAGGACTATGAAATGCAAATAAGTTTCTTCAGTGAATTCCAAATAGGATTAAGCTATTAATCACTAGGTCTCCTGGCTTTTTTATTATAAAGCCAAGACACTTGTCGGACACTGTCACATGAAAAATCTTTTAAAAATTCCATCCGAGCCACCCATTCCACTTCAGCATATTAAAGCAAACAATTTTCATGATCACCTTTGTTTTCTCACTATTTATTTGGAATTCTTCAGCATATACCAGCGCTGGACAACCTATTGCATGTGGGCTGGATACAATCTACAGGAACTCTGAATTCAGCCAGTGGACGATAAATTGCTCTGACAGCTCACACACCAAATCCCAGGCTGCCTTATTTCTGCCTTCTATCTCGCGCATCTACAGGCCAGAAGGCACTTGTCTGGCATATGCACATATCACATCACCTTCATATTAAAACTTTCTCACATGAGCATGTGGTTGCAGCACTTCGGTTAAAAACAGAAAGAAAATATTGATGTGAATGTGAATAAATAGAAAATACCAGACATAAAGGATCACAACAAAACTAACAACTTTTCTAAACTCCAGTCCTACAGCCAGTCCTAAAAATACCTACAAAGCACAGCTGAAAGCCAGTTACTGCACTTAAACTAAAGCCTTCTGTTATGCCTTACACTGTCCAGTTTCTAAACCAAATTACCCGTGAGACATTTACAATACAATTTCTGACTGACTTTTGATTCAGAGTGCTGATTCAAAAGTATGTCTTATTCTGACCTTAAACTACCTCCCCAGTCATTAAATTCTGCAGGTGTAAAAACCAAGTACCAAATTTTAACCAAATAAGCATTTTTATTACATCTGTTTTGAATTTGCAGACTGTGGACTAAAATTGTAAAGACTTAGCCTTATCTAGCTCATTCTAAGATCAGAGAATTATTTTAATCACATCTAAATTTACTTTGTAAAATAAAACAATATACTATTTACCATTTCTATAACTTTTTCTGTTGCAGTGTCTAGATTTTCAATATCAAACTGATGAGCTGGTGCTGTTACCATTTTTCTTTTTAGCTCATCATTTGCATGGGCCATCTGTGGTAAAAAGCTCTGTACTCGGTCCAAAACTGAAAAATAAATAATCACATGTATATATACAAACAGATACACATTAGTTTATACATTTATACCTCTGAAATCTGAGCATTTAAACAGATTCCATTTCAACTGTAGCTTCCAGGTAACATATTTAAGATGTTTTAGGAGGAAGATTTATTACAGTATTCAATTGCCCAAGACATAAACAGCAAAAAACTATCAAATCTATTGGTCAGCATGTGGCACAGGAAGAATTCACTTCAACAGTTCTATTATGATTCTTAAAACAAAATGTGACTATTTTACAAAAAACTTGCTTGCAAGTTCCATACATATTGAGTGTCGTCTTGAGAAACTTCCACATCCATATTATCTCCAATGGAAATATAATTATGCTCTCCTTTCTTTCCTATTTAAGTATAGACTGCAGGTCTCAAAGAAGATGGAAAAATTAGCTGTAGCAGAGATGCCACAGATGTCATGCTACACTAAAGAAAGTTCAACGTAATTATCAAAAGGGGCTCTGAAATTCGGGCGGTGGGAGAGAGATGGATGCTCTAGGCTTTAGTATAAAGCACTTAATCCTCTACAGAAATATCCCTCAGTGGGACTTCCCAACAATTTTAAGAGAATCACTGTTATTAGGAGAACCACGCCCATTTCCCTTCCATGGAGGAAAGGAAGATCTTCACCTGCCTCCAGAGTTTCTTCAAATAATCTTTGTCCCACACACACAGATGAGCCCATCACCAGTTTTCATTATCTGGAAAGTAAGAAGTAGTATTCCGAGCGAGCTCCACAGCAGTTGAATGGGTATAACCTACCTTTGAAAAGCTCATCTTTGTAGAGACTTTTATCCAAGAAAGAACTCAATATAACAAATTGTTTTTTCTATTACTTTTTAAATCTCAGCTCAATCACAAAATAAAAATACAACTGTCTGACAGGAGTCCATTTTAAATTAAATGCTTTTATACACCAAATATTTTATACTGAGAAATTACTTCTGAGAAGAGATAAGAAGCCCAGATCAGCAAGAAAGCAAATAGTTTATACTGGAAAAGAACAATCTGAGAACAAATAACTTTGGTATGTTTTCATGAAGAGAAAAACTGAAGATACACTGCTTTCAAATAACATTTTTTACACTATGTCTTCTTATGTACAGAGTTACACTGAAGAGAGTGTTAGTAATCTGTATGTAGCTTTGTCTAAGAAGGAACATAGCCTAATGAAAGAAAAAAAAAAGTTTTCTTAATGCATTCAGATCAATTTGTTACAAATGAATGGTTATATGATTTGGCTTAATAATTTTGCCAGCACATTTATTAAAGTTCTGAAAGTGATCTACGTAACTTGCATCAATCTGAAAGCAGCTGACTGAACAACGACCAAAGGTACAACCTGGCAAATTCACTATAAGCAAAGAGCACAACTATTTCTGCAAGAACTAAGTCCCTAAAACTTACAGCTATAATGCCTAGCATTGCAAAAATCTAGCTTTGCAGAAGCAGCAGTTACACGATTAAACTGTGGGGTGTGCAGCTGCAGCACCTAGCACCAGTAGGAACAGAACACAAAACCTTCTCCCTTTATTTAACTCCCTTCACAAGGAAAGCAAAAGTTACGTCAAAGGTGATGCCTACTACTTGACACTATTCCAATACCAAGTCCTACTTACCATCACTCCTTGGCATCCTAACTGTCTGTAAAGTTGTGGCCTTCTTGCTGCTACATTTTGAACTAATCAACAAAGTTTCTTCCAGCCCTAGAAACAAACAAGTATTTGAATGCTTACCTGTGTCAACCGAAAATGTCACATTTTAGCTGTGAGGCATTCTTCTTGATGCTACTTTTCCACCTTTCTACAACATGACTGAACATGAGGATTCAACTACCTCTGTCTCCAGGAATTCCACTCTGCTTTCCTGCAAATACTGTTTCTTGATGCCTGTTTAGGGTGGCCATCTCAGTATTTCTGTACATAGTAGGCAGTGAATGTCTAGAACTTGCTCCCACAAGAAGCTGTGAAAGCAGATGGACCAGCAGGTTCAACACGAAATTCAGGGCAGCAGAGTCATGACCAGATGCTAAAAGGACTGAGCAGGAATGTACGCCCTAGCACCCCTACCCCTACAGCTGCAGACACCAGGCAACTACAAGAATGGGGAGCACACAGTGCTTAAACTAACAAGTTTTCTATAATTATCACCTTCTACTGCAGCTGTCGAAGGAATGCTGGGCTGTACGGACCACTGGCCTGACCGAGCAGGTCACTTCTTACAGGCTCCCACTGTTTTTAAAGTCTTTTCTTAAAGGTTTCTTTGGAGACAGATAGCAACGCACAGAGAAACTACCTGCAGCAACCCACAGGCAAACACGGGTGGGAACAGCTAAGGCACGCTGGTTGCGCTAATTTACATCCCTCCTCTCACGTGTGTGACCGTGTGGTGGCAATCAGTGACAGCAGGCCACACCGTGCTGCTACCGACCTAAGTATTTGCAAAAACAGCACCCTAAAATCCAAATGATGTTGGGAAACTGCATTAATTAGACAAGCCAGGCTTTATCACCACCCGCACAGCCGTCAGCCCTTCACCACTGACTAAAAGGAAGCTTTATTTCACCCTTTTTTTTCGCGTCGTAGAAATGTTGTCACGACTGTCCGCAGTAACTTAACGTTTGTTTTGGGGGTTTCCCCCCCCCCGCCCCCGGAATTACCTCGCACCGCGCGCGCGAGAAGCGCCAGCGAGGGCAGTGCCGACAGCCCGGAAGCCCGACGAGCCCCCCCCCCCCCCCCCTCCCCTCGCGCAGCCCGAGGCCGGGCGCTCACAACGAGCCAGGCCGCGCCCCCGCTCCCCGGGAGCCGGCCGGGCTCAGCCCCGCAGCGCCGGTCCCGGCGGGCGGGCGGCCCAGCTCGGCTCGGAGAGCGGCGCCGCGCTTCTCGGCCGCGGGTCTCCCGCCGCCCGGCCCCGGCCCCGCTCCCCCCGGCCCGCGGAGGAGCCGCTCACCTCCTCGGCGCCCCACGGCCAGCAGCTCCCGAGAGGCGGCCGCTCCGCCGGGCCCCGCCATGGCCCCGCCGCACCGGAAGTGGCTGCGGGCCGGGCGCTCGCCCCTTCCCCCCCCCCCCCCCCCCCGCTGCGCCACAGCGCCCCCTGGAGGGCGGGAGGAGCAGAGGCGCCCCGGAACAGACACAGGCGCTGACATGCGTGTAAATCTGGGGCTAACGGCGCAGAAATGAAAATAATTCACGTTACAAAGGAAAAAATAAAATAAAATCTTTATGCAACGATTTGGCGTGAAAGTCCGTCCCATCACCTGGAGAGAAATGTGAGTACGGAACTAAGCTGCAAGCAGTTACCATTACTTGAACGCCTGCCAGCAGCTGCTCTGCTATGAAAACTTGCCCATTTTCATTGTCAGAAGTTGACAAATGCACCTAAGCCTAAATTGCAGACCCTGAGGGAATTTTAATTATCTTTCGGAAAAGAAACTCGTACAACTTTCAAGTTCAGTTGACACTGGTCAACCAGCTATTCAGTATTTCTTCTGCAGTTTCTGTCCTTGTGTATAATCTACTGTGAAAACTGTAAAGAGAGAACTAAATGGTTTGTAAGAGATGAGATGGGAAGTTCATGCCAAAATGAGAAAAAGTAGTAACCAGGTGTTTATATGCCATCATTGCAAAGAACACGAGAAAAAAAAAAAACAAAAAAAAACCAAACAACCAACCCGAAAACCACCCCAAAATCCCACAGATCCCAGTATCTTAGACTTAACAAGTACAAAGGAGTAAGAAGCAAACCTTTTGCAAGGCCTCAAGCAAGAGACTGCACTGCTGTTTTCCTGAGAGAGAGAGACTGGCCCAAGCTGGCCCAAACCCAAACCCAAACCCAAGCCCAAACCCAAACCCAAACCCAAACCCAAGCCCAAACCCAAGCCCAAACCCAAACCCAAACCCAAGCCCAGCTCTGCCGTGTTTCCAGGCCGCCCACAGCGCCAGGCACATTCCACGGCGCTGCCTGCCTGGTTTGCACCTTCCTACCCAACTGTGATTCAGGAATCTGGTTTCCCACAAAAAACTTATTGCTGGCTTTGGTGACTGAAAAATTTCGAGGACTGAGGTTTTTTGCCTGGGGCCACAAAAAGTGAGTCTTTCTGCAATTGCACACCGCCCAAAATAACAGAGCATGAAACCTGAATAACATTTTTCGTCCATGGGTATTATGTGATTTCAGTGGAGGGAGGGGCAGAATACTGTCAGGGAACCTCCAATAGGGAGCAATGAAATGATTGCCCAAGATCACCAGACAAGCAATTACAAAAGCCAGAAATAGCACCCTCAGGTGCCATTCCCAAACCTCTGGTTTATAGTCTCACCTGTTGGCAACAGGCTGATGCGATCTTTATCTGATTAGCAAGGTGGCCCAACTATGTATCCACACTCTGTAATGTGAGCACACATGAGGAATGGATATTTAGGGTTGCTGTCAGGGTAGGGGAACAGCAGCATCCGTACCCCGAATTCCCAGTACATTCAGGCTTGAGACAACACTCGCCACTGAAAGAATAGCTCTGAGGTTTGGGCTGCTTCATTCATTTAATGCAGTATCAACTGAGAGTTCAGGCTGATGCTGTGTCTTTCTCTATTGCAGTGCAGATTGTTTTGGCCCCGGTCCTGCAAATACTGCGCTTAAGTTTTTGCTTTTCCACACGCACCCAGAGCAACTAGCTGCAGCTCATGGCAGCCACTTGGTGACTCGCCCCGCCTGTCTTTTGTTCCGCCTATAGAAAGGGCTTGGCTGCTGTGATCCGTCATTAAATCACAGTTCTCTTTTCTTCCTCTTCCTTACCTTTCACTTTCCACTTAGGGCATCCTCATCACTTTGAAGTGTCGAGCAAGAATTGAGGAGTAATACTAGTAACGATAAATTTAGCTGGCTCGACTATTTTAATGTACTGATACAGTGTGTCTCAAAACAAGAGCTTTGAGGATTGATTAGCAGGGCCCAGCAAGGCCTCGACTGACTGCGTTTGAAACGAGCAGCTGATGTCAAGGGAGTTACTCGCAGACTTACACGTAAGCACTTGGTGTTGCATGCAGGGGATACGGAGGAGCTGGGCAAGAACAAGAACGTTCCAACTGACCCAAATACCTCAAAAATCGGATTCCTGAGGAAGCTATTTTTAGCCAGGCGGCAGGAAAGAACAAAACCGTCCCGGCAGCTGACGTTCTGGAGTCAGCACGGAACGGCGGCTCTTGCGCTACATCCCCAAGACAGCTGCTGCCGGTGGCAGCGAAGGCAGCGCCCCCGCCCGCCGCTGCGGCGAGCCCCGCTCCCCCCGCTCCCCCCGCTCCCCCCGCTCCCCCCGCCTTTTGTTCGCCCCGGGAGGGAGCGCGGCGGGGGCGCAGCTTCGCCCCCGGGAGCCCGCGGGAGCCGAGGAGGCGCAGCGGGAAGGGGAAGCCCGCGGCCCCCCTCAGGGCAGGCGGCGGCGGGGCGGCAGCCTGCGGGGGCCGGGCTGTGAGCGATGGCGGGGCCGCCCTTCTTCCCGCCGCGCCCCGTCCCCTTCCCCTCCCTCAGCGGCGGCGGGAGGAGGACGGGGGGGGGGGGGGGGGGGGGGGCGATGGTTGGTCCCGGCTCGGCCCCTCCCCGCCCGCCGCTGGATCAGAGCGGCCGGTGCCGGCGGCGGCGGCGGCGGGTGCTGCGCATCACGGGCCACATCATCGCGGGGGCCGCCCGCCCTCCGGCCGCTTCCGCGCCTGCTCAGTGGGCGCCGGCGCTCACCTCGCTCCGGAGCTGTCACCGCCGCCGGGCTGCTCCCGCCCGGCCACGGCGATGGAGCGGCACCCCGGGCCGCTGCCGGCGGCGCCCTCGCCCAGGTGAGGGGAAGGCGCGGCCCGAGGGGACGGCGGGAGCGGGGGGGAGCCGAAGGGGCCGGGGACCTGCCGCCCCGGGGTGAGGGAGGCAGCGGGCGGGAAAGTTTCCTCACGCGTGGCGGAGCTGCCGGGCGCCGCCCTGCAGGCGCTGCCGCCCCCCCCCCCCCCCCCCCCCACTTCCCGACAGCAACGCTCCTGCCCCACCCCAAACGCCGGGCGAGTGCCCACGGGCTGTGGGCACGTCCTCCCTCCCACGCGCGGTGCCGGCCCCGGCCGGGTGCCCCCGTGTGCGGGAAGGCTCCCACCTCCCCCCTCCCGTCCCCCGGGCCCTTGCGGCGGCCGCCCGCCCTCGCAGCTCCCCCCGCGCCCCCCCACAGCCGCCCCCCGGCGCCGGGGCAGGCTCGGCTGCGCGGCGGCCGACCCGCCGGTGCTGCGGGGCGCAAGGCCGCCCGCGCCCCGCCGCCCCCTGCGCTCCTTAAAGCCCCGCAGCGCGGCTCATCGCATTCGCGTAACTGTACCCCGCTCCAGGTAGCCTGGACGACGAGCCTTTTCTCTGGATCCCCGGTGCGTGCACACGATCTGCCCGGCCTTTCCAGTGCCCCTTACGCCCTGGCGCGCTGTACAACCGCAGGCGCCTGCATTTCTGTTCCCACCTTGGCACCTATAAAAACACGCCAGAATCTGCCGCCGCATGGGAACCTGTACCCCAACGGCACACACACAGGCTCCAGTGATCATCCTTTTTTTGTTTCCAAGCATTGTAATTAACCTGTGATGGTACATTTATGCTCTTTCCATACTTTTCTGCCACAACACAGGAGCTTTTTGTAATTTACTCTACTTTCTACTTTGCCACTGATTCTCAATTAAGTTCAAGTTGTAGTTGCGTCTCTTTCTTTAATTTCAGTGACTGTAATATTTTCCTCTCTTCCTTCGCCCCCACTGTCCAAAATTCAGTCGTATGTCTTCTTGGCTCTCATTCGATCCTAGATTATAGACCACACTACATTAGCCAGGCTCTGATAAACAGAACGTATAAAATTAGAGGTTTGTTTAGTTTTAGTGTCAGAAACAAAACATGAATTCCTGAAAAAGTCTTCTCATGTATCTTTTCTAGGTAGAGTTCTAGCAGGCTTTAGTAGATGTCCTAAGTTATCCGCACTCTACCAGTTCAGTAACTCTGATAAAAAGATGAGAGCAGGTGGGAGGACCTGTTTCGGCAGCATTCCCTGCATATACTGCCTTAAAGAGATTGTGAAACTGGAACCATGAATGCTACAGTATGACTGGTAGACACTTCAGAAAGAAGACTAAGAGTGTATCATTTTCTCTTCAAATACCTCAGGATATTATCCACAAAAAACAATGTGAACTCTGTATCCTAGTGCCTGAGTTAATAAGCAATTCATCCATCCTTGGTGATGACAGTAGAAACCTGTAATCAGGATCCCAAATAGTACAGTTAGGACTCATCCCAGTAAGTACCTATTGGTTACTTAATCTCGAGGACTGCGTTATCTCTTGTATTTCAGACTTCCCCACCTGCTTTTGATGGGCTGGATGTGATTGGCCTGGTATTTTTCCAGTTGGTGATTTTTTTTGAATCATTTTGATCATTTGAGTGATTTTACAACCAGACCACATTTCATAGCCTTGCTATCTCATTTCTGGCTTTGGTCTCTTCTAATTGAGATGCCTTAAAAGTGCAGAGGCAAACTGAATCTTTTCCCCACGGCCGCTTTTCTCTTCCTGGGGGCCAAAATCAAAGGCTGCCATGCTAGGAAGTGGAATGCAGCAGTCTCAAACTTGTCTGGAAACTCAGCCCGAGGCTGGCAGCTCTGGCAGTGTCTTATATTCAAGAAGGCATCTGGAGGTTCTGTAACCTGCTTTTTCCTCTCGTTATTTTTCTTTTATTTCTTTTGGTGTTGCTTTAACCTACAAGTGCCATACAATAAACACCACATTAATCAGATTACTTCATAATATTTAAGAAATGGTATGTAATGCCCATATATCTGCCTTGCATGTAACATTTGTTAATTTTCAGCATGTTTTCCAGTTTTTAATGCTCAACATTAAGTGTCTGGTATAAATAATCTTAGCCCAGCATACCACCTTGAGTTCCAGTTTCAACAAAATGGTTAGTGATAATACAGTCTGTTTACTTTCTGTAATGCTGAGGTGTTACGGTACAGCTTTCACTTTCCACTGGTATGTCCA